AGCCCAGCATTCCCTTCACCTCAGGAATAGTTGGGTCATGCATATGTGCCACAGAGAAAATAATTTACTTCAAACATTTTTTATGGCCTGAAAAATACCCCCCCCCAAAAAACTGTCTTAATCAGATAAAGCATGATGATTTATTTAAATGGGTGATTATTTCAGCATTTGATTCAAACACATTAAGAGTGCATTAAAATCTAGGATCATGAAGTCAAACTCAGTTAAGCTGTCTGCTGTCCTTTAGGTAACTTTGACGACTTCTTGTGTGACAAAACTTTACAACCATTTAACCTAACCTTGGAATAAGCGAGTAAAGAAATTGGATAGATTGATTTTTTTTGTTCTCGGAAATGAATACTCGCTGAAATTTGTGAACAGATTGCAAATCTGTATGGGAGCTAAAGTTTTTTTTTTTCTCTGTTGTGATTTTTGGGAGAACAGTACAAGTCTTGAATGAATGCTTCAAATCAAATTATGTTTTCAATCATAAATTGTCAGATTTTCACCTCAGGTGTCCTTTTTTAACTGTCCAATTTAGTTAAGATTAAAAATCTGCAAATGAATACATATTTCCATCATTTATAATTAATAAAACCTACTCCTATCTCTATATGTGCTTCCTCCACCCATTGGCCTGTCCTTACAGATAGATTTAGGGACGTGCCGCAAATGGTGAGAGTTTATAGAAAATAATCTCTCATAAAGGACTCAATGACTGTCTCCCACATTCAGCATACTTTCCGTCTACAGTATCATGGCTACATTGTACACTTCCCCACTGATTCATGTTCGCCCAGGTGGCATTGTATAGCTCTCGCTGTGTGAAAAGCAGGCTCAGTTCCAGATATACGATCCTCTCAGCACGCTGTGTTTGCCAAGAGGGAAAGCACACCATCAGGTGTCTTTGAGCAGATATGAGGATTAGTTCAGAATATCCTCAGCCATGTATGTTGTCATTTGATTACCGCAGCACAACAGGGAAGCTACTTACCATACCTCTTGATGAATAATAATGTATGGGTCACATGGCCTCCATACTCAAGCTTGAGAATGAGTAAACGATATGAATGGGTGAAACATTCATTTTGAACCCTGTGTCTGGGCCTGACAGCTAACAAATCACCCACTGTTAGAAAAAGACTACAATAAGCAACATTTTAAGCAGGTCAGTTTGATTAAGGTAGATTGTGTTTCTCTATCACACAAATTTCAGCAGTAATATAATACGCTAATTTAATTTAAACAATGCTTTTGCTATAAAATCAATCTGATTTGTAAAGTATATCATTATTTTGCAGATTATTTGTGGCGTTAATTAGTCTGAAGATACGGTATACATCGAGTTAATCAGAAAGTAGCGGTAGGAAAGGGAGACACAATTAGAGGACTCTTGCTATTTCTTTTCCATTAATACACACTGTATTAAATGTTTAATGTAGTCAAAAGAAACAGGCAAAGTGCATTTATACCCTGCCATTCAAATGCTAATGCAGAGAACAAAAAAGACAGCCAGTAAACAACGTAGCTACTCAAGCAGACAAATGCACTGGCCTGGCTTTACAGGGTTAATGTAACTCCAGCTACTTACACCTTGGTTTTTCTTTTTAGAACTCTTACATTGAACTTACTTATAGAGCTTCACGTTGTTCCACTTGCTAGATGTGCTGTGTAATAGTACATCCATATATATTGACTTTTTTTTTTTTACTCGCATACACCCCCAGATGGCTAAAACGAATTGGAATGGACTGCATAACATTTTTTTTTTAATATTTTATGATTGCTGAAATTCAGCTCTCTCTCTCTCAAATGTCCTATAAAATCCAGCTTTCCTGTTTAGAAAATGTAATGTGGCTTTTTCAGAGTTGATGCAGTTGCCATAGCTGGCTGCAGCTCTGAATTTCTGAAGAGTTCATCAATGCATTGATAAAATTGTTGATGGCGGGGTCAAAGTTAGTATGGCTAAGGCAGAGTGTAAAGTACAGTACTATTGATTATACACACTTGGCCATAAAGTTGGAATAACTTTGTTTTGAGACGCATTCATATTTTTCATGCATGGAAGTAATCACCTTTGAAGTGTTTAATCTAACAATTTTGATAATATATGCGTTTTCTATTACAACAATAAATCACATTGTCACAGTCATTCCATGAGAAGAAGTAAAGTGTAAAACATATTTTGTTCCAACGTTATGGGCCACAGTGTGATTTTGATCAAGTTAAGCTGAGCTGCATAGACTCTATGCAGTTCAACCATAGAGTATCTCAGTGTAGGATTGATAGTAAGTATGGATATGTCCAGAGACAATAACTTCAGTTTACCATGAATTTGGAGGCTGAAAATGTGGGGTTATCTTTATTTTAGACATCCCGATACCAACTGAATTGTTTCATAGTTTCATAGTCAAATGCTATTTGCTCCTACCTTTGGAAACTTATCGAATGTAGCCCATCAATTATTACATAATGCAAGCAATTGCAATGGGAAACAAAAATCTTTCCAAACAGGGGACCCTAAAAAATCCAGTATGCAAATAAACAATTAATTTATTTCACCAAATAAATTATTATTTACTTCTTTACCAGAACTGTTGTAACACAGAGTAATTGTAAATCAGTGTATTCAGCATATTACTTGTCAATGTGTGATAAATCAGCAATACATTTACCTGACACTCTTCCAAAGTAATGGAGTGTAGCCATGGCAAGATTAACATCAACAACCGGTCCCCTTTGCAGAAAGCCAAATCATGCATCTTAGGAACAGTTTGCTCTGAGATTCCCTTTCATGTACATCAAGCTTTGAATCTTTGCTGTGAAATAAAAAACAACATATATGTATAAAAAAACAGTCAGTGAGAAGAATAAATGAATTTCAAGGTAGGCTTTCTGGCCATTGTGGTGTGAAGGCTACTAGACATTTACCATATCAGTAATGTACTTACTTGCCCTCAGCCCTTGAAAAATGGTTTGCTGAAGAAGGAAAGCTGTTTCATTCTCTATTCTAATGGCCATCCGTCAGAACCTAAAGGGGCTTTGAAGACCAAATGCACAACGTTTTTCCATGTTGTGCCATCTAAGTCCTTTGGAAGTGTGAGAAAGCGGCTCGCCAGCCCCCGTCTCACGTCAGAGGAGGAGTAAGCAGAGGATTTGCAAAAAGGTGGTAAGAACCAGCGGACGACAAAGTTACAGTGAAAAACGTCTAGCGGTTTATTTACAGGTGTGATGGTAAAGACAAAACAAAACAAAACAAACAAAATACTCTCAAACAAAGAAAACAAAACCGGCCGCAAGCAGACATCAACTAGAGTTTTTCAGAGCACTCTCACAAAGCCAACCACCAGCAGCCTCACTACCATTGTGAGTGTGCCCATTAAATAGGCCCACCAATACACAGCCAATTGGGGAAGCCCAACTCAACAGGAAGCAAATCCCCAATAATGCACGATTAACATTGTAATAAATACCATACAGCCTATAGCATCACTCACAAAAACATCCACAATTATGAAGACAGTTGAACCATGCTAACAGTCCCAATTCTCCTAATAAATACAATTACAATAGTTATTCCCAACATTTACACCCCTGTCCCCACATAGTCTGGTCCACTGCCGTGGGAAAATGAATAAAAAGCTGGCTCCGATGCGGCACGTGTTTCCACACGGACCCGTTTATTGACGGACCAGGAACGAGAAGGTGTATGTTTGGCTGGGACGTTTTATTGTCGACTACGGAATGTATGATGAAGCTGTTTGGTAAATAAAGTGTTAAATGGAAGGTGTTGTTGTAATATTTGAACTAGCGTAAACTACCGGGTGAATTGTTTGTAACTGCCACCGCGACGACGGCTGATCTGTGGTGCATGCTGGGAAATGTAGTGACGCTGTGTGTGATAGACGGCGGCTACGGTTCGGGAACAGAGGGGGAAAACGGCTCCGTTTTCCCAGGAAGGAATTTTTAAGTGATATTTTGTTACAGAATGCATATGTTAATGTCAGTACCAGTGTTTTTGTCTACTTCACTGGGGATTTAAATGTTAGTTTGACATCTTGATACAAAGGTATGAAACAAAGTTATGTCATTTTCCATGTTCATGACCCAGTTGTTATTCAGTTTTTGAATTGTAATTCACTGCCCTCATTATCAAACAGTGCACTGTGCGGGGTCCTAACCCAAGCTTTAGCTGACCCAGCTACAGTTTGATCAGAGGTTAGTTATTCCCACCTCAGTCTGTCAAATAATTTTTATCATCAGCAGTTCATCACTCATTTCCTGTATGGATTACACTTCAAACAATCCAACATCTCCATGTAACAACTTTGTAAATAAAAAAGGCAGTATGATAGAAAAAAAAAAACTATAAATTACTTATAATTTAAACTCCAGAAAATTACATAAAGAAAGAAAAGAGTTTATTAAAAATGAAAATAATGGAAATTGAGGCCTTTAGCCCGTTTCCAGTGATGCCGCTGAATATAAATGCGTGTCAGGAAACGATCTGGTGTTATTTTATTAATGTATTGAGAAGGTTAGAACAGGAAAGCCCCGGGAAAATCAGATCTCGGCTTTATCTTTTGGTTTTTATCTTTTTTGACATTAATTAAAGTTTACCAGTGACATATCAATCTTTGAACTGTTGGAGTATTGTTGTGCAGGCTGTTCTTTCACTTTTTCCATTCAGTCATTTAATCTGCTGAATATTCATCTCACCATAATTAGATGTTGTTGCTCCCCAATTCAGTATTCTGGGAATAGATAGGAAATGATAACGTTGGGACTTCCTGAAGGCTTCTTCATTGTTATGTCAGCTTGTCAGTTGAGGACTTGACTTTACAGTTTTGGTTAAAGGCTTTAACTCCTCAGATGGCTCGTGTTATTCTTTACTCTTCTGTCACGGTCTCAGGCTGCCCGGCAACAATGATTTGGCTGAAACAAAAAAAGGTGACATTTAAAAACATTTTGCTCTCCTCTGTCTCTCTCTCCGTTCTCAGAACTGCTGTCAGCCTGCCACGAGCTCCGGTGCCGCTACGGCTGCGTCATGACAAGAAACGGCACTTTCTGCTTTTGCGCCGACGGCTTTGAGGTCGGCGATGACGGAACGAGCTGCAGAGGTGAGGCTCCACAGCACCATAGAAGGATGCCTCCTTCTATGGAATGCTCTCCATATCCCACCGACACCGAGCTTGCCTTTTGCCCCTAACCAGATTTCTTTCAGATGAGTAGGCAGGAGTTTCAGGGACTATGAGAAACCATCTGTCTGCAGTCAGGGCCTCGTGTACTGTGATTATCTCCACCATGGAGTCCCAGATTATTTATATAACATATATCATCTCAGTGTGTCTTTTTCTTCTGATGCTCTTAACACTTGTCACAGGTCAGGTTTCTAACAACCACCAAGGAACATGCCTAATACCAAAACTATGGCACACAATTTCCCGCTTACTCTGCTGGGAGAAGTTCAATAATGTAGCAACTTTCTGAATTTGGTTCAAGAGGGAAGAGCAGTTCATAGGGTACTGCATCCTCAAAAAAGTCTCATTGGTTGTAAAAGTAATCATGCCTGAGGTTCCGGAGTGAGGCCACATTAAGAATACTTTATGTATTTGGGTCATGTTTGAGCACACCTAATTTGTTACAAATGACTCTTTTTTCTTTCTCCATAAGATCATGATGAATGTGCCATGTATGGTGCATGCAGCCAAACCTGCACGAACACCTATGGGTCATACAGATGCAGCTGCACAGAAGGATACATCCTGCAGCCTGACAGGAGCTCTTGCAAAGCCAAACAAGGTGAGCAGCATATTTCCTTCGGAAGACAACACAATCTGCATAGTATGTATGTTTCATTTCTAATAATAAACAGGGCAGTTTTGCTTAACCGGAGAGGATTTCCAGCTTATCAAGGCCTCAGCCTTCACCAGAAACGGTAGGGCAAGATTAATGTGGTTTAGAAATGACCACATCCATCACCCACATGGGAATGGGTAGATGTGGTCAGGCTAGGATAATGATAAAATTAATGAGCATGAGATTTTAAGTGCGTGCAGTCTGGAGTATTTTGTGAGAACACAATGCCGCACATCACTCTGATTTATGTTAACGCCCGATGTTGGTTCTGTTTCAAATTTGCTTCCTTGGGTAAAACATTCTACTTGAATTTTGAAGTCGAGCAATTTGTAAATAAACAACAGTATTGTATTGTGCATTGTATTTACTGTCAAACATGAAACCATCAAGTCATGCAGGATTTTTTTAGGATCTTGTCACTACTTTAGTATGTATGTAGGTTGAAAATAGCTGGAGGCCCAGTACACCTTGTTGGGGAGAACATTACTGTTGCAGCTTTTAATCACGTTGACTCGTTTCCTACCAGGAATAAACTAAATATGATTACCCATAAACTTAACTGAACCCAATACTCACATGCATTAATATTAATTTAGCAGAGAGTGATAGTGGTAGGAGTATAACTACGGGGTTACCATTAGCTGAAAAAGCTCATGAATATAAATTTGTGATAGAGTGTGAGAGGCCAGAAGATGAGGAGCAGCAGCAGGGTATGGAAAACATATTAATGGGCTGGGAGGAGGACTTAAGGTAAAACTCTGCAACACACAGTTTTTTTCTTTTCTTTTTGTTGTCATTTTATATATACATATGTACATTCAGTATATAAATTCATTACAGCGCCGTTTTTTTATTTTATTGAAGCACCATGCAATAAGTGAAACTATTATTATTATTAATTATTATAGTTATTGTTTTCTTTTGCTGGCTGATACACAGATTAAGTCGGAAACATAGCCCTAAGATGATCCCCAAGTTGGTAATTTGCAAATTGCTGAGCACAACCTTTTGCAAACTCAGTGAACAGACACTTCACTTACAATAGAAGCTAAAAAAATACATCAAATTTTAAGAGAGATTGCAGTGTTCATTTGGAAACACAATCTCATCTTGAATTCAATGTTAGCAATCAGTGTGCAGCGTTGTATTTCATTTTTAAAAAGCCTGCAAATACTAAGGAACCATTATACAAAAATGTACAGTATGATTTTGATACTTGACAGTCCCAGGTTGTTAATATTATCAATTTACCATGTGTCTGATATTTAAAGCAAGGCACATTTGAACATGTGAAAAATGCATGACTTGGCTAACCTCATGCAGAATTTGAGCAACCCACCATCAAATTGTCTTGGGAAAAGCATGTCTGCCCAACGCTGTGAGAGAAAACTCCGTCTGTGAGTCATACACCATCAGTTTTGTGACCAGACTTTCTGATTCATAGCCCATATTAGAAGAGCAGCTCCTGATTTTAACTTGTGTGGAACATCGGGATAAATAATAGCCCTTTTAAAAGGGTGAGCCAGATGTCAGTGAATGTGCACGGTCAATTAAACCTTAAAGGTACTTTTAATTCTTTATATTTTAGGGGTTTTACCTCTGTTGTGTTAGAAGATGAGTCTGGGAGAAAGTCCAGTCTGCCGACTGAGCTGATCCTGATATTTGTTCTGTTAGCTCAAACAAACCCTTCCAGAAAAAATGTTAAACTGCCTTTATCATGTGTTGTCCACCCACTGCTATGAAAAGCAAAGTGATTCACCTTTAAAAATAATTTCTCAAGTCTTAAGACGTTTCATTCCTAACTTGCACATTAGCACAAACATACTGTATGTGCATTTAACTTGAGTTGTGAAAAGCTGAGCAGTTATACTGAAACGTACTCGCAACAATACTTATTGATGGCACTTGCAGAGAAAATTTGGTTGAAGTATGATGAAGGTTTGTTTTTGTCCTCGGGCCACTCAGACTCCATCTGGACACTGGAAAAAAAAACCCTATTGTGATTTAGAAATGACCACAGCTTTTGTCTCCGTGTTTTAAGTGAAAATGGTGACATAGAGAAACAAAACGCTGTTATAATTTTTCTTGTCATTGTAGATCCTGGTGACGTCCGTCCAGTCCTTCTCATCGGTGGGCCGGACCGTATTGTCATCACCCACCTAAATGGGACAGGCCTTCAGCCCCTGAGGTCTCTAAGTGTAAATGGAACACTGGCTTTGGATTTCCAGCACAGCCAGGAAAGTGTATGTTGGGTCCTTTCCACGCAGTCCTCTGGGCAACTCCGCTGTGCTGTAACGAGGAATCTGCGTGGATTCACCCGGGAGCAGGAAATAAGAACACAACAGAGTTTACAACGTAGGTTCATTCCAGCTCATAAGACCCCCTCCCTGATATTGTCCTCTCCTGTCCTTGCTTTTTGAGAAGTTTGACTGTTTGCTCTCATGTGATGAACACTCTCACTTATATGAAAAATAGGACAACAGTGTATATTTCAGCGGAGACATCACATCAGCCACAGTCTCCCGCACACAAACTGGCTCATTGTTATTTTGCCCTCTCTCTCCTCCCTGAAAACGGTTTCCATCTCCTCATTATCTAAGCAGTTTAAGACAAGTTAGCCTCAGCAGTTTTGGCAGCCACCTTTATCCTACAGCTGTCACTCATACTCGCAGGCAACATGAGCTTTGTTTCTTTAAAAATGTTTTACTTTTTCCTATTCCTGGTATTAATTATTACAAATATAGACATATTTTACCATGGAATTTCTGTGATACTGTCTCATTTTTACTCTGAAAAATAGTTGTTTTTAATGATTGTGTGTCTTAAGGAAGTGTTTTGAAATTATGACAAGTATTTCCTCAGATGGGCCTTGAAGACTAAAGTCCTGCATTCCTAATTAGAATAATTGATTTTCAGGGAAGTGGGTTTTTCTAAGGATAAAATAACAAGATCTATTATAATGACAAAATCATTAGCACGCACGCTTTTGGAGCTTTATTGAGGAATATGATTTAAGGTGTTTAGGCTCCGAAATGCTTCCGTTTTACCATGTTCTTTTTGTCCTTTGGGTTTAATTGAAATGTAATTCAGGTATTTGAATGTTTATTCTTTTTTTTTTTATATATATATATAAAAGATTAATCTTTTTTTCATCCTCGCAGATGTGGAGCAGATGGCTATCGACTGGCTGACGGGAAACATTTATTTTGTTGACCGTGTCACCGACAAAATTTTTGCTTGCAACAGTGATGGGACCACATGTGTTACCATCGTACAACTCGACCTGGTGAATCCTAAAGGAATAGCCGTGGATCCTCTCATGGGGTAACTTCATTGCTTGACTTCTGCATGTTTTTTAAAGTTTTTTTATTGTTATTATATGTTTTAATTGTAAACAATACAGGGTTGATCGGTGGTGTGACGGTTAACACTGCTGGCTAACAGCTACAGGGAAACTGGTTTGAATCCTGGCTGGGGGCTTTTCCGGTTGGAGTTTCTATATTTCTCCCTTTTCATGTGTGGGTTTTCTCTGTGTACTCCAGCTTCCTTCCAACATTTAAAAAAACATGCACGTTAGGTTAATCGGTGCCTCGAAATGGACTAATTGTGAGTCCCTGGTTGTCTTTCTCTTTCGTTTGTGTGGCCCCATGATGGGCCGATGACCTGTGAGAGGTTGTACCCCACCTCTTACCCAATGGTAGCTGGCTCCAGCCTCCCACCCTATACTTGGAATAAGTGGATGAATGGAGACAACACATAGAAAATTAGTTAATGGGAGGAATACATGTTACAATAGAGAAATTTGAATGGTTTCCTGCTTTTTAACTCAGCCTAACTAACAATATGTGTCTGACAGTTTTTGAGACCACAATTTTGTTTTGTAGGTTTCCTCGCAGCTTCCCTTTTCACTGTGCATTGAAATATTATATCCTCTGAAAAAACTGCACACACCACATGCACAAGTCAATTGATTTTGCAAGGGCAAAAGGATAAGCAACAGGACTCAAAGTTCATTATTAGGGAAAGATTTTTGAGATACATCAATGTTAGAATATATCAATGAGATGGATTTGCAGGCTACAGGATGGACAGACTATAAAACAGTAGTTTTCTGAGCAATCCTCCTCATGAATCGGGGAGAAATAGCTACAGCTGTTTCTAGGTCTTAGGGGGCCTGTCAGCTTGAAGCAATGGAGTAAAAACAAAAGAAATGAGGAAGGTGCAACATGGAAGCACAGCTTGAGGAACTTTGTTTATAGTGCTTTGGCACTCCATTTTCATTCTTGTTTGACCCTTCATCACGGCTCCCTGCCTCTCTTACTTTTGGATCCGGCATTTTAACTTTGCAACATGCAAAAACCTTTTGATGGAAAACCTTTCCTGCGTTCCATGAAAGAGAAAATCTTTGATTGATGGTGTGGTTTGGACCTCATAGACATAAAATTGAATATTCCAATCATTTTCATTGTTTAACTTGCAAGACTATGTTTGGAAAACAGAAGATTTGATGATTCGGTATGTGTTAGAGTTTTGGGTCTGAATCAATTTGCAGAAAAAATGATTTGAACTGCGACTAATATGATTTTGGAAAAATATCACAGGTGCCAGAATAATAACTCTTGTTAACAGTTTTTCAACTTTATTTATTTTACTGATTACAAAGGAGAAATGCTGACAGATGTCTGATCAGAAAACTAAATTTGAACTAATTGCAGTTCTAACCTGATTCTGGCTCTAGATGAAAATTCAGGGAATTACTAAATTTGTGTTGATTTTTTTTGTAATGAATATGAGTACCAATGCAAAAGTTTTTTTTTCCAGTCCATTCAGTTGTTGTCAGTGATGATGATCATCAAATCCATTTGCCACCTTAAAGTTAACAATATGAATCTCTTTAAGCTATTGGTAGACTGACTTATATTTTAGTCACTTTACCAGCCCTAACCAGTGAAAAGAGGGCACTATACATTGAATACCTTAAATGGTAAATGTATAATGTACATTTATTGTCAATTTTAACTCTATCCAAGCAATATTTTAACATTAAGGATGTGCAATTTGATGTTTTTTACTTTATCGCAACCTTTATTTTCATCATAGGGGCCAATTTCTAGAATGTAAAATGCACTTTCTTAAAGATAAAGAATCCAAAAGAACAGCATCAGCACCATCTTAATCCCAGAAAGGAATCATTGATATGCCACGTGGAGGTTCACCTGTTTGGGGAGCTGAGCTCTTAGCTGACGCAGAGTTTTTCAGAGCAGAGTCAGGTTGAGAGTTCAGGGGGCAGCCCATCTCTCCCCTGACTTGACCGGTGCAGATTAAGCCAGCTTCCCGTCATTCTCTGGCTGTAGCTTGTTATCCACAGGATCTTTTGGAGCTCCATCCCTACAGGAACCTATCAGGACAGAACGACAAGCCCTTACTGTTAATGACTGAATGTGCAGACCAGTGCAGTTTTGAATACCGACTGTGCACAAGATCTTTACTTTTGTGAGGATCCATATTCATCCTATTGTCTGAGGTTATTTAATATTAACAATTAGAATGAAATGGTGTTTAGGACAAGAAAATCAGAACAGTTTTTTTTTTTTTTGCTTTTCGTGCTCCCTGTGTCTTTTGCAAATTGATTTTCCAACAGTTCTTATGGTTTTGAGGTACTAAGTGCCTTGTTTCCTCAGTGCATCACACATTGTCAATCATTTTGTGACTACTTACAAAGCAAGATTCTGTGCAACATGCCCTCTGACATTCCTAAAATTACCACAGAAGAAAATGGAAAATGCTGGTTTTATTACATTTCCCCTGAGGCAGGGAAGATCTATCATAGAGCCAGTACGAATGAATATCTCAACAAAGGCATTTAAAGATGTATTTAAAGATCTCATATGCTGTTTGTTTTTTTAATCTGTTTTATATTTACTGTTTATACCAGTCCCATCTTCAATATTGTTTGAATTTATTTAGCAGAAAGTTTCCTTTTATTTTCATGTGTTTCTCTACATATCTATTTTTGTCATATTTTGAGTTGTATCATTATTTTAAGCATGAACTGTAAATACATTTATTACTGTGCAAGTGCATTGAGCTGCCTCTCATCTCACTCTGTATTGTCTGGACAACTGGAGACACATACTGCAATTTATCGAGTCATTTGAACATAAATGGTTATACATAAAGCTGACGAGCTGCACAGTCAGTATTTGGTATGGGCACAATCAAAGCCTAATTTGAATAACGTTCAGTTACAGTCTTTAATTAGTCTTAGTAATAGTTTTTCACACTCTTTGAAGGACACTCCATTTTTTTTCTTTGGATCATGGCTGTCTTTTGTTCAATTATCTGACAAGATTGTTCCAAGATGGTAACATTATGTGCAGGTTGAGGTTTTGGGGAGAATTAATGTCTCCATGAGTGCCATTGCAAGTCATTTTCAGTCCACTTCTTGTGTCATCCAGTACGCCTCAACCTCTTCTTCCCGTTTCCCTTCCTTAAGAAGGCTCCATGAGTATGTCACTTTCAGGTACTCTCAGTCAAGTGTTGTAGTTCATTTTTAGAACAGGCAGATCTCATTTTGTCCTTCTCCTGTTGAGTGTCCAGTTCAGTCAATGGCATCTGGAAATATTACTGATTTACTAACACATACTAAACAAGCTAATTTCATTAATGTTCACAGTTGACTGTCAGGGGCAAAGCGAATTAGCTCATAATTGTAAACAAGCAGAGCTCTTTGATAATAAGTGCCTGCGGTTCACTAACAACTTGTGTACAGCGCGTGTCTTGTTACATAAGATTTATGAGCATGAATCTGATCTAAAATACTTATGGTGCATTTTCTGGCTCAGATCAAATAGACTGTATCTTCAGGTTCATGATGATGAAAGAAATGTCTTCCCTAAGAATTCATTTTTATATGTATCTATCCTTAAATCTGTTGTTGTCTTTTAGGAGTTTTCAAAAACAGCAAGTCAAGAGGGGTCATTCATTGCCTCAGCAAACTATCCTCCACATAATTTCGCTGTGTGTGCAAGTCCTGTGTTCTGCCATGTCTACACTGAGTCAGCTTTAAGTGATCCTTTTGATGAGCTGGGTATCAAAGAACCGATGAAATTCGGATGGCAGATCTTATTCTATCTGTCTATATGTCTTAAAGCCATCCCAGTAAAGAAAATGCTGCTACTATAGGATAATAGACAACACAATTCATGGAATGTAATAATTTTCAAACCTCCACCCTCTGCAGAATGCTGTTCTTCACCGACTATGGGAATATGGCCAAAGTTGAGCGTTGCAACATGGATGGCAGCAACCGGACCCGACTGGTGGATTATAAAATCGAGCAGCCCACAGCTGTGGCATTGGATGTGGTCAAGAAGATGGTGTATTGGGCGGATGCCTATCTGGATTACATCGATGTGGTGGATTACCATGGGAGGAACAGGCACACCATTATCCATGGGAGCCAAGTGAGTGTCATGTTTCACTTCAGGCAGTTTTTGTCTTCCATGACATTGCTAGAAACCACTGTGAACAAACGTTGGTGGCTCCCCCAATCGGCGCTGCCTTCTTAATGTCAGAAACTCAAATTATGACAGAGGGTTGGTGTGGCATGGGTTTTGTGTGCAAGTGGGATGGGGTGTGTTTATTCTCTCAATTAGTGCAGCATGCTGCAAGACAGGTGGCACATTCACTGCCTACTGACATAATTCACTCTTCATATTCATGGAAAAAGGTCTTTAAAAACCTTGATGCTCATTAAATAAAAGGAATCGAGTCACATTAGGGAGCTGTCTTCAAAATGAGCATATCAATAGCCACTCTCCTCCAGTGCACCTTTAAGGTCTTTCATCCCAATTATTATTATTCATTAAAATATCCTTTCAACCAGCTTCAACTAGATATCCAGCCTTTATGAAAGAAAGAACGTACATATCAATCATATAATTATGTATGCAGGTGTTCCATGCATGATATTGCTTTTCTCATTGGCTTGTTCCAGCATAAGTGTGAGGAGGTGAGGAGTTAAAGTTAATGCATCTGCATGCTATTTGTCTCTACCCTAAATATTTGTCATTATATATATATATATATATACATATATAAGTGTGTGTGTATGTTAGGGTTTTAAACAGAAGCTTTTTTTTATTCTACAATTCTTGTTCAGTTCAATTAAACATACCATGTATAAGATTTCTTAATGCCAATGTTATTATGACCCTTTGCATGACCTGTTAGTTTTATTCAATAATGCATATAGTGTAGAGAATATTTGATTCCATGTATAAATATTGCAAAAATAGATATGCATCAATATTACAAAATACGCCAGACCATTACGTGTATATCTGCATCATTTGAGCTAGCATGTATCTGAATTCTTTAAAAACACTTGGATAGTGAATTGAATAAGAATTCCACAGAGAATGACATTCACATGGTTCATTATTTATTTATTTATTCTTAAAGATGTTTTTGGGTTCCCATGAAGTTCAGGTGTGCCACTGAACTTGGATCTGCTCCTTGTGAACATGACTCATCCAGCCATGTCGCTCTGTGTGTGTGTCAGTCCCACTAGATGTAGCATGGTGGCTGTTGTGTCTGGGCCAATGGTTTCCCAGCGGAGTCTAGCTTTTGACCCTGTATGAGCTGCCAAATGTACCAGAAAACGACACCATCATTTCCCTTCCCCCATAATGGCTGGTTCATGTTAAAAGGGAAAAGCCCTCATTTGTTCGTGTGCTCCTGTTCCTCTTTTAGTTTGACTTGTATTTGGCTTTGAGCAAGGTTATTAGAAAGAAAAGAGAGAGAAAAAAGGCACCATGGATCTTTTTGTTTTTTGTTGTGTTTTTTGTTGCAGGTGTCGTACATATATGCATTAGCTCTGTTTGAGGACTACCTCTATGCTATCCACTCTGACCCTTCCAAAGGGAGTTCCACTGTGGAGCTGCTCCAAGTGCACAGGTTCAACATCACAGCGGAGAGCAGGGCACTGGCCACCCTGGAAAATTCTAAATCACTACGTGTTTACCACAAACTTGCTCAGCCAAAAGGTAAAGGATATTTTCCATAAGGTAAACATTTGCAAGTACGCCTTACAATCTATCCCCATTTCAATCGCAAGCTGTGCTTTTGAATAGATGTGTTGAAGTATGTTTCATTCGACTGTGCTGATTTGTGGTCCTTTGTGATTTTGTCCACAGTCAGGAACCATGCATGTGAAATGGATTCATATGGAAAGCCAGGAGGATGTTCCCACATTTGCCTTCTGAGTGGCAGTTACAAGTCCAGATCCTGCCGCTGTCGTTCCGGCTATAGTCTCGGCTTTGACAGAAAGTCCTGTAAAAGTTAGTAAATATCTTTTTCTCAATGTCACCAAATGTAAATTGCAATAATGCTAAAAATCTTTCTTACACTTAAGTTCTGTTGCAAAAAAATTGCTGGATATGCAGACCTTAAAAATTCAAGATATAGTGAACAGCGGGTGGGAATATTATTGCTGTATTATAATTTTTTCACCCCATACATTTCTAGTGTGTATGTTTTTTTTTTATTATTTTGATATAGGATATAATAACAATGGTGTCATTCTCTTTCACTTTGCTTTTTTATTGTTTTAATGTAATATATATTTTCTTTTAATGGATGACCACGTTTTTTTTGCATCCAAAATTCTTGTTAAATAAGTCAGTAAAGTGATGATTAAAACTTTTTTTTCCTCCATGAAATGGTAAGTATATTTTTTTAATGAGCTAAATCTTTTACATAACACCTAGAATGTTTTAATCCATAATCTTTTTACAGTTCCTTATCAACAAGAAGATCCAAAATATTGTTTTTGTTCTTTTCAATATAGCACCAATGAAGTTCATAGATTTAATTGAGCTGAAATAGTGCAGCACATGTATGGCCTCATACTGACTGTGAGAAATACAAGGCTGATGAATACAGCTCCACGTGAAAGTGACGTTCTGCTATTGATCTGTTGTACCGCTGATTGATTATTAACATAATGAGGTTTTAAGTTTGTCCGCGTTCGTTGCTTGGCCTGATCAATGGCTGGACATTGTGTAGTTGACAATAAAAGCCGAAGATCAAATTGATGACACAATCTGAGAGCCTACCGCATTTCGATCAGGGTAATGGAGCTGTGGGAGCCTTTGCATGACACATTTGATTTATTCCCTCCTCATAGATGTTCTGATGACACCAGCTATCTCTCTCTTGCTCTTCCCTTCCATCTCCCTAAGCATAATGAAATTTGGTGTTAAATGATAGTCTTTTTTTTTTTTTTTTCATATAGCAGTCACAGTGGAATTTGATATCTGGGTCTCTCACCATGCTTAATTGTCTCCTGGGTAGTTGGTTTCTCCCTCACAAAATGATAAATTGAAGCGAGGCTTGTGTGGTCCCCTCACTTCCAGGATCCTAGTCTCTTGGGTAGGGGCTGGGAGCAGGGTGAGGTCTGCTTTCCTCAGTGGAAGCCCTCCTTCATTCCTCCTCTTGCCTCTCCGGAGGATCCCAAAGGGCTCGAGAACATACAGTCCCTTGTGCCACTGGCAGGCTGCCGAGGAGCTACCTCAGCTTTCTAGGCCTTTCTGTTTGCCTTCCTAAGCAGACATCCTATTATTTTAGATCAGAAACCGTATTCACGGCCAAGGTAAGTATTGCAATTGTCTGTTTGCTCAAGTGTATTCCCACCTGCGCTCTCTTGGCAGTTTTGTCGCAATGGTGTGATTGAGGGTAGATAGTATAGTCATTGGCACTGATTACTGCCTCCATTAAGGCAAATAAATGACCAAAGCCCTGGAAAACGTATAAAAACAATGTGGTCGGTAAGAGGGTTTAATGCAGGGATCAGGACTGATGAATTAGACCAATTAATTGACAATAACGGTTAAACGTGATACGTTTTCTCCTGCTCTGTAGGGCCCAAAAACAATTTGTTCCTGTTCTACGGTAAGGGGCGTCCAGGGGTCATCCGAGGCCTGGATATGAACATTAAGTCCAGTGATGAGCACATGGTGCCCATTGAGGACCTGGTCAACCCACGAGCCATTGACTACCACTCCGAATTAGGACACATCTACTTTGCTGACACCACCAGTTTCCTTATTGGACGTCAAAATATAGATGGCAGTGGCCGAGAGACAGTACTCAACGATGGTAAGTCTAAATAGTTTAAATCAAGCAAAACACACATATATATATTTTTTGTCATTGAGTATCTTTATTATTTTCTTAACCCAAACAATGATGAATATGTTTTTTTTTTCTTTTTACACAATCCACATGAGGCTGTGATTACATTTAATGTGTGATTTTGTGTTGCTTATCCTGTTTTAGAGCTTGACAATGTGGAAGGAATCTCAGTGGACTGGATTGGGAATAATTTATATTGGACCAATGATGGATACAGGAAGACTATCAGTGTTGCCAGGCTGGAAACAGCCTCTCAAACAAGGAAGACCCTACTGGAAGGAAATATGTCTCATCCCCGTGCCATTGTGGTTGATCCTCTCAACAGGTAAAATAAACCCATGAATTAATTAATTCATTAAAAAAGGAAAAAAAAACATAACTGGCAAACATGACATGTTAGACAGTTAGATCACATCACTTAGGTCCATGCTGACAAGACAGATTGTCCTAAAACCATCAAAAAAGAAAGATAACAATTGTATATTCTTTTCAAATGTTATTTATTATTTAAAGGAAATTGTGTATTTTGCACTACATAGTTTTTTTTTGTTCATATAGTTGTTACATTATCTCTTAATTTAATTAAAATGACATTGATATAGTAAGGAAAATGCTAATAATGATATTAATATTTTAGTATTTGAAGCTTCGTTTCATCACTCCTTAATATCATTAAAAAAAAACAAACATGTGTTTGTGTATGCCGGCAAAGACAATAATTAACATATGAACCTCATGCTGTAAAACTCAAAATCAATGAGTGTCTTTAGGGTCTTAAGGTTTGGAAATTTAAGGCTTCGTATTAACACTCACCTAATCGATAGCTGTCAGAGAGAGATTAGTTTTCAACACTTAAAGGATTGTTCTTAAGATTTTGCAAAAAACAGCATTTTCTTGACTGTAGGCAAATGCGCCAAAACCAAATCATAGGTTATTCTGAGGTTTGAGCTCTTTTCCTTTTCTTTTGTTTCTAATATTTCTTACTATGCTCAAGTTGTTATAACATCAATCAGTATACTGACAAAACACTGTTTTTTAATGTTGAATCTTATTGCAGTTTACACGGTGGTAGTTTAACGTTCTGAATAACATGTAACCTTCTCAGTGAAAGGTGGAAAGGAATCGTCGAGTTGTGTGCTGTGTGTTGCACATTGAAAACAAATATAAATGTTACACCATGAACTTTTAGACTCGTGAAACATTGCAATAAACTTCTACAAGGTTTCACCTTGACAGCATTATTCTGCAGCAGCATCACTGGAGGTGGCAAAGTATCATGCCACTTTTTTGTTTGAGGATTAATAAGTTTTATTCGAATCCCTCCCACTGATAGCAGAGATGATTAGAGGAGCATGTTTTTGGCTTCTAAGAAAGTATTCAGCTGGAGCCCGGCAGTTCTTTGATCTCTATCTACTCTGCTGGAAGGCTCCTTTCAGGTGAAATGGATGCAGCTCTCCAACGGCTTTCTTGAATGCATTCTCAAGACTTTATTTTCTGCTCTGCTTGCTTCCTAAAGTCTGTGTTGACATGATAAGGACAAGCAGTTTCACGTTAATGCATTCACACTCTTTTGCTTCATTAGGTATATCATGCATATTCACAACGCTCAAATATTGCATTTTTTTCAGGCTAAAACAGAGTTTTAGAAGGGATACAAATTTAGCCAATCGTTAAGTAATTGTTGGGTATCAGCTTTTACTAACAGCAGGTGATAAAAATGCTTAATTAACTCAAGAGTAATTAGATAAGTTATTTTTTGTCTCTTCAAAAATCTTAAACAAGGTTTAAAAAATAGCAATGACAAGGTATTTCAAAACATGGATGGAGGTCCTTTACTTATAATTGCTATGGCCGTGAAAATAATGTCCAAATATAGGTCAGGCTTGTGACATTATACAGATTTATTGAGATCTAGTTCTAATTTTGTAATGCATTCCCATGTCATATTATATTCTTCATCAAATTTTGACAGTTCAAAAATTAGTATTTGTAGTAGTTAGCATGTACAAATCCAGAAGTTTTTTATTCTTTTTTTTGTTTATTTGATTAGCTCTTGTTAATGGGTCACATTTGACACAGCGTAGGTAAAACAGTAAATGTTTATGTTTCAATATTTAATCACAACATCTAAAAATATATAATAAAAACGTAACACTTTATGAAAACTTTGTTGACGAGTAGGTTTTTTAAAATTGAAAAAAAAACAATTTTTTACTTTAACTTTATTTCACTGACTCATTGATTAATTTCTGGAGTCATTGAAGCTTTAAAAAAAAGTGAACTTGGAGGGTTTGTTTCCATTTATAACTTTTCCATACTCATATGATTGTAAGTTGTAACAGTATTCCTCCATCAATGGTGTCCATTTGATATGGTGTCTCTATGTATCTGTCTGTGTGCAGATATATATTTATATGAATGTGCATTTGTGCATGGTGAAACAGGGTGTGAATAATTTATGAGGTCAAAAAGATGACTTCTAGACGGAATAAGTCTTCATTCATCTCTCTATCCCATTCTGTTTCATCTTTCCCGAGCCAGCCTTCGACCATTGATGGGAAGCATGGGGCACATGGCTCAATCAGCAGCACTCAAATAGAGCAAATCCCCTGTGCGTGGTTACTACATATGAGATCATGTCAAACTGTTGCCCCAACCCTGTTTCAGATACCTCCAATGAAAGCTATAGTCTCACCATACACCGATACAGTGATACCTATTATTTATTTATTTGTCATGCAGAAAATGAGAGATCTGACTTTAAACTGATGCACTGACAAGAAGCACTCAGATTCATTAGCTGTTAAGCACCTTCTGTGTTTAGTTATGAATGTAAATGTATCTAATTTTACATTAGCAAAACCTGTTTAATTTTTGTAATGACAAAACTGGCAATTTCAACTTGAATTTATAATATAATTGCCATTAAGAATTTTAATGAAAATACTTTAAAGAAAAACACTGGGCCTCGATACTCGATTTGAACATGTATTCACTTTGATTCATTAGAATTGTGTATAATTTGGACTGTGTTATGTTAAATCAAATTTCATTAAATTAATTCCTTTCATTTATTCAAAAGGGAATCGACATTTTGCTGTAATCAACTCATGCCACGTTCTTCTTTGTACAGTCAGCCCACAGGCCCAATGGCTCAGCCGTCCCCAACACAAAAACAGCTTTCTGTATCATTTTAGGTTTCTTTGAGTCTGGCTCTGATGCTGCGGATGGCTCCGAAGGAAATTGCACTCGCCAGTATAAACCTATAGAGGATATTCAGCATCTTGTTGTAAACATAGTGGAACTTAAGACTTCTCAGGAAGTGCATTTAGTTGAAAGTGATTCTGGGGATGAATGACAGTACAGTCCTCTGTAGTCCTTTTGTGTTGCTGACCATCTTCTCAAATATAATCTGTCAGTCACACACACAGCGGTCTATTTATGCAGTAGCCAATAACCCAGGTGGTTGACGAGGAATTCACCTGCATGTCCATCTTCTTATGTAACAGCGCAGATCGGAGAGGTCAAATAGCACAATGATTATTAGCATGAACAAACTCGACGCAGATACTTTGTGTAAGCCTTGCTTTGTCTGATGCTGTCAGTAAAAAGTCTGATCAGACCAAAGTACAAGAGGGTGACATTTAATTTTTTTTTATCCCAAAATTCTTAAATATCAAAACTACAAGTCACTTCTTTCTGACAACTGTGATTGTCAGTAACCCCACAACTACTCCACAAGTGGAGATTGTCAGAGAGTGCTTTATGGAGTAAGTTAGTCTCCCTGTTATTTCAAATTAGTAATGGTATGTTATTCAGCATAATCTAAAACATGCTTGAACATGTTTTATTAATGTATAGTAATGATGTCTCGGGCAGGTTTTGAATTAAAGCCAAACTGATTCTTCATGTTGGCTGGTGCTTGTTTGGGTCAGTGGAGCTGACCAATCAGGACAGGCCTGTATTTTCCTGTGGGGATTTTTCCTGTCAAAAGAGCAAGAAATAGCAACGGCACTCAGCTGCTCGATAAGATTTAAAGCTATGGTATTAATCGTTTACTTATTGAAGAGACATGGATTAAACGGTACAGTAAATACAGTGAGATAGGTTTATGGATTCACAGTAAATGTACAGCAATTCCTCATACTATATACCGAGTAAAAAAAAAAGGATAAAAATTCAGCACTGCAGAATACTCTTACAAGCATTCATAACAAAAGTCAAAAATAATTGTACAGAAAGATAGAAAGAAAGTCAATTTGGTGGTTTGATTTTCACAGGTATTAGCAGGCTTCAGTTCATTTTATCGTGTCAGGGGGTTAGGACAGAAATGAGTAGGGAGCAGAAAACTTCTTTGAATGGAAGACACTCATGGTGCTCATGGTATGATCTGCTGCTACACAATGTGCCCCATTAAAGAGGCAATGATTCATTTTTGTTTACCAGTGCAATCATTTTTCTCTGTATGATAGCTGGATGTACTGGACAGACTGGGAGGAGGATGAGGTCAATGACAGCATAGGCCGGATAGAGAAGGCCTGGATGGATGGATCCAACCGTCGCATTTTTGTCACCTCCAATATGCTGTGGCCGAATGGTCTGACGCTGGACCACAGCACCGGCACGATGTACTGGTGCGATGCCTACTACGATCACATCGAGAGGATCCATCTGAATGGAACAGGAAGAATGGTATTGCTAATGTTGCAGCTGCATAACTGTGACAGTTTGATTGCATGAATCATGATATGTGCTTTTAACTTTGTTTTTGTCACTGTCTGAATGAAAGGCACGGCACTATTCATTTTCATTTTCAACATGCATGAACTGTTAAAAACATGTCCAAATGGACTTTTTTTCCCCGATTTTTGTGCTCATGGTATTCTTCAAATCTCTACAGCCATTGTTTCTCTTCACTTAACAGTCGATTAGACATATCTTCTTCCAAAGCCATTCTTTATTACTGTAGAGCTTGCCTATTAAACTTCATTAATTATTTGCAAATCTTCTTTCATAAATCCCAAGTATCTCACAAACATGACTCTAAGCGCAGCTCTGTAATGATAGATTTGCAGAAAAAAAACTGAGTATCATCCATTACACCCTCAATAACATCTAAGCTCGTAGTCAAACAGTTAAAGTCCTTTTTGAGATGAGTGATTTTGCTGCTGACGGTGCTGTGGCACTCCTAATCCTTTGTTTACACTGCATTCCCCCTTTCTGTTGCAGGTGGTGTACAGAGGAAAAGAGCTGAACCATCCTTTTGGAATCTCTCATTATCATAATTTCATCTTTTGGACGGAATACATGAATGCCTCGGTATTCCAGCTGGACCTGTCCACGGGCGATGTCACTCTGCTGCGGAGCGAGAGACCACCGCTATTTGGCCTGCGTGTCTATGATGCACAGAGTCAGCAAGGTTGGCTGCTGTCCCATTATTTAGTCCTCATACGGGGCGGCTGAATCGTGAATCACTGACTTACCAAAGATATTGGCTGTTTTACACAGTAAATAGGACTTTTCTGTGCTCTGTATATCTCCCCTAAATCTATTGCCTTAAACGGAAATACAAACAGAATATAAAGCTGCCTGTCAGTGTCGGAGTTCTTGGTGTTCACTGTTCAGCACTAATGGTGGCTTTGATATGTAGTATTTATTCCACTTTTTCAGGAACATCGGATTTGAATGTGTCCAGTACCCATTACTGGCCTAATCAAATTTATGGGTTTAATCCATTCATAATATCAGTGCCCCTACAAGTAATTATAAGTGTGTGTGGTTGTTTGTCTCTGTGTACCGCACTTCTTGCTCATCGTCAGCTGGGATAGGCCCCAACCCCCTAGTGACCCCGTTGGGAATAAGCGGTACATAAAATGGATGGATAGATGGGTTTAAGATGATCTAGTTATTGCAATTATTACTATAAATGCGAGTGAGATGAAATTGAGAATGTGACCTAGAACATGGAGGAAAATGGGTTAGTATCTGAAATGTGCTATGGGGCGAAAGTAATTGTAGAGGTTCAGAACGAATATAACCTTTTTGTCATTTTATTAATCAATGCCGTACAAATTGGCTGCAATTTGTGTGATGTGCTGTTTTTACTTTGTAGTCATTATTCGAAAAAATCCTACAGGATTATCAGGACTTTGTTGATCATTAATAATACATTTTTGCCACTGAAATCAAATGCTGCAACAGCAGGCTTTGACAGAATGACAATATTAATGGCGGTAGGAGTGAGAACCTGCTTACATTTTTCTTTCAATTGTTTAACAAATTATGATGGATTCCTGCGGTTATACTGCTGAGGGAGCCGGTAGGAAACAAATCAGATATTGATGTTTGTAAAGAACCTCAGTAGCTTTGATAGGAAGGGCATTATTCCCTTATTATAATTAGCTTTTTAACTCAAAAGTGTTTATCTAAATTTAGAGAAATCATGCAGTCAAATGACAGGTTTGTAGGATCATAGTGCATCCTGAAATACTGCAATGATTTTCACACAGCATCATCAGAGTTGTGTATTTTTAGTAGGAAAGTACCCCACTAAGCTACAAGTAAGTAGCTAACTGCTGCATGCACAGACTAGGTAAACCCATAAAAAGAGTTCACTGGACATTTTTCCATTGTTCATGTCACTAAATTAATTAATTGGCTGTCCAGGACTTTGAGTACTCCTGATTTGCTCTCACAAAAACCAAAGCTTTATCTCATTGGTTCAGGTGCTGGATTTGGGCACCGAGTTAAATTAAAAGTGACAAAAGTGTCTCATGCCTTTTTACTCTATATGTGAATTTTTCTAATGGGGAATGTCAAATTTATTCCGGAATGACAAATTATTCCTCCAGTAACGATAAAAATGTCAAATGTCTCTCACCAGCAATGTTTCCAAGAACTATGTTGACATATGGCTTTAGAGCACACCTGGTGTATCTCTTTAAGGCAGGGAATTAGTCTTGTATCAGAGAGAGGATTCTTTTATAGGATTAATGGTGGCAGAAGGTTCCATAACAGATTAACAAAACAATCATGCAGTTATTAAACTCAACATTGAATTGGCTGAATTGAAATTATTAAGGCACCTTACTGTATTAACAATCAATTTTTTTCCAGGAGAGAATGCGTGTAGCGTGAACTATGGAGGCTGTGAAACCCTCTGTCTCGCCATCCCTGGAGGCAGAATATGTGCCTGTGCTGACGACCAGGTTTTGGAGAAGAACAATGTCACCTGTTCAGGTAAGACAACATAATGAATCAGACGTCACAATCTTCAGTGTAATCCAACCTGCTTTTGATGCGATCATGCGTTCATCCAGAATGATAAAGATCAAATGGTAGTCTTTAAAAATTTTGCATGCATATTTGCTTATAACCAAATGCATTCTGTTTAAAGATTATCCCCATGAACCCCCATAAATATCAACTAAATTACCACTGCTTCACAATTGAGTGGGGTTGTGAGACATTATTTACTCGATTTTCCCGTTATTATAGATATGCCAATACTTAGTCATTGACACATAGTGATAGATATGAAGTCCCTTTGTACTTTTTTCCAATGGAAGGTTCCACAGGGAGTTCAGAGGCACCTCGATGCAAAAGTGATGAGTTCCAGTGCCATAATCATCGCTGCATACGGGCCTTGTGGAAGTGTGACGGAGACGATGATTGTCTGGATGGGAGCGATGAGGAGAGCCACAGCTGCTGTGAGGATCTTGATTAGTCTGTCACCACACCACGCTGGAATAAGAACCCACTCCTTGTGTAGACAGCATAGTGGTTGTTGCACCTATGCGAACGACCCTGTGATGAGGGGAAGAAAACCAGGCTTTTTGCAGTTAATTCCCTCCTGCTGTCATTTTCTGTGTTCCTAAATGTCACTAAGGTAGAAATGAAAACCCTACTGCTGTCTCGCCTTTTTGCTCCTGCTGAAGTGGATTTGCTTTTGGAGCAAATTACTTGGGTAAACATGCTTTCAGATAGATTGGAATAGGTTGGTGTTGCATGAAAACAAAAGCAGCAAGTCGCCATAACTTAACCATCTGCCAAGATCTTAAAAATTGGGTTTGCCAATAGTCTGCACTGTAATAGAATATACGTGAATCTAACTTAATGTGCAGCAGGTGCTGGTGAGAAATTGTCAGAGCACATGAGGAATGCTATTTGCAAACAGATCAGTGGTAGTAGCACCACATGCTTGATGGTATCTGTGCTTTTGGGCCAGCGAATGTGCTTCCTTACAACCTGTAATATCAAAATTAATTTGACATGATGGAGGCGAAGTCTGTGACGAAGAACAAGATGATTAAAAAACTAATGTGTCCGGAACACTGCTCTCAGCTTGGATTTCACTTGCAATATCAGACACTAGATCTTGATGTATCCCAATGGATAAAATGGATGGATACATACTTTAATTATCACCTAAAGTAAAGCTAATTAAACTGTATTGCTTACTTCGCTGAATGCTGATGTATTTCGTCCACCTCTGACTATTAGTGTAGCTGTTCTTTCTCTCCTTCAAGACATTTAGGCAATACACTGAAAGCATTTCATTGCACGAGTGTCTGCTCTTGCAATGAGGCAGGAAATAATGGCTAAGCTGTTTAATTAACTTGATTTGTAGATCTGGTGTTTTTCTTAATGGTGTTATATTTGCTCCACCTGTTAATTGTTGTGACAGTTCTTGAAATTATGTGATAATATGACACTGTCTTTCCTCGTGATGCATCTATCACTTGACGATTAGCGAGCCTGACCAGTAATTAGGTTTAAAGAATATGTGGCCTTAAGTGGGCATAACTGAAACATGTCTTCTATGAAGGCTGCTATTGTTTTGTAAAAATGTAATATATAAGATCACCGAGAGTTTGTTCAAACTGCTTTCAGACAACCACACCTGTCCGGCTGATCATTTCAAATGTAGCAACAATCGCTGCATTCCCAAAAGATGGCTTTGTGATGGAGCAAATGATTGTGGCAGCAATGACGATGAGTCCAACGCCACATGCTCAGGTACACTTTATTTTTCAGATAAAGCAGCATGTTATTCTTGGAATGGATGTCAAGATTTTCATGTGCTTAATGGTTTGTTACTCAGATTACTGATGTGCTTTTTTAATTGATTTAAGAAGATAAATGTAGAATGTAAAAAATTAGACATGAAGACGTTCTCTTGGGTGTAAATCCCTTTTCCTCTTCCGTGTTTTGCTGAAAATGTTGTCACCTCAGCTACACCTTATTCATCTAAGTCGTGAGCCGACGTGTCAGGTGATGCGAGGGCAGTCATCATTGTTATAATTTGAGGCTTTGCCGCCGCGCAATCAGTCTCATTGTGACGGAGCACTCTGGAACATTAAAGAGTTGTGGCACCCATGAGAGGCACCTCTCTGTCAGGAACACTCAGCGTATCACATTTCCTCCACATCCGCTGCCGTGGTGCCTCTCAGGAGCTTTTTTATCCTTAGAGGATCAATCAATGAGCATTAGACAGGCGATGACGAACGCCCCCTCGTAGGCAGATTGACATGCATATCCCACACCAGCAATACATCGCGTGTGCGCTGTCGTGCGCGTGACTACCAGCATGTGACTGACGGCCTATCAAGCCGTGCACATTTCACGCAGCCGTCAGGCCCGCCGCGTGATGGAGTGATAAAGAGTTTGCACTGGCCGGACATTGACATCCCCGGTGATCTACTGAGCATTAGAGGTTGTTGTGCAGCCTTACATTGACGTATGCAGGTGTGATTGAATTAAGTGGCTTCGTCTTCCTTTCTCAGCTCGGCCCTGTCAAGCAGAGCAGTTCTCGTGCCAGAATGGACGGTGCATACCCCGAGGCTGGCACTGTGACCGCGAGGATGACTGCGGGGATACGTCTGATGAAATGTCATGCAGTAAGTCACACCTAGATATATCCACTACGTGGAAACCAAGTTATTTATGGTTTACATAAATGCTTACTCCTCACTTTTTACCATTTCGTGTTCATTTGGATTCTATTTAAACTTCAGATATCATTCACTGTGCCTAAATCAAAGCTTTGAGAGGTGATTGAGCTCAAGATTTACACTTCATATAAATTGATGTTTTCATCAGCTGGATATGTGAAATTCGTGCTTTAAACTCAATACGTAACTCTATGATTTAGGAACCCTCCAGAAAATCGTAAACAGTCTTGCAGCATCTGTGTCAAGTTTCTTCTCTGATTAATTGAAAATGTGCTGTGGAACACTCAGAGTTTCATACAGACTTGTTTTTTTTTCACCAAATGACCATAAAAGCACACCATGAAAACAAAAAAATTACATTATTATAGAGATATTCACTTATCATTACTTTTATCCTTTTGTTCTGCAAAGTTGTAGCCCCTCCCCCCAAAAAAAGAAAAACAAAAAACTCAGACATCCATACTTTCTGAGATCTTTACCTCTTCGTGATGTGGTTGATCTTCTTCAAGACACAGAAATAACATTCTGGTGATGAAACATTTAACTTGTTCACATGCTTCAGGCAAATGTACAGTATATGCAGGTGTGCTGCAGCAGAGTGTTGTTGCATTTTTCATTTAAACATTCTTTGCACATGCTTTACTGGGGATGGGTGCAGACTGGAGTCAGGCTTTCTTCATCCGTAGTCGTTCTTCTTTTAAGAATGCAGAAGGTGGTGTTCCTCATTTTGAAAATACCAAAATTTGTGTCCCCCTTGAAAACACGAATCTCAGTCAGCAAAATGTTCTGCATTTGTGGTGCATTCAGAGAAACTATTTAGCATTGTAAAGGACATTGATATTGCCCTATACCATTTCAAAGCCTGTGTTTTAGACTTGCCGCTGGCAACATTCTGGATTCCCCTTTCTTTCTTTGATATGGAGGACAAAGCAAAAGTTTTTATCACCTAATTTTATTGCATGCATTTATATATGAATATGCTTTTTTTTCATTTCTTTCCACCCGAACCTTATCAAATGTTACTTTTTAAAAAAGTTGTAATAATTTGTAATACTTAATGTTTTCTGTTGAGTTTTTGCAAGTAAAGGCTGAGTTGAGACACGCCCTCCATCTGGTCATTACATAAGACAAATAAAAGAAAGAAAGTAGTTAATTTAAGTCATCTTCTTGTGAGGCATAAAGATAGTAATTTATGTTCCCATTGAATTTTCACATTTTTGGATTGATTGCCAAGACATTTGGGTCAGATACTCACGATGATGGAAAAGCTTTCATATTCTTGCTTTTCTATGTTTTTTTTTTTCCGATATGAAATTTCCAACAAATTTATATCAACTTTCTGTACAGAGATTTATAATGATGCCACCAATAGTTTGACATTTTGCCAACTATTAGATGGAATATCATGAAAGCTAGTACAAGACATTAATAGCCTCCCAGAGAGTGATTTATTATAAATTTGCTGTGCCTCATCTTTATTTATAGCACTGTCTTAATAACGTTCACAGGTCCCAAGTGTACTTAGCACCAATTTTCAAATGTAGGCATACTAAACATTACAGTTGACGCTGTCAGTGGACCAAAAATGTAAATTCTAGCTTTATTCACTGCAATATGGGGAAAGCATGTAGTTTACAGAAGTCAAGAGTAAAATTTGTCGACATGCATCAGTTTGCTTTAAGATGGCCACGAGTTGACATGTACACAGTGCATTCAGAGGAGAATTTCCATCAACATTTTGTTTATAACTGTACACTATTTGCCATATGCCCTATTTTTTTTAAGGAGTCCCACTGTCAGTTGCATGTCCTTTTTTTAATATAATGTATTTTCACATTGACTGTACTCGGCTGAATGAATTTTAGCTATAAATTATTGACTCTGTGCCCTTTGGATCAAGTGCTAGACATGTCCTCACTGCAGTCAATAGCTTTAAGGGGCGATACTGAGCAAACTGAATCATTTTCGTACTGTAGTTCACTGTTCTGAAGTACTGCCTCAATGGTTTTAGAAAATCCGTCCATCAGTCTTAGCTGTGGAAAACATGGATGAAAAAAGCCTCACAAGCCAGAATTTCTCAAGCTCTTTGGAGTTCTTTTAAGTTGTGTTTAACCTTTTATTATTGCCGTGTGGGCTGGTGCATTTGATGTTTTCCGCAGTGAGGCTGAAGAAGATGAAGAAGCAGCATACATTTAAAGAATGCAGGGAGAAAAAGGTTTTAAGATTCTTTTTAATCACCATTTGTATTAAATCAGCCTTAAACAGCGATGTGATTGATGTTTGCCGAATGCTGCTCTGTGCTGTATCTCCTCAGTCTCCCTTTGTGTGTCTTAAGCTGCTTCAATACACAGTCACAAACAGCCAGGGTGTAAGCAGTAATTAAAGTTCATGGTCGGCTTCATTCAATCATAATCAAGCTGTGCAGCAAAACATATTCTCCTCCATAGCGTTGTCTGAGCTTCCTCAGGCATTACTTCTCTGCAGGCACTCCTCTGTGGAGCTCCGGCGGCTTACTTAGCTTCAGTGGAGCTACTGTGGGTTTTGAAACACCTGAAGCTCAGTGGTGGCTGCCTTAGAGATTGATGCTAATTTGGATTTTGTTTGTCAGTAGTTTAGTAGTTGTCACACATGTCTTCTGTTGGGCTCTCTGTTCTCTTGAAGCTATCATTATTTATGGATGCCGGCGTTTCATTTTTAGCAGGGCTCACTGTGTACTTGAAATCCTCATTATTTATGCATGCTCATGCTTCATTCTCAGCAAATGTTAAATTCCAAGCAGTCATGGGCCCAACACATTTGAGGGGAAATATAGCCAACTGTAGACACCACTTCTATGACAAAGATACAATATATTTCCTCTGAAGCGCCTAAGGTTTTCCAGACAGCTGCAGCAGATGCCAACAAATCAATTCAAATGGAGACTTGCATTTCATACACAAGTCAATAAAGCTTCTGGCATCCAGTACAGTATACTGAAAAAAAGGCTATTTTTATGATGGGAATACAAATGTCAATCCTGACAATGTCATCAGCTGACAAAAATCTGTTTTGTTCATCTGTAAAAAGCATCAATCCTAGCAGACCTACTGCAATACCTCTTAAGGGGTCTTTGTCTAGTTGGATGTTCAATCAAATATTGCAGAGGACAGACCCCCCACCACCCATAGAACATTTTAATTTAGAAATGTATGTAAAGATAAGATGAAACTGAAGCAGAAAGGAATGTGGAAAACTGAGAGATTGCGCTGGATATGGGCTGAAGTGAAAGTAATGAGAGACTTTATGTAGAAGTTGTTTGTGTGGAGATTTCTTTCCATCTCAGGGTCAAGAATGTTTTCACATCAAGTTTTGCGATTTCAGGTGTTGATCACAAGAAGAAATGTGATGGAAGAACTTGTGGTGAATAGAGCACTCCATCTCAAGGTTCCTCTGACTATAAAGATTAATCAAAAGAGGAATTTCTCATTTAAAACTTGCAGCCGAGGTCATCTATAACAAAGAATGTAGGAAGTATTTTTTAATATTCAAAAGTGTATTTTAGATTTAGAATAGAAAGCACAACCATAGTTTAAACCCATTTCAGAATACAATATATCTTAACACAAATTTAATGTATTGCAGTGAAGACAGATGCCCTTCCAAGTATAATGGGAAATAGTCCATTCTGTTATACTTTTTTTCCTTACCCTAAATACACATTGTTAGCTGGATAAAGGAGCCTTTGATCTCTTTAAATCATTCACAAAAAGTGCATTGGCTGATTTAATTCATCTTAACAGCTATGGACAAACCTTCCAACAATATGATGAATTAAATCCACTATCAACAGTCAAGAAGAGATTTTTTTTTCTTTTACATTTTTGAAAAATGTTTCAGTCACATTTAAGTTATTTATTTGCTAATTCATGTGTGCACCTTTAACACGACTTTATTGAATTAAAATGAAAATGAAATTAAACTAATTACATTTTCTTTCAATGACTTACTTTCCTGCTGCAAACACATATTTTTAACTTTTATGTTTTGAAGGTGTGTTATTTAAAGTTTACCGGTCTTTTCAGCCTTTCCTACCTGTGAGCCACTCACCCAGTTCAGCTGCTCCAGTGGACGATGCATCAGCATCAAATGGCATTGCGATTCAGGTGAGGACTTTTTATCACAGCAGTAATAAAGGGTCATTTGGCATACGTCAGCCTTTTATTTTCAGCTTCACTTTTTTCAGCAATGACTTTTGTCACCATTCACTGACCAGATGCATCTTTCTAGTCCTGTGTTTGGCCTTTTCTGGATTTTTTCAAACTAATTTAGAAAACTATTTTACACTATTTACTCATTACTCATTTTGTTACTCTAGATTTCTTTTCTAACCCTCCCATTGTCCAATTTCTCACTTTTATTTAAAGGACACACTGCACTTTGTTTAGATATGACTAGTTTTCCATGACATGCTTTTTGGAATAGAGAGACTAAAACGTTGGATGCCATTATGCCAGTGGTGTCCAACTATCATCTTCAGGGGCCAGTGATCTGCAAGCTTAAGCGCTTTCCCTGCTTTAACAGAACTGATTCACATCAATGCACCATTGGCAGGCTTGGGCAGGGCTTTTGAATTGATCCGTTTAATCAGAATCAGGTGTGTCGAAGCAGGGACGCTTTTAAAACATGCAGGACCGGGGTTATTTATATCATTCCATAGATATATATTCCATTTATATATACAATTAGAAATGTGTTCTTTGCTAATTTGGCTGTTATAACTAGACGTAGCACTAGCTCACTCCATAAGTTAAGCACTTTTTAGTGCCTCAGTTCTTCATAGGTCTGTGGGTCACAAAAAAAGAAAAGAAAAGAACTGGAAATGGACTGAAAAGGACTGATAAAACAGCTTGTGTCAATTGAAAAACCCACAAAAGAACTGTTGCTCTTTAAGAGATCAGAGGAAAGACTCATTGAAAGCTAAATGTAAAGCGATAAGGGGCAGCTCAAGAGAGTGTACCCTTCTCCATTTTTTTCCTGACTCTGGTCCTAAAGGCACATCTGATTCAAATGAATGGGTCTTCATCATCCTTCTGCAGTGCTTCATAAACTAGTATTTGAATCAGGCGTGATGGAGCAGGAAAAACCTGGAAAACATGCAGGGAGGTGTGCCTCGAGGACCGGGGTTGGGAAACTGCTATGTTGTATGTGTAGCTGGGTAGATTTATGTGGTCACACCTTTTATTATTGTTTCCCCGTGTGTGCAGACGACGACTGTGGCGATGGCAGTGATGAAGTGGGCTGCGTCCAGACCTGTTCCAACAATCAGTTCCAGTGTAGCAGTGGGCGTTGCATCCCAGACCACTGGGCCTGTGATGGGGACAATGACTGCGGCGATTTCAGTGATGAGAACACAACCTGCCGAGGCGGATCTGTTTGTAAAGACGCTTTTGTTATGTTTTAAACTATTCCTTAATTTGCTTGCACACTAAACCTGAATATGCTGAAGATCAACACACATTTATGCAACACCTTCTCAGATTAATGCTTAATTTGAGACAATATATTTTTGATCTGTAAGTTTCCAAAGCTATTGGGTTTCCATATGCCGTTTAGGTTTTATATAGCCTAAGACAGTGTTGCCCAACCCTTAAAGTGCACTACACTACACTACACTACATACTGTCCCAGTATGCAACACTGTGGCACAATCTAGTATTCTCGATTTTGGGAAATAGCGTTATTCACAAGTTAACTGAGAACATACTTTTATCATCACTTGTGTGTTATTATTCACAAAATACACTTTTACAGACTTATTATGTTTCATCAACACATTTTTTCCCCCCGTTTTCTTCTGTGTCTTCCAAAAGATTAAAGTTGTCTTTTGGAACACTTTAGATCAACACCTAATGATTAAAAAGATTTTAATAGAAGTATTAAATCTTACTTTGTACCATGATAACTGGTATTTTTGGTGCTGTAAACTACTTTAGACTTAAGAGAACACTTTGTAGCGACTGTTTTGGGATAATTTAGATGCACACAGTGTAGTGTTGTCAAATTTAAAATAAACCTTCACAAACTCCTTAAAGAAAAACAGTTAATGAAGCAAAATAACCCCAAGTCCTCACATTGCCCAGTTGATTGAATGTAAAAACTATTGTTACCTGCTGTGTCTCGACTTCAGTCACACTCTTAAACAGTAATCTGTAACAGAATACCTGTCTAGTGGCACCTTTCTAAGTGCACAGATGTTCATAAATCAGTTTTAGTATGCAGATAACATTATTTACAAGTCAAATGAGCATTTGAAAGTAGAGTTTGCAACTGTAGATGCTGTAGTTTAACCAATGTCTTTGTTCTCTGGCTCTTCTGATAAAAATTGCCTAGTTTGTGGTCTTTATGCTTAAGAATTTAGCCATCAGGGTTTCCACCATTTAAACTGTTATCACAGGTGTGTAATAATCCTTAAAAAAAAAGCTCATGGATCACTTGCTTGTCACTAGTGTGTGGATAATTCATCAAACTATTCACTGATGGGGATTGAGTGCCTCTCTACTTCCCCTGTTTGATTCGGTGTGTTGAATTCGACCTAGCGTTCTTTCTTTTGGTTGGGGGAAAAAGATTCCAGTTTGTATTTTCACGTAAAGAAAATAAAAAATAATCTTCTGTAGATATCTAAAATAGTGTATTATTGATATACTGAAGGCATTGCACCATGAATGATTAAATCAGTTTGTAAGCTGTAGAAGATGTTGTGTAAAAGTAGTGACTACAGTTATATGTTCTACCATTTTAGTAGCAACTCTAAAGCCTCTCTTTTTTTCTTCTTATTGTTTATTTGTTTATTTATATATCTATTTATTTGCTTGTTTGTTTTAGTGCTGCCATCTGAGATTGAGTGCAGCGGTGAAGAATTCCACTGTGTCACAGATGGCACCTGCATACCAGAACGCTGGAGATGTGATGGAGACAAAGACTGTGAGGATGGAAGTGATGAGAAGGACTGTCAGGGCACCAGAAGGATGTGTGATCCCAAAGCCAAATTTACCTGCAAAGATACGGGTAACGACTATCAAAAAAGAAGCGGGTTTCATGTGAAAAGAACACTAACAATGGTTGTCAGGTGTCGTTTTTTTTTTATTTGGTGACATTGTTGAGGTATTTTGGTCAACAAAGATTTGATTTGAAGCTTTATGATGTCCTACACCCCGCAGATTTGACACTGGGCCTTTCTGATCACTGACAGTTTACATATCTTTTTGGCATAATGAGGAGGAGCAGCTCATTAATAGGCACTTGGTCACAATGTTATGGTGGTTCTGTGTTTGACAAAAAGAGCAGTAGTTAAAAGAGCATTACAAAATCATGGAAAATGCTACAGCTCATTAGCAGTCACAAAGCAGCGAAGCAAAAATATTCAAATGTGTCAAATTTGATCATAATTCTGCTACTCTGGGTAGCTCTCTACATATGAAAAGTTGTCACATAACACTGTCAGGAGTTTCACATTTTGAATTTGAAATGGTGATCTCCACCTTCGGATTTAATCTGATTAACAAATAAAAAAAAAAAATTCCTTATTTTAATAAATTGCATTAAACACTGTAAAGATTTAACCATCACAATGAAATTGAAAGAAAATATTCTCAGCTATCCATGGATAATTTCTCTCTACACTCTTTAGCTTTTCTCTTCAGTTTCATTCAGATTGTATTGTATAACTCATTTAAAGTGCCAACACATTTTCCTTCCTGTCATATAAAGCCTTAACTACTTCACACTGTAGAGCAGTCCCGTGCTATTGAACCAAAGGGGACATACCTTTTTTTTTTAAATAGGAAAAAAAAGACAGCTTTGAATCCCTCATCTACATACAGCCGACTGGAGAGTCAGAAAGAAAGACTGACTTGCTCTCAGCATTATGCTCTTCAGCTTTTCTGCTGATCCCTTGACAGTTTTATCAAGAACGGAGGCCATCCATGGTGAAAAGTTGATTAGACTACACAGTTATTAATTACTATAATTCTGCAGTGTCACACTCCTCTGCACTGGTGTGTTCTCTTCCAGACGAGCCTAGTCCCTCTATGGCAATCCCTAAAAAAACTGTATCAGAAAGTGGTCACTTCTGCAGTGGTGATGGATGTGTGTGGACGAAGACATTTCTAGGCTGATCATGTAATGTTTCAGACATTTTAATTTTCTAGATGTTACAGCCTCTAAAATCTGGGAATTGATTGTTTTAGTTATCGTATTTAACAATTACTGTCAGTGTGTTTATTTATGGCCAAACTTTAATAGTGATTGATGGTCGATTGTGTTATGTTGGCATCAGACCTTTTGCTGTACTTGAACAAATGGATGAAGCCCCTGATCATTAACTAGTAATGTCTGGTGGGAAGACCTGTCAGGCCTTCAAAAAACACTTGATGAAAACTTACTTCACATGAAGGAGCTTGTTCAGATTGTCTGTTGCACTTGAGAACCAGAGCGCCATTTGTGTTGTGTTGGCAATAGAGTTGAAGTGGTGTTGTGCCTATGATTAAGACAGTTGTCTCTTGGTAGCCTCCTTGTTTGGGCTTTTTGAGCATGTCAAACAGGGAGGACAGATCCAGAACTAGCAGGAGGGATTGTACATCTCAGTGAGAAAGTCTTGCTGGTGAGAGGGATGTTTGAGATTCCCTCCTGGGATATGTTCCTCCATGATCGAAATTAAATTTTTAACAAAGTACATGCACAAAATTTAATGTTTCAATCATATATGTAGAATTAGAGTTTATATTTTGTGTGAAATAAGGTCACAGAGAGGGATTTCTGATTCAAACAAGAGGCAATAAATAAAACAAAAAATGTACCCTCCTTTTGTTGGCTCTGAATTGAGAGGTGAACATGCTTTCACTGAATTCAGAAACTATTAAATCAATATCAAATCGAAGTGAAATGACTTTATTATATATTTGATAGCTCAAATATTCCATATTGGGCTAAAATGATTACCCCACACTCCTTTTGGAATGGAAAAAAATATCAAGTTGATGATGGCAACAAATGTGAGGATCCCTCTTAAACCTTAAGCAGTAATTGTGTTTACATGTTTTATTCAAAGTGAAGTCATTATCCATGCTTGGAGAGGGTTAATGGCTTAAGTAAAATGCTCTAACTTGCACCGTTGGAAAGCCATCAGGGGATACACTTCAGGCTTGATAAATTAGAAATGAACTTTTGGATATTTAAGGAACATTTTCGATGTTTGTAAATACCATTAAAGCGGAATTTGTACCGAAAAAGTGACAAATGGTTATGTTAATTAACCTCCCGATCATTCAGTAAGATTGTGTTTTTAGGAGATGCACCGGCACAGCTCTTAAACTAATTGAGTTAAAGATAACTTTTTCTTTTTTTTTCTTTTCTTACTTTTTTGGGATTCAGAATCATATGACCATCATCACGTAATCCACTTGCGCTTCATATCCTCCACAGGCAAGTGTATCACAAAAAGTTGGGTTTGTGACGGAGACATTGACTGTGAGGACCGATCAGATGAAGAGTCATGTGAGTCTGCTGTCTGCAAGCCGCCGAAATACCCCTGTGCCAACGACACGTCTGTCTGCCTCACGCCCGATAAGATCTGCAATGGCAAAGTGGACTGTGCTGACCGCTCCGACGAAGGACCCATCTGTGGTAATGCCCGCCCTATCTTTTTCCTTTGTAATAAATGTCCTTTTTATGACACAACATATTCCTAAACATTTTCACTCAAAGGAGTAGAAGCCAGAGAACATTCCAGACAGATAGGTAACAGTCTTAGTGCAGCACTATGGGTGTGATGGCTGCAAATAGCTGTCAGTGTTTTGAGAAAGCTTCTGACAAAGTTTTCACTCTTGGCTGCTGAGGGAGGCTTACAGACTGTGTTAATCTCTCCCAAATTGAGCAAATCAGCAGGCCAAGCAAGTTACTGTTGCTGTTCTGTAGTTTTCTTTAGCTGGGCTCTATCAGACACTCTTCCGAAGAAAGATCCTTGGACCAAATTCCAGTGATTCATGTGGCTTCACAGATTAGATTTCTATGCTTTTTGTGACATTTTCAAAACTTTCCTAAATGTCAGAACAGAGAATCTGGTCTGCAGAATATTGTCCAAGGTGAGACATGTAGAACAGAGAAGTCTAAAGCTTAAGCAGAAAATAATGTCAGCTGAAACAGATGAACTTAAGATTGTCTTCTTTTCAAGCTTATAGAAGAGCCGGTTTTAACCTCTTGTTCTTGAAGACCTTTTTCCTCTCATCGGAAGTCTCATTCAATTCCGCCTAACAAGCTGTGTGTAAGACAGATAACTTCTAACGTATTTCACAATGCTCTGATCTGAAGAGTACAGACCCCTCCGATCAGAGTAGTGGACGATAGTGGACAGCAGAGTGACAAAGATGAGGGGTTTGCAGTCTTGGATACAGCTGAGCATGTGCTTTCCCTCATTCATTGAGTGTGTTTAATTTATTTACGCATAATAAGGACTCTTGACTGCCGTTTTTAGTTTTGAAAAATATTGTTTTGGGGTCACTAGCTTTGTCACACACGACTGAATTGCCCTGAAACAAAACTTGTCAACAATTTAAGTGACCCTTAACTCGACTTTTCATTCAGGGGAATTTTGAGAATCTTTAAAGATCTCAGCAGCGTGTTTCATGTGAGATCAGGTGGGGAAAAAAGTGGGGAAAGAGAAAGAAAATGACTGAAATTGGAATGTGGGTGTTGGGATCACACTAGCTACAATGTCTGTCAGTATACATATTTTTCTGAAAACGCACTCATTGTTTTATGATAAATATGTTAAGATGCAATGAAAATCTTGCCACACATTGATATATACTCTTAACACCTATGACTATGCCAGCTCATGCTTTGTTAAACATTTTTAAGACCACAAATTTGCAATGATTACACCCACAAGGCACTCAGACTCACAGGATGGAATAAAATGCCAGGTTTGCTACTGTGGATGGTGAAAAAAATCAATGAAAATGCTGAAATATACTTCCATTTTTCAAATGGTTAGCCAGTTAATACCCGAAAAAGCTCTCATCACCTGTATGAACTCACTTAAATACTTCATCCACCATCACAGGATGAAAAAGACCCAGGGGAGTCCATCTCCATCTTCTCCCTCACCAAAAGCAGCTCAGACGATGGGATGTAACCGGTATCTGAAGTCTCACAGACCAAAGAGACTGAGCATAAAGAAAAGAAAAATTCCTCCCATAAATGGAAAATATGGGACTGTTTGTCTAAAGCCCTTCAGAGGGAAGAAAAGGCTCTCATGTGACTTGCTTTAGCCATTTAATCTGTTAAAGTGAGCAGTGTAAACATCGAGGCTCATTTTCTAGAGCATCACTAACTAAGCCTCAGTGGGGTCCTGAGGGACCCTGAAGTGGAATCATGACTTAAAAGAGGGCTTCTGGCTCCTCTCAGACCATTAGTTTGTGTTTGCAGGGACCTCAAGGGTCTGCTTGATTTGTACCAGTTCAGCTGGATTCACACCCCCTTTAAACAATGTTTTATCAGGAATGCAATTCTCTGCTTGGTCGCAATTGAGAAAACAAAAACTACGTCAGTGAGATGCAGGCGATGTTTGTTTTTACAAAAAGTGTTATCCACTCTGATTGGGCAGCAACAGGTTTAAGATGTGCAGGATCAGAAATGTCATTCATCAACTTAGAAACTCAAAAACATAATCATGAAACGTTTTTGCTTGCTGAAAATTATGTTCTAATCATTTCTCTGTGGCACATTATACTGTAATGATTTATTTCCTTTTTTTGGATTTTGGAAAATTTCAAATCAATCTTTAAAGGTTTTCACAGTCATTTCTAATAAATTTGGAGCACATGTTGAGACAGTGAGAAAGATTTTTGCAAGTGGAAAGCCTTTAAGACAGTTGTCAACCGGTGGACTCCTATTGAAGTTCATAGTCAGGTCAGACCGTGAATCACAGTGGACATCAGCGATGGGGGGGGGGGGAATGCAGCATCTCACTTTTTATCTCCTTTATTTCAAAAAGGAAGATGCCAGAAGAGTTTAGATTAAAAAAACTGCATCCGAGCAAACCATAAGACTGCTGAAGCAATATCCTTTGGATAGAGAAGACCAGAGAGTGCGTTCTGTCATAAATACACAGCAACATGTCTGCAGCCACAGCATCTACGCACAAGCACACTTACACAACCATCAAGAACATTGGTTCAGGGAGGGGGATTGCAGCTTGTTTTGCAGTCACATGACATGGGCACCTTGGAGTCATTTAGTTAGTCCTAAAGTCTTTAAGATAAGTGTCGCCTCAAATCAAAATCGGCCATCATCCTGGCATGTGAAGCTTTGAAAAATGATTAAAGGTGTTCTGCAAGTAATTGAACTGTGATGTTTGCACCTACTTGATTTTGTACACCCTGTTTCCACATTGATTGATAAGTATTAATATTGTGAGTCTTTCTCTTAGAATAATATTTCTGTTCATTTATGGTATATAAAACCTTAGCATATGAGGAGGCTTTATTTTAAATGTTTAACTCATAAATGAGATTTCACAATTCTCAAAAAAATCCCTCTTCTTGTCCCTGCTGTCCTCCCTCTCCTCACACCAGACTTGTGCCTTGTAGCCAGAGGTGGTTGCAGTCACCAGTGCACTGTAGCACCAGGCAAAGGAGTCGTATGCTCCTGCCCCCCCGGACTTCACTTGGACTCCAGCAACAAGACGTGTGAGGTGGTGGACTACTGCAGCCGTCATCTGAAGTGCAGCCAGGTGTGCGAGCAGTACAAGACCACTGTGAAGTGCTCCTGTTATCCAGGATGGACGCTAGACTCAGACGGAGACAGCTGTCACAGTACCGGTAACAGACCCCCTGCTTTTTAATGTTTATTTTATCAATTCTACCGACTTATGTGAGGGTTCAGGCTTTTTTTTACTGCGGAAAAAGTGGGTCCTGTCCTTGGGCATGCTGTGTTGATAGTTGTTGATTCTGGATTGCTATTGTGGCTGCAGTGTTGGGACTTAATGACAATTTATTTTCTTACAAAAGAGGAAAAGACAAACTGTAAACATTTGCGTCATTTTGGGGAAAAGGTAGAGAAGACACCTTCACACTATGAAAACATTTAGTTTATCATAGATCAAATTCAATCATTTTAAAATGTGTATTGATGAGACCTATCAGTTTTGTGAAGGAAGAATGCAAGTTTCAATTGGCATTGGATAGAATGAGCTTCAGTGTGTTTTGTAGTTGCGCAGATATTTATGTCAAGCCTGATTCCTCAACGCAGAGGTTTTGCGAGAGTGGTATCAAATTGACAATTCCAACTTCACTTTTGTGATTGCAGTTGCCGGATAATCCATTTGATGAGGCTGCTTGAAATACAATAGTGAACAGCGCGTGCTGTTGGCTCGCCTCACTCAGATTTATGGACCTCGTTTTGATTACTCGTTTCTATCTTTCCATTCAGAATTGATGGCAGTAGCAGCTCTAATCATACATTAACACAGGAAAAAAAGCACAGTTTTTCTCTTCAAGCTGATGGGGATATCAGAGATTCATCACACGTAAACTCTCACTCACAAACATCCCAGTCAAACTTAAAAAAGGTGTTATTGCATGTTTTTATAAATCCTAAGCACAAATCTTCTCATTTTACCTTTAACATCTCAGCGATAAAAGATTTTTTGGTACAGATCTTGTCACATAAAGCATCGTACTGAGTTCTATGGCAACACTGGAGAATGCCATTGAATCAAGGACAAGACTTTAATTGCGTTTGTATGCAAACAGCTCTGTTCCCCACTGAGTGATTTAGAGTATAATGCTGTGAAGAATGCAGTGTATTGTATTTAAATTCTTGAAATTTTAAGTTGCAAAAGAGAGAGAATATAAAGATGTAATATGCAGGCACTGTTTTATTGGCAACTGTTTTATTAACTTACTACTACAGTAACGTCTTACAGACTATGCAGGTCCTAACCTAAAGCTTTGCTGTTTTTTCCTTAACCGATAACTTTTGTTTCATTAGATTTTGTCAAGTCATTCTTGCCCAGCCCCACACACGTCCCCAAACACACACACACTTGCACACCCGTGCACGTTGTACTCCAGGAGAGTCATTCTGTGGTGCGCAACGCAAAACGGAGTGAAAAATCAACCCTGTCGAACTTGTGACTTTACCTGCCACAACCCATCTGATCACACAATGTGCCTTTGTTTGCTGGTTCATAAGGCTTGTGCCGGTGCATATCTTAAACTATTTCAACAAGCATAAACATTCAATGGCAACGTTTAACTCGATAATCTTTGCAGTGCGTGACCTTGATACTGAAAGCTAAACTAAATAAATGTTTTTATTGTGTATTGATACTTGTACTGTTATTAGTGTGAAGATCTTTTTTTTTTATTAGGCTTCAAATTGACAGACTATTTTAATGGTAACATTTTAGAGATATTCAAGTGGTCCAGGTACTGAGCAGTTTGTGCTTAATAACAGCAATCCAGCAGCAAGCAACAAAGTAAAGCAGCAGCAGGGTCATCGGCATAAATTGCTCAGACCCAATATTTTTTTAGGGGTGATATTAGTCAAATGGAATGCCATGTTATGCATTGCCATTGACTACAGCCAATTTTTATAGATCCAGACAATGTAATGCTTATCCTTCTTGATATTAATGTCATATTTCATTCCTGAAAATAGATAAACGAATAGTATTTCCATAGTCGTGGTGGAATCATATCCACATCCTGCATTGACTAATAAAGATCATAATGGGTTAAAGAAGACTGCCGGTCTACTGGCCAATGCAAAATCATCTTTCTTTGTCTATAGATTATTTTGCACATTGCCAGGTCTAGAACGAAAAAAAATATGTATATATATTTGTTTGTTTTTTGTGTGTGCGTGTCTCCATGACCAGATCCCTTTGAGGCTTTCATCATTTTCTCCATCCGACATGAGATAAGAAGAATAGACCTTCATAAGAGAGACTACAACCTGCTGGTGCCAGGACTCAGGAACACCATTGCATTAGACTTCCACTTTAACCACAGTCTCCTTTACTGGACCGACGTTGTGGAAGATAAGATCTACAGAGGACGGCTCTCTGAGTCTGGCGGTACGCAGCACAGAGGAGCACACACCAGGATACAATGCATATCAAGATTTGCTTAGAGTCAGGACTGATGTGATGTATTGGCTATGGTGTTTCATATCTTGCTCATTTTTACCACAGCCTCTATAATGGAAGTTTAAGACGCTCGTAGTGATACTGTTCTGTTTTATTCTGCTGTCTTTATACACACTCAGCTCTGATTCAGCAGGCCGATACTGTCTCTTCCTGAAAATTTATCTCGGGCAACAAAAGTTGAAACTTGCAGCAGGACCGAAAGTCCCTGTTGTAACTCAGTATCTCCTCCTCATGAAACCATGAATCAGAACTTCTTATTGTCTCTGGGTTTTGGTGGGTGGCAGTTCCTTGCCCTTTATTTCCCTCTGTGGAGCTGTAGAAATCCACTCATAGCTATATCTATTCCATAGATTTTGTTAGACGTTTATAAAATAAATATCTGAGAATAATTGTTAACATTTGGATTATAGGTTTAGTGGAAAAAAAACCCATTCACCATGCTTAATGGAACAGTCATTTCAAGCTAAATTGCTTAACTTATTTTTTTTTTATTGTTTCCCTTTTTCCTCATGAAAGTTTCTTGACACGTGTTCACACCAACTACTTTTTGACTGTAATGTGTGTCAGTCCAAGAAAGTCATGCTGTCGTCTTGTCAATGTTGTTTCAGGGGTGACGGGAATTGAAGTGGTTGTGCAGCATGGCCTGGCCACCCCGGAAGGGCTGGCTGTGGACTGGATAACGGGCAAACTGTACTGGATTGACAGCAATTTGGACCAAATTGAGGTGGCCAAGCTTAATGGAGACATGCGCACTACACTGATTGCAGGAGGCATGGAACATCCACGGGCCATTGCTCTCGACCCAGGACAGGGGTATGTTTGTCACTGCTGGAAGCTGATCTACCCATTAGACGCTGAAAATAACAGAAAATAGTCCAACATCCTATTTCTGACACGTTCATGACCTTTTGGCATATAAAGATTTCGCATATAGGCCCCATTGAGACATTAATTAGAAGATGCATCAGAGACAAAGCTTTCCTCTTTTCTTCTTGAATAACAGTAGCTGATGTAGCTGATACCTCCAGTCCTTTCCTATGAATTGTTTCACATGATGTCTTGTCTTGTTCTTTGGTAACTTTGCACTACAATACTATAAGCTTTAAATAGAAATCCCAAGATATCTCTGCTCTTACTCGTTCTCCTGGAGGCCCCAACTTATAAATAAGAGGAAAAAAAGCTGTTTGTGTGTTTTTTCTTTTATTTGTTGCTGTCTGAAGCTCTCATTCGGTCTTTAATTTTTGTGTCTCTGCTTTTGTTCGGCAAGCCGCTGTAGTGTTTGAGTGTGTGTCATACATGACAGGCAGTTGGTATTGAAATCTTTTTACTGACTCACCAGTGGCTTCCCAGTAAGGCCAGGTTATTTCCTCAAACTCAAAGATTTATTATCAAACTCAAGGATTTATTTGGACAACCCTTTTATATTGCAAAATAGCAAATAATTCTGTCGGAAAGTAATACAAAGTCCTCCCAGAAGCTGCTCTTATTCAACTATAAAGTTAATACAGCCACAGATACTATGGGGTTGAGACAAAAAAAGACTATTTTTCTCTCCTGTTGATGTGTTGCTCATATTTTTCATAAGGTGCTTACTTTGGCTTAATGTATCTGAGAACTTGCCGGTGGTCAAATACTTTGGCGAAACCCAGACATTCAAAAAATCAATTTGACACTCTTAAGAGAAGAGTAATCTTCACATGCACTCTATCCCATAATGCGCCTTTGCATTTGGGAGGATGACTACAGTACATTTCATGGCTTTACAGAGTAGGATTAATGGGTACTTTTGGTGCCTAAAGCGCATTTCCATTACAGGGCAATAATTCTAATCTAATTACTTGAATCCACTCAAAGGAGGGTCATTGATCAGAGAAGCCTTATCAAGTGAATAAGGTTATTGATCTTGACAGGGATATTTCTTCCTAACACAGTTTCATTGTTGTCACTGACTGGACAAAGACGATGCTAGTGGAGTAGGAGTCATACATTTGTGGCTTTTAGAGGGGCAGTTATTTTTCAAAATTGGAAATAAAATTCAGAAAGCTGCGAGTAGAAATACAGCAGACCTACATGAATCCAGGAGTCTTCTGGGCATGAGACTGGACAAGCCAGAGAACCATATTTCTATGAATGAGCTAACTGAATTGGCTCCCCTGCAGAAATAAATTCCACAAAGCTAAAACCCATCTAATCAGCTAACCAACTTTAGATTGGCGGGCAGGAAGAGTTAAACAGAAAGAAAATCGCCTAAAAATTGGAGTTAAAGGGAATTAAAATAACTATTCATCTATTTCCCTCCAATATGGATCATACTGCGCTGTGGAATTTTACAAGGTGACATGGTTTTCAAGAAGGCAAAACCAGGGCAGCTAGGCCATAACTTTTTTTTTTGCCTCTAATTAAAAAACAGCTCTGTTTATGCTTTGTTGCACCGGTGCCTGTGTTTGATGGTTACATCAACGGCAGTGTTCGTTTTCAGGCATCAGTGGGCTATGAAAAGTCATCATAAAACAGATGGCCTCCCATTTCCGGGCCTGTCACAGATGTTAAGTGCCGCGCTGGATTTCTGGTGCGGTTCCTGGACAGTCATCAGCGCTGATTGTGTTGACACACAAAGTACAGCATTCTGCCTTTTAGAGACAGGGTGCTGACGAGGTTTAATTGCGCCGACTATACTGACGCTGTCATTTGAAATTAAAACAGACAATGATCAATGTTAATTTATGTCTTTGGTCCCCGTTTCAAGGATTCTCTTCTGGACTGACTGGGATGCTACTTTCCCAAGAATTGAGGCCGCTTCAATGAGTGGTGGCGGCAGACATATTGTGTTTAAGGATATGGAAATTGGGGCCTGGCCCAATGGCCTCACGTTGGATCATTTAGAGAAAAGGATTGTTTGGACAGATGCACGGTGAGAAATGTTGTCTGCCTCAAAATCATCCATGCTTTCATTTTATTTTGTGCAGATGTTTAATATTAAATCCTGTAAATGTCTCCAGTCCCAAAATAAAAGCTGAATTTCCCATTATCCAGGTGATCATTGAATAATGCAGCACATGCAATATTTAGATACATATATATATATATATAAAAGTAAACCTTTACTCTTGAGTGTGCCATGAAGAATTTAATAGTTGCACCAGTGGATCTCTGTCTTGTCTTTCAGCACCTTAGAGTGGTTTAAACTTTGATATGATGTTGCTCTCTCTTGAACAGCTCCGATGCAATTTTCTCCGCACTCTATGATGGTAGCGGGGTCATCGAGATTCTCAGGGGCCACGAATACCTGTCCCACCCCTTCGCTGTGTCACTCTTTGGAGGCAACGTCTACTGGACAGACTGGAGGACAAACACCCTGGCGAGAGCCAACAAGTGGACGGGGCAAAACGTCACAGTCATCCAGAAGACGAGTGCTCAGCCTTTCGACTTGCAAATCTTCCATCCAAGCAGGCAACCACAGGGTGAGAACAGTATTCTACCACAGTGTTGTCTTTCAATGCCAAAGTCGGGCCCATCTGGCAAAATAAAATGACAAAATAAAGCAGCACACAATTAATTTTAGTCCTGGCCTTTATCTCGGCTGTCAGTCAACCAGCATGCATTTGTAAAGGTGCTCGTGCAGAGAATTACTAAAGTTAATGCTACCTTTTGAATAGACTTTTTATTAATATCCAAAGTCTCTCTTGCTACTGCTTTAAAGCTATTTTGGTTTTTCTTTTGTTTGATGAATATGAATAAAGAGAACTGTAAAATAGAAACCTCATCTGACAGTGAATAATTGTAGCATGTGCAATATGCAAATAGATAAGTCATGAAAAGAATATGTTGCGATTACAGAAAATATGAGTCAATACTAAAGCATCATTAATATTAGTTCCTGAATATGTATCTTGTCACAGTGGAATAGGTAACCAATTCCACGCTCAGTAAGCCAAGACTCTGACCACAAAAGATACATTGCTGATGTGCGATCTGACAAGATGCCTATGTGAGTTAGCCAAATTTTATTTGATATGCAGATTATCATGGAAGATGTAGTGCCAAGCTTAAAATGGATAGCAGGTAATTTGTTTTCAATTAACATGTGTATCTTTTTCCCAGAAATGGGGCCTTTTTTATGGATAAAAAAAAAAAGATGTTTTGGATTTGTTTGCCAAGAGCACCCGACTGATGTATCTCTGTCCCCATCATCCTCCTGTTTATTGCAAAGTTTTAGTATTACCCCTTTCAGCTCTCCTAATCCATAAATCACATTCCTGAATGCGCATTAGTGATTATCGGATTTACATCTGTTCAAGTAATTATTCCTGGTTAGCGTTAACTGATGAGGCTTCATAAGAGAAGTTCCTAAGTCACACCACATCATCCATTCAGGTTATACTTCAAAAGTTCACAGTTAAACAATATTCATCATTGCTTTGCATAAAGAGTAAGAAATCAGGGAAGAGATCTGACATTAACTGCCTCAGTGTCATCTACTGCGAGGTGAATATTACCTCTCAATTCACTGAATGAAGAGGAATGTTTAGTCATACCAATCAATTATCAGTTCATGAGTGTTACTTATTTATTTATTTTTGCACAGAAGAAACTTTTAAGTTTCCAACTTTGCAGGCAACACCACAAAAAATCTTTATATATAATATATATTGCGTGTGGGTATAGTTAATTAGTGATAGTATCCTTAGACATTTTCTCTTGTAGGTTAAGAAAAGCCATTAAGGTGTAATGTGGTTTTTAATAGCCATTGGAACCATGTCATTTAGCACAGAGGAGCAGAACGGCTAACTTTATTTTAATTTACGCAAACATAAGAATAGCACTGTCGTTAGAAAATGAGAAGAGGTGATTATCCAACAGTTTTCTCGGCCTTGTAATGATAGGCTGATTGTTTTGTTGCAAAGAAAAATCTGACAGTTTAAAGCAAGAAAACACCTTGGCTCCGTTATTGCTGACTATCATCCCTAAAGAGCATCATTCAAGTGAAAGCAATTCAGTTAAGATGTCTCCCTATTAGTCCACCAAGTCAGCTGGGTATTGTTTTCAGTCTGCAGACAGTTTCATTTATTTCTTTATTTCTTTTTGTCTTGATTGAGCTACATTTGCAATGCAGTGAGGTTGTTACTGAAGGAGCTTGGAAAATGAACGTTGAATGAGCTTGTTTGACATGAGTCCTTCACTGCAGAGGGAAAGAAGAAAATGTTTCTGATGCAGAAAATTTGACTGCAGTATGATGTGAAGTTATTAAATTGTAGATGGCTTTCTATAGTCTGTCTGGGGTGTTTTATTCTTAACAGAGTACTGTAAGAAATGGAAGGAAATGGAAATAATCCTTAGCTCTGAAATAAATATATGTAAGGGCACTGCTTGGTTGAGTTTGCTATACTTGTCTTTTATATATGTCAGTAGCTGGAGAGCTTGCCTAAAGTTTCCATTATTAAGAGGGAATGATGTCACCCTTCAGCCATGGGCAAAATAGATGTATTTTATTTTATCTTTTGCTTTGTAGTTTGTTCGTATATTTCATCCTCTGTAGAACAGGTTGAAGACAAGAACAGTTTGAGCTTCTTTTGAGAGCGGCCGTGCCTGTGTGCCTTACCGAACCTTTTTGCTGTTAAAACCAGGAATGAAATTGGAGTTGCATTTGTTTTCATCCGTGCTTTGTCTCTTTATGCAGCACTGTCAGCGAGGGCCTCCAAATATCACGTTGCTAAGACCTTCAGACCACTTCGAGTGCCGTCATTTTCCAGGAGGATTTTAGAAGTTGTCATTTTCTTAAGTGTTCTCCTTTTTCTTTCCTGCTCTTATGTCAGCCTCCAACCCGTGCGATATGAATGATGGACGTGGTCCCTGTTCGCATCTGTGTCTCATCAATTACAATCGCACTGCGTCCTGCACCTGTCCACACCTCATGAAGCTTTCAACCAACAAACAATCCTGCTTTGGTGAGCGAGAACACCTTCCTCATTTGTCATGTCTGCTCCTTATGTTAACAAAGTGGAAACATGAGGTACTATGTAAGCCGCGAGAGAGGCGTTTTGTTTTACATATGACTGTCTTCACTTTTCACTGACAGCAACATTTACATCAGACTCCTATTATCACAGCTTCACCTGGATCTGACAAAAAAAAAGATCAGCAAAATTGCCTCATTTTTACATGATTGATTACTTCATTATTCCTCCAGCATTGAAAAGGTTCCTGCTGTATGTGCGCCGCTCTGAAATCCGTGGCGTGGACATTGAGAACCCATACATGAACGTAATGACGGCACTGACCGTGCCGGACATTGATGATGTCACCGTGGTGGATTATGACTCTCAGGAAGAGCGGATTTACTGGGCTGACATCAAAACTCAAACTATCAAACGGGCATTCATCAATGGCACCCAGATAGAGACCATTATTTTTTCAGGTGAGTTTTAAAATGTTTTTTTTTTCATAAGTAAATACACATAATTGTAACAAGCTGGAAAGTGTAATCTGACACACATCACATACAATATTATTATTTTCTGTTGTTTTTTTGCACAGCTGACAGCTTTTTTTTGTACTTCCTTACAGACATAGTGAACTGTCGGGGTCTGGCTTTAGACTGGCTCTCTAAGAACTTATACTGGCTCAGTTCTGAAAATGATGAGTCACAAATCAATGTTGCTCGCTTTGATGGATCCCTGAAGACGTCCATCATCCACGGCATTGATAAGCCAAGGTGCCTTGTAGTGCACCCTGCCAAGGGGTAAGTAGATTAGAGAAGTCTTTTCACCACATGAGTGCATCACCTTACATTTAAAGTATTAGGCAACCTTGACCCGCAGAAAATGGATCAAAGGCTTGTTATAAAAAAAACAATGTAATACAAGCTTTGAAAATTGGTTCAGATTTAAAAAATGTTGTCAGTTTCATTATTCAATTCAAGTAAAAATGATTTTATTATCATTCAAATAAATTAATAATTTTCCGATATCTTGTATGTAATTGAATTACTACCACTGTCTTCACAATTTCCCACACAGGAAAATCTATTGGACTGATGGTAACACCATAAACATGGCCAACATGGACGGAAGTAACAGCAAAGTCCTCCACCAGAACCAGAGGGATCCTGTAGGTCAGTATAATTTTTATATAGCATCATTACTAAGACCACTAAATAAGCTGCTGTGTCTCATTTTACACGATAACTCAAGTGGACTTGATATGTTTAATCATGTGTCCGATTCTGTCTGTCAGAATCAAACGCAATCCATTTTAAAGAAGGAACTACCGCCAGTACCACAAAGAAGTGACGGGGTTGTTTGGTAATGGTTAAGGATGATTGCAGATTAACTTGATTACATTTTACAGCACTGACAGCTGTAAAATGCACTGTTTAATTTATATTCACATCACTCCAAATCCAGTAATTCCAGTATTGAAACCTTTGGAATGGGAGAACTGTGTTTCTTCCTACTGACACAGTTTTTAATCATAAGACAACACTTATCTATTCCATTATGACCCTGATAAATACAGACAAACTGGACAGACATGTTAGACATGTTGTCTTAATGATCATGTATTGTATAACATATTAAAATTAAAACAGATATAATTGGTATTGTATTTTTACATTTCTATGGGTTTGAATATAGAACTTACCCTTTCACTGGTTTGATGTGATAGGGTTCATAATGCCACAATAATAGGTTACTGTGTTTTGTACTTGTACTCTTTTAATTTCAGTGTAATTGTAATGGCTTTACTCTGGACTGAATATTGCTTCAGCTCTCTTTACTCCATGTATTATCCCTCACTTTTTTCATCTTTAAGAAGATTTAAAACTAAGCCGCAAGGCTCCAACATACCCTGCTGACTTTAACCATTCTAGTTTTTCTCACTCAGTGTGCGGTTATACTTTAAGGTGTTTGCCTGCATGGAGGTGTTGTTTATTGAGAGCCTGTTAGCTGTAGTGATGAATGCAAATGGGAGCTAGGAATCTTTTATTATGAAATGTTATGCAATTTCTTTTCTCTTGACACCAAAGCAACAGCGGAAGGCAAAGCTCCCAAATTGCATAATCCATTCATTTTTAGTCAGTACACCTGAGCATTTTTAAAGCACATTTTTCTCCCCTTTCAATATTTCGTGTGAATAATTTGGTTCTTTGGAGCTTGAGATGAGCGAGCTTGAGCGAGAAAGCAAAGTTTTCCCTTTTCTTGTCTGTTTTCATATCTCACCTCTTGGGGGCGGGGGGTTCAGGTCTGACTCGTATTTACTTTTGCAGGCAGTTTAGTCTCCAAACAGCCTGACATGCATGTTTTGGGGAATTTGGGAGGAAGTTGGAGCATTCCGAAAGAGCCCATGCACATAGTAAACGGGGAGTACATGCTAACTCACCCTGAACAGTTTGCCAGTGAACACCCCTCTTTGATAGCAAGTTCTCCCCTCACACGATCCATTCTTAAGTAAGCATTTTAACCTTGATTTGGCAAAAGAAACATCAGATGTTCTTTATCACGAGCAGTTGCTGTTACGTACAGGAGCTCAAGGTGAAATTCCCTATTAATCATACAAAGCAGCTTTGTCTTCTCTGCATGTCTTTATTCTCTTCCGCCTGTCAGCAGCACAGATAGCAGGGTGCATCATATTTCACCAGTTTCATTTATGATTATGGGCTAGACCTGGGGACAAGAGTAAATTAATGACGCATTGTGACTGTGAATCTGCCAGACATAAATCCGACACATGGCGGGAGACAGTGAGATGTCCGGGGGTACACAATTGAAATGACTCTCAGTTCCAGCCATTAACAGGAATATGCTTTGGAAAAAAACAGAAGCAAAGTGCCAGCCTGGAAATGGAATCGAAAGCAGCCAGTTCTCGTTCGTTTTCATTTTTCCTTCCAACTGGAGCTCTTTAAAAGAGATCCCCCTCAAAGATGAATGAGTAATAGCATCGATGGTTTTATTAGTCCTTTCTGAGCCAGATGCTTTTAGACTACTGCATCTAAATGTTGAAATCGTTTTGATTTTTTTTTTTGTGTTATTTCAGTTATCAGCATTTTCCATGTTAGAATTTCATACTGAATATTATATTTGCTTTGTTTGTCTCTGATCTTTGTCTTTTTGATGGTGGGATTATCTATGATGTTAAAATCCCACCATCTTTTGATGCCAGGCACTGTATCCCTTTAAATGTTTGCACATGCAGCGCTAACCTTGTGTGCTGTCTTTACTTCGTCTTCCTGTCAGGTCTCTGTATAGACTATGCTTCCAACAAGCTTTACTGGATAAGCTCAGCCAATGGCACAATCAACAGGTGCAATCTGGACGGCAGCGGAATGGAGGTGCTGGAAACTGTGAGGAGGGAACTAGCCAAAGGCACGGCTCTCGCTGTGATGGGTGAGTGGAGTTTGTTGCAAGTGCACCAGATAGCCGGTGGGGATTACTCAAAGTATGTGAGGATATTATACCTTTAACCAGTAAAATGACTCCGGAATGATCACTTAGGAGTCCTTGCAACTCTTGTACTTCATTTTATGTGAAGTCGCAGGAGCGGTAGATAATTAAAGCACAACATGGCAATGATTGATGATTGATTTTCTCCTTGCTTTCATAATGAAAAGCATGGAGGATGTTAATTACATGTTGATTCTTGCTATCAGCATTAGATCCAATGTGTCACACCATCCATCAACACATAGTTCATTAAAAAGTGTGTTGTCCATTCTAGATGTGTTCTATATATTGTCTGCTTCTATAACTACTTTCATTTCATTTGATACACAACAACCAAAAATCACCATGAAGTTACTCAAGCTGTCAGATCTACATTTACTGTAGGTCTGATTCACACTGTCCAAATGTATCCCAAATTAAACTTACAAAAAGCTGATACCTACTAATACTAGACATTTAGCTTTTATTTAAAAAATGTATTGTGAACATTTAGTCCGGCATTAAATGACTCCTACTGGCCGCAGTAATGTCACCTAGTATATGTAGATATTTTATCAGAATGTGATGTAATTGGGAAATGAGAGTGGGTCACAACCTTTTGAAAACTAAAAGTGACCTAGTTTCTGTCTCGGGCACGAGTACTCTCCATCCTGTTGCATTTAAAAAGTTCGAAAGCATATGTCCAGTATGATTTATAGTCAGTCACAGCTTATTACAGACTTCATTTATGTAGATCAAGTATAAGGAGGAGCTCTAAAGAGACATGATATGGACTAGGTTGGAGCTATTTAATTGCATGTGTAAAGGATGACCTTAACGTCCAAAATGAAAGAGACTCCAAAGAAGTAGATGCTTGAAGATTAATTTAATGATCTGACCTGTAAGAATATTCTCAAGAAATATTAGCAGAGTGGACAGCAATTAGACCCAGTGGTCCCATCATTATCTTAAGGAGGTAGTAAGATCAAAAGTATGAAACGATCCTTGGTATCTGGCTCCAAGGTAATATACAAGATAACAATAATAAGTGCTGTTGTAAATGTATCAAATTTGATTTGAGATTGTAGAAATGAACAGAGCATAAAAAGTGAACATATTGATTGGTGTCAATGCAATTCTTGAAAATTAAATTAAACACAAACTTGTGTTTCCACAGACACGATTTAATATTCCTTGTAAAATGTTATTTCTGTTTAACTTAAATGGTGTGTTAATAAACTGACCCTTGTTATTTAGACCACTGAGAGGAGAGGAACAGTTGTAGACATTGTTTTGGGAAAATAATTTAGTTTTTTGTTTGAGCCATTATTTCCAAAAACAATTCCAGATTGCAGATTATCTGACCACAGAATTATTTATGAATGATAAAGTTGCCGTAGCGCAAAGCTTTGGTCAAAGAAGATGTCAGTTTTTCTCGGTCATGCTGTATTCAGAGAAATACCTTTTTTTTTAAGGTGCTTCTGAGCTGATACAGCAATTAGCATGAAATAAATATCAACTGACTCAGCCCCCCAAATTCTCTCAAACTTTGGTAATGTATAGTATAGATGATGGATGTTGGCCTGAAATTTGGCCTGAAATTGTAAATCATTATGTAACTGAGAAGTGAAAACACAGATTATTGCAGTCATTTTCTTTTCTTTCTTTGGTAAATTGTAAGTTGTTATTGATTATTTTATCTTATCTCATTGTTTTTCCTGTCATTTTCTGCTGGAATCTGTCATATGCAAAGGGCTTGAACTGAGTTTATCAATAATTCCATTTGTAAAACAGAACGTCATTATGTTTGATGGCAACATGCTACAGCTAAAAATCCTTTTGTCTTATCCTTATTGGAATTCCTTACAGTTAAGACTTAAGAGAGATAGGCCTTTGAGACTTCGTTATAGCATTTCACAAATGAGAGTTAGAATGGAAGCTGACATAGACTAATGGCTTGGTTCCTGCACAGAAGCAGGTACAGCAAAACACTGGAATGATGTCTGCGGGTTTCCATCATTCATGATTAATGAAAAGATTTTCCTAGGTTTGGGGAAACTGAAAAGTGGAATGAACAGTGATATGCTGTGTTTTATTGTTTTATATTTGAACCTTATTTTTATTTCACTGTGTTTCAACATTAGCAGCATAGCTTCGAATGGGAGATTCAGCATTTCTGTTTAATTGAAGGACATCTAATGGCTTTTTAAATGGTCTTGGCATGAGATGACTCATCCCACTGAGACAGGGTATACGTAAAGCTATCAAGTATTTTAGTTTAATCTTTTACCAGTTTGTACTTCAGAAAATAAAAGAAACAACTCTTATAAAGCTTTTTTCTTTTTAAATGAAGGTCCCTCACTGCGCACTATATTTCCCTCTGTGTTAATAGACTTATGTAATAACTTATGTGATCCAGATGAACACTACAGTTAATTGCTTTGCGTTTGGTTATACTTATTAACATTGAGTTTCTCAAAGGAGCACACATTTGTCCTCAGCTATAAACCACTTGGCATTCACCTGTGACGGGTCAGTTTTGGGGGTTGAAACAACAAGCGGACAAATATTTTTCTGCTTTGTGCTATTAACTATGTGACGGCCATCACAGAAAAAGTGGCTGTTATAATATGAGATTTTATTTAGTCTATCTCCAGTCAGAAGCAATGTGGTGACAAATTACTTCATTTTTTGTAACTATTTTCTTTGGCTTTCTTTGGCTTTCTTTGGCTTTTATTTATTCTAGGAGCAGTTCAGATAACAATAAATCAGTATATATGCTCTTGTTGGGCAGAGAGATTAGCAATAAACATCATCAAACAGGGAGGGGTAATTAAGTGCCACCATGTCCTCGGTGACTCAAGCAATCAGCACTGAATTGATCTGTGGTTTCATGTTGTATCCTTTTGTCTATGAAAAAAATTGATTTGCGAGACCTGTTTGAAGTGGTTAACGTTACTCCAAATGAGCACAACAGCTAAACAAAGACATCTTGTTTACACATAATAGATCTGTAACAGTCGGCCAGAAACAAAAATTTGCAATCGGGTTCTCATCGAGATTAATCGAACTTTTGGACTTGATGGGGTGCCTGAGTTGTTTATTTTTGGGGTGGGAGGCGAGGGGGTATTTTCATTTTTGTACAAATGTCTTTTGGTTCTTGGTGGTTAAAGCAATGTAATGACCGCACTGTTTGTGACACAAGGTCAAGCCATGCAGGTCTTAAGGCTCAGTAATGATTGCATTGGCTTTAGGGTTTCCATTTGGAGGATGTGAGAGATCAATCAGCCTTGACTTGTCTTGGATCAAACTAGCCGTTCAAGTGGAAATTGAATATGATGTGCCACAAGCGAGCAATCACATCTACCCAGTGGTCCCCCATGGCATCAAATTAACACAAGGTGCAAAGCTAATCTCAGCTAGCGCGCCCTCTGGGGCATAATGTTTTGTAAACTGCATGTAGACTGTCACTCTCACTCATGTGCATGTGTCTGATTTGTGGAAATCCTATTCAGCAGTCGCTCTAAGGTTGGTATTCATCGTAAACTTTGAAATCCTTGTAGGAATTGCGTGTTTGTTTGGTTTGGTGTGTAATAAATCAAAAAGGGTGACAGGCTAAGACAGTGTAATCTAAACAGGGATAGAATGATGCTGAACCTTTTTTTAAACCGTAATGCTTGAACTACAGAATTAAGTCCGCCTCATTTGAATTAGGTTGCTCATACAATTTTAAACAAATATATTACACTGCACTAGGTTGTGTTCACAAAAAGTAGCTCCTTCTCAGGACGTTTGAATTAAAGCAAAACATAAAAAGAAATATACTTGTAAATGACACTGCATCAAAAGAACTAATACTGAGTGGTTGCTGCACCCATATAGCAGAGTTATCACTCTGTTACTCCTCACACATTGTCTAAACATCCAGAGGTAACCCTACAATCTAATTTTGGTTGAAAATTGGAATAATCTTTCACATTATTTTTATGTGTCTGATTGAATTATCTGGTTACATCTCATATTATCACAGTTATCTCTATACAAATATTAATTTCTTCCTTTCGGGAAGCACTAAAATGATCTCCACTGTCTCATATGTAATATTTATAATCTTTCGAGGGGAGCCTCCTGACTCTTCTCCACTTTCTGCTCCATGCTGAAAGTTTCTGTCATGTCCGATTTCCTCTGGAGGTAAACATGGGTACTCTGAGGGTAGTGCGGTGGTGGTGAGCTTGATGGGCTTGGGTCTGGAGCTTGTTGTGTACGTGCACTTTGGCTGAGAAACACTCATCGCTTGTGTTCACGGTGCCGGCTCTACAGAAGCCTGAAGGGTACTCATCTCCATCACGCAGAGTCACACGGTTGGAGAGTAGACATTAAAACATCATGACGTGTAACAACTGCAGTACATATTCTCACTTGCCCTGGGACCAGGGGCATCTGTTTTGTAGACATGTGCTTGGAAATCACAGTCTAACTCTTCATAATTGAAATTCTTGTTTGTTTTTTTTTGTTGAAGCTCGTGGAACAGCTATAGCAGAGAAAAAACCTCTCCCAAACATCAAAGAACGTATTATTCAAAGCTGCTAGATGCACACATCATCAACAGCAAGTGCGCAGAGCAAAGGACAGAGCATCCCTCTCAAATCAGCTCAAAGAATGCATCAATTATTGGGTGGTTTTCAGACATGAGTGCAAGCCATAAAGGATTTCAGTGCAGGCTGTAGAGTTGATGATGTAATTTTTGTTACTTTATTAACAATGTGGGAAAGCTGAAACGCCTGAAAATGCAACACCATCTTTATTTCACAGGCGGCAAACTCTGGTGGGCAGACGACGAATCCGCACAGATAGGAACGGTCACCAAGAGAGACGGAAGGAATTTTTTGGTTCTGAGAAACAAGACAAGCGGGGTGGTTCATATGAAGGTTTACGACCGGGAGGGTCAGAAAGGTAAGCGGCCACGCACGAACGGGGAAACGTGTTGTGAAAGACTCGGATACCTGACCGTGTTGCCTTTGCTGGTTTTGCCTTCTATTCAGGAAGAAACCTGTGCCAGGTAAACAATGGAGGATGTTCACAGCTCTGTCTCCCAACATCAGAAAGCACCCGCAGCTGCTCCTGCACCGTTGGCTATAACCTGCGCAGTGATCGTACATCATGTGAAGGTTGGAACTCCATCCTCCTTTAAACCATCCATTACAGAGCCTTTGTGAATGTGAACGGTGTTAATGATATGCATGTGTCCCTGGGTGTTCATAGTTTTAATCTCACATTGCGCAAATTTCCCTTCTAATAGATCTTTCTATCTTCTAGGTGTTGATTCATTCCTGATATATTCCATCCATGAGGGAATCCGAGGAATTTCTCTTGACCCAAATGACAACAGTGAGACCCTCATGCCCATCACAGGAACCCTGTTTGCTGTGGGGGTGGACTTTCACGCAGGTAAGATGGAAAAGTTTGTATCATTCTGTCAGGGTTTGAATAGTAGCCTCAGATCGTAACGTCTGCTTTTTACCCAGAACTGATACGATAAATAAATGATCAGTTGTATGAATCCATCTAAAAATAAGCTTTTGAGTCATACACTTTGACCTAGTCTGACCATGATCTCAAACCACTTTCTCTTATTTTCCCTGAGCAGAATGAATGATTGACATACACGATGCAATTCTTGTCTGAATAAGTGCACTGGTCAATTTTACCCCAAAAGCCATAATAACAGCTTTTTCTTGTCAAAATAAATCCCCTTTTCAACTGATGAAAAAGTCTAAAAACAAATCCGGCTTGGAATTTAATGTTAAGGGGTTTAAGTTACTCTGATTGGCAATGATTGGGAAAAAAAGTGCTAGTGTTATTCCTTTCAGGGCAACAAGATCAAGAATAGATTCTAATATTTAGTCAATTCTTACCTGGTGATTCAATAATTAGGCAATGACTCAACAAGCAATTGAACCAAAGAGTTAGGTGACTCGTAAAGGGCTTCTGTAAATGAGAGAACATGACCGGGTAGCAATAAAAGCTGTTGCTAATATTAACCCAGCCATGCAAGGCTGAGATTGTTGTTTGTTTAACCTAAGGTTTAACATGCCCTGATTTTCCTTACATGCTTTCAGCATAAACCTTTTACCATTATGCGGTCAAATTAATAAAGTTCATTTGTTCAAGTTCAAGAGTTATTGCACTGCTGAAAAATTAATCAAGTAAACAAACATTATGGGTAAATTTGTACACATTGAAACAAGGAAATTAACTGACTGGGTTGTCATACCATGATAATCACTCAACAAAAACTGAGAATTTAAATAATTTTATTTAATTTGAAGCTGATGTGTCACACATGTGTGTTTGTTGAAATATGATGTTTACCTCTTGACTGGTTGATCAGTGCTGATCCTTCCTAATATTAACTGACTTTTTTTTATAATCCTCTACATGTTTGCTGCTCTCATTGTCTTTTCTGCTTGTTTTCATGTTAAAATTATCATAAAACAGTGAAAGTATTTGCATCAATGCCCTTTGCTTTTACGGTGCAACTTCACACAGCGTTGCCATCCTTCATATCCTGCCATATCTCTCTCTGCCTGGTTCCCCCATTGTATTTCTTGATAAACCTTTCCTTTTCAGTATTCGAAATAGATGCAATAGGTTATATGAGGTCCCGTATCTTTGAATAAAAGGCTTGTGAAGTGAAGCACAAATGAAAAATGAAAAAGAGTTTCAGGGGGCGCTTCTGCATCGGAAAATGTTAAGCTATTTTATAAAAGAATATCTAGAATCATCCTTATTTAGCATGCAATTCCTGCAATTGTCAGAATACATCAATCAACACAAGCATGCAAATGTGTAGACTGACATACTCATAATCAGGAAGACACACTTGAAGAATGCACTTAAAAACGTCTTCAGTTTATTGTCGTTATGGAGTCATAAAATCCCAGCAGGTCAATAACAGTTTAACCAACAACATGTTTTGTATAAAGCAATTAACTGCCTTGTAAAATATAACCAAGAATCATCTCCCCTGTATGTGTATTGTATGTAAACGAACTGTTGTTCCTCAACACAGGGGCTTTATGTAAGCACATAACATCTGGTGAAATGGACCGTGCTGCAATAAAATGTGGTTTCACAAGCTGCCTTATTTGAGAGACTAAATACTTCTGTGACCAAATCATTTATCGTCCCTTTTTCTCTCGTCATTAATGTACGGTGCAATTTACAGGAAATGACACAGTGTACTGGACAGACATGGGGCTGAACAGGATATCCCGGGCCAAACGGGATCAGACCTGGAGGGAAGACATCATTACTACAGGCATCAGTCGAGTGGAAGGCATAGCTGTTGACTGGATTGCCGGTTGGTATTGTGACTCCCCAGGCCTTAAAGTTACCTCCATTGGCTGTCAAGTTGCTATTGATTGTTGGAAATTGTCAATTTAGGAGCAATGCCTCTAGTAATGGCAGTGAGTAGAGCCCTTGCTTTGATCTGGACTGCCAATAAACATTAAACTGTCCTATACACACTTTAAAATCATAAAAAGCACCCATACAGGCAAAATAATAGCCTTTTGAACACAATGTATGACTAGGTTTATGTGAGAAACTATTTGTATTTTGTTATTTAAAGGATCAATAAACCTTGACTGTATTTACACAGCTTACTATCTTTTCTCTTTATCCAGGAAACCTGTATTGGACAGACCATGGTTTCAATCTGATAGAGATCTCTCGTCTGGATGGAGCATATCGCTCAGTGGTCATATCAGAGGGACTAGATCAGCCTCGAGCCATTGCTGTACATCCACAAAAGGGGTGAGAAATGCCTTTGTGTTTTCCTGTTTTTGTTTCAACCTGTTAGTGCACTATTTGCTGTCCTCTATGGCATCGCTTTGTCTTAAAAAAAAGACATGTTCAATCCATTTCACAGCCAGAACACTTGTAACACAACGTATGGCAAGAAAAAAAACACGTAAAGCAATCTGTGCTCAACATATGTTTATCACACAATCGTTTTATGGAACACTCCAATAGAAACATTTGCTAATATACCTAATATCATCATTATTATTAGTTAATTCACTTGTCCCTGTTTTCAGCACTTATAATCATAGATACAGCTTTAACTTGAGTTCACATCAAAAACAAAAAAAGGAAAAAAGACATCTATCACTTGGTGTCCTCATATAAATGGTCTGTGTCTAGTGTTTAACAATAACTTAACAGATTTTTTACAAAGAACATTGGAATTAGAATCCTAGCAACACTGCAAGTCGTGATATTCAGAAGATGAAATTTTAGATTATGCTGATATTAAACAAAAAACAGCATAATCGTAATAATCATTCCCTTCATCGATTTAGGTTGATAAAAAAATATGCAAATTTGCATTCCAAAACAGCATGAGCCCATGGAACCAACATTCTTTTTTCATTAGTACCTTCTCGTGGTGGCAGTGATGGATGTGTTCTTGGAAAATGTTGGTCTCATTACAAACAGTCAGTCATTATTTGAATGCAATAGCCTCTCTAAAATTTGCTGCCGACCATTTGCATCCATTTATGGGCACAGTTTACCATCCTCACACTTGTATTTATAGAATGAAATTACAGAGAACAAGTCTTTAGAAAAGAAAAGTACTTTCAGGATATCACACTGTAATATGTGAAAATAAGAAAATGGGCTTATTGCTTTATATCGTTTTTTTTCAAAAGATATTAAGCGCCAACCAAATTATATGCAGAGTTCTCACTATTTTATGTCTTATCGTGCTTGATAGATATCTCTTCTGGACTGAGTGGGGGAATAATCCCTGCATTGGCCGTTCTCGTTTGGATGGATCAGACCAAGTTACCCTGGTTAACTCGGGCATTGTGTGGCCGAATGGAATCTCCATAGACTATGAGGTACAGTTGCAAACAAGACTCACAACCCTCAACTCTAACCAATTCTACTTTTACTTGGAATTTCTTACATCATCTTGCTTTTTTAAGGCTGAAATGTGACTAAACCTCAAAGTTTTTGATATGCTTGTTTTTTATTTTCAATATTACCCTCCAGGAAAATACATTATATTGGTGCGACGCACGGACTGATAAGATCGAAAGGATCAACCTTGAAACAGGTGAGAGCCGGGAGATTGTACTGTCAGCGGCCAACGTAGACCTGTTCTCAGTGGCTGTGTTTGGACCTTACATCTACTGGTCTGACAGGTAATTTGTTATTTTCTTCAGTGCACACATGCGATTGCCTCCACAGCCTGTAGAAAAACTACACATTTACCTTTCCCACCCAATGGTTTCATGTGAAAATTTTTCTATATTCCTCAGCAAGTCACCATCAATTTCATAAATATAGACAAAACTCTTTGTTATTAGCAAAGCAAATCCTTTCTGAGCCAAATGAAAAAGCCTTATTTTCTTCTCTTTTTTTATCCAACTGATTTATTGAGGGGAATTTTAAGTAATACTTTAACTTTTTCTTGAAAATAGTCATTATGCACTCAATTACATGCGTCTTTGTTTTCACAAATATCTCGTCTTGTTTGACGTGACAATTATCTTTTTCACTCCCCCACAGAATTACAGAGGAAAAGTGCTTCATTCAAGTTGTAACACATTATGTTACAGCTGATGATTGCAGGCTTAGATTGATTTAGTGTTATTAAAGACAAAACCAAACTCTAAACAATTCGTGATGTTGAAAGACAAGGACAGAATCCAATACTTTGAAAATCTGATAAACAAACCTTTTTCAGTATTCATCTGTAGCATTGAGTTAGTTTACAAAATTCTGAAATTATGTAGTTTCTGTACATAAATGACATGACCATAAGCTAATGACGATGCTTGTCATCTTGAGGCCCTAAGGCGGCCCTGAATTAAAACCAGACTTGACTGTCCTAAACATCGCTGCTCCATCAGCAAATGCAGTTTAAATCACTGTCATGCAAAGAAGACATATGTTGACATCTTCTGTGAGCCACGGTTAACTTAAAATTAACATGAAATGAAAAGCTGCTCTGTTTTTCTTAAATATTTCATAAGTATCCTCTAGTCTAAAGAGGAAAAGAACCATAAGGCATTTTAAAGTCCCCAGATCAAAAGCATATTTCTTTAATGGTATGTGGATATATTAGCACATAGAATTGGTCCTTTTTTTACCTCTGGGAAAGCACTAACATAGCTGAAATGTACAAAAAGTTTGTCCAAAACACCTCATATTTCGGCGAGTCATCTGAACACTGTATCTTGAATTACAACAGCAAAGCCTACTTTGTAATTTTTACACGAAAGTAGCTTGTTTTCAATTCCTATTTAAAGTTCAGCAGTTTTGCTATTGGGGTAGTAGAATGTTTATTCTGTGCAATATGTCAGTGTCACTCAAAAATCAGTAGCTTTCCTCTGCAAAACTTTCTTCCATGACATGTTCCTTTTTTCCCCTTGGGAACTTCAGGGCCCACTCCAATGGTTCCATCCGACGGGCTTTAAAGACCGACACCAGCGAGGCTGCAACCATGAGAAGTGGCCTGGGAGTCAATTTAAAGGATGTGACAGTCTTTAATAGAGGTAGAGAAAAAGGTGGGTTTCAGCTTTACAGTGGAGTCCATTCCTGGTGAGGGTATAATTATTGTGTTGAAGACAATTTAGCATTTTTATTCTTAAACATGATTTCTTAAACATGATATATATATATGTATATTTTATTTTAAATTATTATTTGTGTATTTATTTATTTTCTTTATTATTATTTATTTTCTTTATTTTTGTATTATTATTTTTATTATTATTATTTTATTTTATTTATTTTTTTTTTAAATAAAAAATAAAAACTTTTTTTTTTTTTTAAACCTGTATATTCGACAGGAATTATTTGGTTGTCATATATCTTGGACTGAATATGTGCTTTGTTTTAAAGGTACCAACCCCTGCGCCAGGAATAATGGAGGCTGCCAGCAGCTTTGCTTTCACCTGGGCAGCGGGCGCCGGACCTGCTCCTGCGCCCACGGCCGCCTGGCAGACGACGGCTTTGCCTGCAAGCGCTACGAAGGTTATCTGCTCTACTCGGAAAGGACTATACTGAAAAGCATCCACCTTTCAGATGAAAATGACCTCAATTCACCCATTCAGCCTTTTGAAAACCCTACTTTTTTCAAGAATGTCATAGCGCTGGCCTTTGACTATAGTCAGAGCACAGCTGAGACCAACCGCATATTCTTCAGCGACGTCCATTTTGGAAATATCCAAATGATTAATGACGACTGGACGGGAAGAGCTATCATTGCAGAGAGTAAGTAGATTTCGTGTTGTTAAAACTGTTGTTTGTTCAACCCTAACCCAATTCATACACCTCTCAAAAAGAACTCAACTTTGGTTTTACAGCACTGTCATATATTTGTTGTGTGAGGGGTAGTAAAATTACACCATGTTTCTATTCTGTTTAATTATTATGTCATGAAAATATGCTTTGCTTACATTTTTGTTTATACCACTATCCCAAATGGTGGTTGTTGAATTTTTTCCTTAAAGCCTGGAAAAAATGTAATAATAAACATAGTTTCTCTGAAGAGTATCAGTAAAACATGAGGTTTGTTTTTTGAGTCAACATGAAAGATTCACCGACTTGTGAAGTGTCCGAAGAGTCCAGGCTCCAATTATGCCCTCTTTCCAGCTCAGTATTTTGGTTTGCAACTGGAGAATGTCCTCATAATTATGACCTCAATCATGAGGTCATAATTGACTGAATTGGGTTGAACATGTCCAAAGGTTTATTGCTTTAATCACTTCCGAGATTTATTCACTATCCTGCCAGTGCACAATACACGTGTGTCAGGGTGTAACGGCTATGTTTGATGTCCATCATCCAAACACAGATTTCTGATGATCCGGTAACTGTTCCAAGCTCAAATTTCTTAGAACGAAAGAGTCCAAATATAAATGAATCAATAAACGAAATAAAGCATCAATATTTGACACTTCAGGTGTATTTAGCTTTGGACAAATGGTGCACAGTCGACATGTGGCTTAATTTGTTGTGTTGCAGCGAATGGTTTTTAGGTTTGGGGCTTCTTTTGTTGTGTTGCAGCTTTTGTACTTGTTGATGCATCTAGGCCACCGTGGAAAGCATTTTTATTTTCTAATGAACAGTGGCATCGTAGCTGACCAGATCTGACAGACACTGATCTAAAATATCACCCCCCCTCTGAGCTGACACGCTGCTATTCCCACAGCAGTTATATAGACACGGAAGTTTTATTTTCAGCTTTATTAAAAGTCCAGTTTTGTTGCCGTACACAAAACATTAATTACATCGGTCTTGGTCAATATCAAGATTGATGCTTCCTCCATCCATCCGTTTTATACAGTATCTTTTCACTCCTCTCAAAGACCATTTAATTTGAAGTAATTATAGCACGTACCCATATTGGAAACCTTACTGTTTACCAGCTGCCACAAGCTGAACAAGGCCCAATTCCTCTCTATTACTTACCAAAGCTCAGTCAGTTCTGTCTTCATAAGAGTGACTGAAGTCAGATGAACAGCAAAAAAGTGTCTGTTCTGCACAGCTAGCATCCTCTGCCATTCTGTGAAGTTTCCACAGGGAGCAGAGCTCAGCACCTTCCCACCCCCTCCTCACGCTGCAAGACCGGCAGAATGTTACTGATCCACTCTCACCCATCCTCCACACTCCTGCTGAGGGAGCTTTCTGCTTATTTATTTATCTTCTAGAAATGAACAGGCGTTATCAAGAACCATCTGTCATGAGTGTAAGTGTCCTTCACGCCTTAACACTTATGAAACGCGAAATGAAAGTGGTCCAACCATTTCGTATGTCTGCAATGTAAGATTTTGAGTCAACAACACATTATTTCATCTTTATAGAGAGCCGTCACAATGTTTACATGCACCTATCTCGCATTAAATGTTATTGGAAACCATCACCTTCTTATCATGAAAACCTTTGGATTGATTCAAAGCAGAACACCCAGCCTTTAGTCATTTTGATGGGGTCATATTCTTTTTCATTATCCAGCCCTGAACTGTTGGTTTTAGAAAAACACGGCTGTGCTCTCATTTTCTACTAAAAGTTTTTTCCCTGAATCCCGTCATTGAGGAAAGGTGAAGATGTTAATCATCCATATTTCCCTAATTAAACCCTGTGTCCCCCATTAATTACTCCCTTGCCTGGCCAACAATTTGTGAGAAACTCCAACCTGCCAGACGGCTTTTATTGCAAACTATTAATTAGTTGTCGGCTGACTCAGGCAGAGACTTAAGTATTCTAGAGTGTGGTTTATGGGTTTTTAGATATGGGGTTATAGCCAAATTATCCTACACTGGCCACATGTTCACTATTAAGACAAATTGGACACTGAATAGATGGATGAGTATGTGTGCATTAACAGGGATCAGAGAGGATCACACTTACCAAATGTCAGACCCAGATCCTTTGTGAATGTTGAGACACTGTTGAATTCACTTTTCAATTGTTAAATAAATGTGTCGATGCTACCAATGTTGCTGATTCAGCTAAGCAAAGGCCATGCAAAGTGTGTTAATCTCATGAAAGGAAATCCCTGTGTTCTTCTGGATGGTTATTAGCCAAGGGTTAGCTTTAGTGCGGTTCTGTATTGTATTTGATATGAGAGCTGCCTCGGAAAAGAAGCTAAACTTTGTTTAGCGCTCTCTTGGGAAATTGTATTTTCTTTCATAATCATCAGTAGACTCTTTACATTTCAAGGGGTTCTTATTGTATACGGAAAGTGTTGTAGTGGCCAATTATTTTCTTTCTGAAATGTCAATTTTTCAGCATGTTTTCATGATCCAAAGTCCACTAAAAATCCATTGCCAGGAAATGATAAAGAAACAATGATTCAGACGTAGGCTTGCAAAATGTCCCATCATTTGGAATCATTACTGTGTATAACAGAATCAGCAAATGTCATATTGAATAGGTAATTATGAAAAAAAGTAAACCACAGTGACTAATCAAACACAAATGTGGACAAATTATCTGTCAGTGATCATTGTCTCTCTCCGGTGGTTTCCTGTGTCAGTCACATTCAGGCAATATTATGGGAGGCTGCGAAGGCCTTATCTTATTCTGTGTTTAGGAAATTGGTTTGCCATGAAAACACACTCCGTTCCCGAGTGACTGTTGCATCAACAAATAGCTGTCCTTCCAGTGTAGTGAGGCGTGAAGTAATTTCCCTGTCAGTCATCAATGAAAAACAGTCGCAGTTCGAACAAAATTGGGCCCCGCCATCTGTTGCATGTAAGATAATGCATTTCATCTAAATCAACTCACCGGGCACATTTTGGGTTTAGTGGGGCAGCAGTAACAGCAGCAGGTATTTGAAAACCTTTGATGAAAAAGTTTGGGCGTGTACATAATTAATGCCTAAAGAATTGCAGGTTCAAATTTATTTTTGTGTTTTATGGATTAAAGGTTGAACTGACTTTGAAACAGCTGGTGAAAATTTTTTTAAGGTTTGGGGAGAAAGTTATGCTGACATCAAGTGGCCAAAATGCAGATTGCAACCAACTCAACCATGCCATTGTGTATGAGAAACTTCAGCGATCTGTCACATGTTGTCAAAAAACAAGACATATCAAGATTTTCAAGATTGTCATCAAGAAAAAATCTAATTTCGTTACATTGACAGCAGTTTTCTCACCATATCCTGATCTCATTTTGGTAGAGAATGCTCAGCAGTGTCCTGCTAGGGACGATACCACAGAATATATTCCCCCTTCTTTAGAAAATAAAGAATTCTCTTGGCCCTTCTTCAGTTGTTTTATTTATCGTTTGGCGCTGTTTTTATGTTTTTTCTCTTAGATGTGGGCTCTGTGGAGGGACTGGCATACCACCGGGCTTGGGATACCTTGTACTGGACCACCTCCACTACATCTACCATCACCAGACAAACTGTGGACCAGGAACGAGTCGGTGCTCTCAGCAGACAGGCTGTGGTCACTCTCTCAGAAGAAGACCACCCACATGCGCTGACCCTTGATGAGTGTCAAAAGTACGTCCTGCCCTCTGTATAGTTGTCATCTATTGAAAGGCATCACTAAATGATTGTAAGGGTGACTTGATCCCAGGACCTACATGAACTTGGCCTTTTGAAGTAAAGCTAATTCAAGTTGGTTCAAGTAATAAAAGTCTAAATAATTCAAAACACCTTGTGATTTTAATGAAAGAAAATATTATAAATGAAATAGACTGAAAACAGCACATTGTAGCGGAAGCATTGATAATTCAGGACTGTTGTTCCAAAATTGGTCCTCTGGCCATCTTTTAGAAGCAGGACAAATTTCAAGATCCCCGTGCTTGTCTCTAATCTATTCATAGTCTGTTTTGTTGACATGATGCCAACGTATTCCTCAGGAAAAGCTTTCAGCTCCTCAAATTGTCTCCTGCTCACAAAAATGCAGACAGTGTAAGAAAACAATTGAGGCATTAAATCTGCGCTTGCCCTGCTTTTAACCTTCCCTCTACCAAAAGGGTAGGACTCATTCCCCACCCCTTGTGTTATTGTGAACCACTTTTCTTTTTGTTGGAGACTTGTTTTACAAAGAAAACTTTGAAGAGTTATATATATATATAGCCTGACAGAATAATCATTCTTTTATTGAGCATTTTTACACCTACACAGGTGTAAGTGCTTGACAAAAGCCCCCCCAAACTTTTTATACCCGCAGTTTAACAGTTACATTTGTTAGCTGGTTAAAAAAATCCAGGGAGAGGTGGGATTTGGGGAGAATGTGTCTTGTGATGTTAAAACAAGTAACACATCGGCACTCCTGTTAAGTCAGTTGAGGTTTTCATTAAGATGGAGAAATATTAGTCTTAGCAGTCTGTAAAAAGTAGGTATCCAGCTTCTCTTGCTCTACTGGCTAAATTAATTTCTTGACCTGGCACTGTCCTTGGTTGGCAGCTTGGCACCATATCCATCCCACTTCAGAATCACAGTCTGATAATTAGAATTCAAACTCAGGTGATTAATTAGTGGCCCTGGCTGTGACTTTTGACCTAAATTTCTTATCATCACACTAAAGTAATCGTCTTTGACTTCATTATTTTCCATGACTCCAGAGTTAGGATAGGCTTCTTCTTTTTCCTCCCTACAGTTTGTATGTAGATTTAAGACAGGGCCCATTCAGTAAAATTCCATATACGACAAAGATATGAATCTCTCATTTATTTATTCAGCTCATATTATCTATTACTCATGTTTTCTCAAACAGAAGAATAAACATAAATGAGTTTTATCTAGGATCCTGTGATGCTTATCTGTTTTTGTTTAATTAGAACAGAGCTACGGTATCATCAGGTCCTTTAGTGCAAATTAAAAAAATGCTGGGGAGGCATTGTCTGATACTGGAAAATTAACCACACAATGGATAAATAAATAGCAGAAATATTTATCACTGGTGTACAAATTTCATATTGACATGCATGGGTTATGCACGCAGAATTCAGGATTCACAGAGTACTACTGCTCTGACTAAATCATCTCAGATTCAGTTACAGCTTGCACATATTTGTTCTGAGCTTGGTGTACTGAGATTTTACGAATCTGTGGGATTGCTGAGGTTAGGTAGGGAAGGTGTGCCATGTTGCATCTATATAGAAGGGGACTTGCTGGTATTCAAATATTTAAACTAATCTTTTTTTTTCTTTTTTTTACATATTCAGCCTGATGTTCTGGACGAACTGGAATGAGCAGAGGCCAAGTATCATGAGATCCACCTTAGCTGGCAAGAACATGAGGATTGTCATCAGTTCTGACATTTTGACTCCCAATGGACTGACAATTGATCACAGAGCAGAGAAGCTCTATTTTTCAGATGGAAGCCTTGGGAAGATTGAACGATGTGACTTCGATGGCTCCAGCAGATATGTGAGTATGATAATGATGAGCCTCGGCAGAAAAAAAAAAATGCATTAATGTTGCAGCTGGGTTTAATTGCTTATTGATCAAGAGTCTAGATTTCTGTGTAGCATCCTCTGAAATTCCTCTGGTATAAGCTAATGTGAAGTCAATTTTACAGTAGGAAACACATCTTAAACAACACATTAGAACTACTTTCACATAAACACAGTTTATTTTCATGAGCATTAACATGTGAACTAATAGTACCGTGTGATCATCATGGTTAATGGTTATTGCAAGTGCTAAATTGGATAAATATTAAAGCCGGTGAAATAATAAACTGATTCGATAATGATTGAATACTGTGTTTTCAGGATGGAAAAGTGTGCGCATGCTAATTTCTTCATTTTCCCCATTCTGTCTTTTATTCTAGTTGAAATCCTGAGACAAGGTTCCCTAAGCAACATTTTAGATTTGAAAGTTTTCTCATTTCCTTTTCGTCGGCACAGATGTTTTACTTTACAACAAATGTTCATTCTCGCTAAAGTACATAAACCTGGGCATATTATGTCCATAAAAGTTCCACGCATAATGTATGACGATCAAATCAGCTGAAGACTGCAGTACAGGACTTTCTTTTTCCTTTTTCTTTTTTTTTTTTACTATACATTCCTCTCTTTACTTGACTGTGGACCTCAGCACATTGGCCCATCTCAATTAGTTACCCATATGTTTGATGAGCAGGGTCAGCAGGCTCAAAGTGTCTTCACCTTTGAGGCGCCACCTGCCCTTGCTGTGGTCCAGTCATGCTAATGAAGGCTTTGCAGCGAGACAGCTTTGGGTTTAGAATCTCCATTCCAATTAAAATGTGTAAATTAAATGGATAGCTTGACTGTCAACTTCTGCGCATAAACAAACTTTGGGTGTGAAAGTCTTAAGAAAAATCCGTCCGTCGGGGACAAAAATCTCTCTATAAAGATGTAATCTCAAGGCAAATGACACTTGTCAGAATATTGTTTAATGTCTCTTCACAGCGATGTGTTTGGCTAACCTAAAATTGCCTGTGGCTACAAGCTTTTAAGTCCTAATAAGAACAGGCTTAGGTCCTGGAACAAGAATGTTAAAAGACACGGAAAAGCATCAGTTTTTTAATGAGTCATATTTATATAAACTTCAGGGGGAGCAGTATCTTTTTGGGTCCAGCTAATACTTCTCACTGCGGTTGTACCATTACATGCTGGCACAGTGCTCAGGGAGAACTGTTGCTATGGCTCTTTCCTCTGTGCCATTTTGGGAAATGAGACTCCTGTCATTAATAAAGGCAGTGCTTCACCAACAGCAGTGTGGTAAATGATAAGGGTGGATGTTGGCGGCCTTAGCAGGGAAAAATTGAGAAAAAGGGAGACCATGTTGAGAGGTCCAAAAATCTGGGTTCATTGCCTTTAGAATTTCATTAGGGAATGTCTTACATTGCCATGCAAACTGAGTAATTTTAAATAATTTCTTTATCAAAACATCCCATTCAAACCTAGAGAATAGAGAACTGAATATAGAGGGGGTGGTGACACATATTTTCCCATTTATAGGAAACACAAGTTTAACGTGGAAGTCATGTTTTTCCTGGCTGCGAACTGAATATCTCCCAAATCTAATTTAACTATCAATATGTTCTTCCCCTCCTACCCCATCTGGTGTTCCCCTCTCTTCCTTTTTCCATCTCTCACTTGCATGATGGCCAGTTGTTGATTCCACATGCCGGGCTCCTTTAATCAACACCTGTCCTATTAATCCCAGTATGGCACAGGGCTAATGCGATGTCGCTTACAAGCCTGTCCCGCTAATGGCTGGGACTACAGAGCTGTTGGTGTCCCTGATCCTCCACACAAGCCTAGAGAGTCCCAAAAGGAGGCATCTGATGGATTCTTGCCTCACTGCCAATGGCACTGTCATTTACTCCCCCAACATCTGGGTTAAGCAGTCAAATTGGTAGCAGGGGCGATTTGCTGATTAATGAGTGGAGACATTATTCTCTACATGTATCCCTGCGGTTGTAATCCGAATTCTGTCAGTACACTCTCAAGATTGATCTTGAAAAGATTTTAGTAAAGGGTTTGTGAATATGAATATGGGTATACAAACAAATGTACTACTATTATTCCAATAAGAGTTCCTAAATGCAGTGGTCTGTGCTACATTTTATCTTCTTTTTCTTTGTTTAGGTCATCGTTAAATCAGGACCTGGAAACTTTTATGGGCTCGCCCTCTACGCAGATTTTATCTACTGGTCGGATTGGGCCCGCAGAGCCGTGCTACGAACAAACAAGTACACAGGTGGTGACACCAAGGTGCTTCGAGCAGATATACCACATCAGCCAATGGGAATTATTGCTGTGGCCAAGGATACCAACAACTGTGAGTTGAAGTTAAAACTCAGTTCAAATTTAAATGTACATGTCTTTAGTGTGGGCATTTGCCCATTTAATGTCCACAGAAGCCACAGAGTATCTTCAGATTTAGGTCTATATTGTGACTGGACTTTTGCAACATTGTGATTATTAAATTTTCAGCCATGCTGTAGTTTATCCTAGCTTCCTGTTAAACATTAGTGTTTGCGTGAGCCAGTGTCAGCTTTCAGAGTGATGGCCCCCACATTTTGCTGTTTAAAGGACAATGTTGTGTTGTTGCTGATTAACATGCAAATTTCTAATCCTGCCATTTTTAGAGAAACCTAGCCGTCTCCTGGCAACTCTTCCAAAATTTCAATACCAGCTTTTATTTTATTGTCGGTCAGTCATAAACTTTGATAACTAACAAACTAATGAGGCCAATAGAGTTTGATACTGTAAAATAGACTATAAATGGTTAGGAAACCGTTTTCAGATGAATAAACTGTAGTTGCTTTTTAAAGGGTTGTTGTAAACCTTGTTCCACTTTAGCACACATTCAGAGCTTTATTATTATTAATCAAAAGCATTTGATTAACAGCACCTGGTTTTCTTTTTTTTACACATTCCCGTTGCATTCTATATTTTATAAAATGATTACAAGGTGTCATGAGTTGCTGTTTACCTGACTCGTTGTTTACTTCATTTTTAGATCAGATAAGAAACAAATCATTTCTATTTTATTTCCTGTTGTGTAAAGATTTAAACAGTTTCACATCACTATAAATGCACAAATAGTCACATAGAATTTGGAATTATTACAATATTGCTGTAAAAACATGTCTATGTCCCAATTCTCATGCCTTTCTTTTGTATCTTCTAAACTTCAAACCGTTTCACTCTGACAATATTTTCTAACACCAAACCAAATGTGGGCTCTACTAGTAATAGATTAAACATTTTTTTATCAGAAAACTTTTGAAGATTACTCAAAGTTCAAAACAAGGTTTTGAAGAAAACATGTTGAAGTGTAACATACTAGATTTTTTATACTAGAAATAAATGGATGAACTAAATAAAAAATATAATTTCCATTATAAATTAATGAAAGTTCAAATCATGTAGCCTACTTAACACCAATGTGTTGGTCACTCACTGGTGGAAGCTTTTAAAAACAGAAACGCATCCCAATTTGATGTATAACACTATGGGTTGATAAATGAAAGTTATCTTATTTAGAATAGCTAAAAACTTAAGCCTCAGTGGTAATTAATAAAAAGTAGCTTATGCTCTAGAGGGAGTCTCTTAAGTGCCTTATAAAGTTTAATTTCCAAGTAGGACAAAGGGATGTGGGCTTAAGCACATCCCACTGGTCAGACTGAGATGCCAAGAGCAATTTGTTTCCTTGCTCAGCTTGTTATGGGAAATGATTGCATCCTGTGACCTGAATGGTCACAGCTGCAAGTATACAATAACATGCAATAATCAGAAATGGTGGTTATTAATATTATGTTTTCTTTTTCGCACTTTACCATCTTACTTTCTAATTGCATTTCCCTTGTCATGAATACCCTGACTATAAATAATCACACAATTAGGTTACCTTAGCTGCAGAAAAAATGAGTTTGCAGGTTCCCAATAAATGGCTCTTGATATGTTATGTTGCATATTTTGTGTCAAGGTTTCTTTTACTTTTTTCTGTCTCTTGGGGGGAAGCTGAAACACTCCATCACATATTGACAGCACGGATTTGATTTTGTGCCAAATACCATGACTAAAAAGCAACAACTCATAGCTGGATTTAACAGTGATTTACGGGGAAAAAAAAATCTTCCCTATGATATTCTGTGGATGCAAATTAACCTCGTTTGGCATTTTTACTGCTTATGATATAGGGGACCGAATGCATTTTTGAATATCACTTAGACATATGAGGTACTAATAGATGCAAAAGTCTGACACTAAGTGTGTCAAGCTGAATAATAAGTCACAAATTTTCCCCAGAGGATAACTTCAGGAATATAATGAAAACGACAGAGTGATTTAAAAGAAAATGTGCTGTCAAACAGATTGAACAATCTCCAGCTTGTGAATGCTTAACCCTTTTTTTTTTTGGTCTGTTTTTGTCACTGAAGGTGAGCTGTCCCCATGCCGACACATGAACGGAGGCTGTGGTGACCTCTGCCTCCTCACCCCACACGGGAGGGTCAACTGCTCATGCCGTGGAGAGCGTGTGTTGTTAGATGACAACCGATGTGTGTGTAAGTGAAGTGAAACTACAGACTTGATCATACTGTGGCATTCTGAGCACAAACTATTGATTCTCATTTATATCCTTTATAGAGAAGATATTCTAGAGGAGATCCAATACAACCTATTTGACACAATTTCTTGAGATCTTAATTAAATGTGCGCTACAAGCTTTGTTCAAAACACACTGTGAAGTCACAGACCTAATCATCACCACTCCATTTAAGGTGATACTTGAGATACTTGAGCCTAAAAGATTGTTGTTTTTATTCAACTCTTTAAACCCTGGGTTTCATGTCTCTCGTTTGCTTTGTGTCCCTGGCACTTTCGAAAGGAAAATGGAACAAACTTGTTCTACTTTTACATGGCTTTAAGATTTGCTTTTGTAATGGTGGAACGTGCTACCACGGGCTGAAAATATGAATATCCAATTTCTGACTTGGAGGCTGCAATATAAAAAGAATGACAGCTTAAACTGGGATTTCCACACTTTTTGAAAAATGGTGGAGAATCATTAGATTTTCTTTTTTTTTTTACCACTCAGTAGAACTTTTTGTTCATATTGAGGCAAAAAGAGCAAAAGAATGTCAATATCCCTGTCAAATGTCAAATGCCCCGAATGCATCACATATCAAACTTTGGGTTTGGTGGGAAATCAAGATAAGGAGGCTTGACAGCTTTACTCCTAAACTTAGTTTTTCATGTCCAAATCCATTGTAAAAAATGTACTGCTCACAAAACTAGATAATTTTTTAAGGTTTTGTTTTATAGGACACCCACATATTAGCTCTCAAGCAACAGATTTTTTCCTCTTTCTTTTCATTGCACGTCCCCATCAAACTTCGGCATAAAGTGTCAGATGGCTTTTTTCTTGTTATGTTTACATAAGCCTGTAATATCTTTGATTTCATTACTTTTATTACTTTGTATCTAACCACACACAAATGAGCATGACCAGCTGTTGGCTCGTTGTTTTTTTACAAAGCAGTTAAGTTTGATCCTGGCAGTCAAAGTCAGTAAATGGATAGAAATAAACAAATCTGTTGTGTTACTTTAAATTTATGCCGACAGAAGAAAGTAGTGTTTGTTACACATGCGGGAGTAAAGTCCCAGCTAGAAAGAGATACAGTTGTGCTCTGCTTTTCTAATTTGACATCAGAAGTTGAATTTGAAAGGCAGACTGCTAATAGACCATATGGTAGGAGGAGATGATCCAATGAGGAAAGTTTTGGCGAGACTGATCGTGGCAAGCGCCTCATAGCTGGATGGTTCTGTGGCTCTGGTATCGTGGCAGGGGATGGCAGACTTTTTAACAGCCAGATTCAACTCATTACTAAAGCAGTAAGACATTTAATAACTTTCGAAATTGTGAAACTGTGTGTCGCACAGCAGACAGAATTAATAAGGATGCTGACAGAAAAATGTCAACTTTTCCCTGAAAGATTCAACTGTAAAACTGTAAAACATGCCCGTGGCGTTCACTTATTAATCAGTTTCTCAATATTTGAATATTTTGCATGTATCACAACTGGATTTAAGTTTATGTTATTGAACGAGATGAGGACACTCCCAGGTTTTGAGTCCACAGTGTGTACTGGGTCAACTGTTGAAAGGCACCTCTTGTTTCGCTGTAACGTACAAAGCTTCTTTAACAGTTGTCGACCTTCATGCCTTCTGCAGCAGAGAACTCCTCATGCAACATTTACACAGAATTTGAGTGTGGGAACGGAGAGTGCATCAGCTACCAGCTGACCTGTGATGGAACCGCTCACTGCAAAGATAAATCGGATGAGAAGATGCAGTACTGTGGTAAGGGATATTAATTGCTTTTCGCTTGCGTCGTATTTGAAAGGGGGGTTTTAGTCATTCGTCATTTCTTCACATCTGCTCAGACAACAGGAGCTGTCGGAGAGGTTTCAGACCCTGCTACAACCAACGGTGTGTGGCGAGTGGCCGCGTCTGCGACGGGATCGATGACTGCGGGGATAACTCCGACGAAGCCTTCTGTAGCAGTGAGTTGTGCCTGTTTGATCTCCTTTTTTCTATCCGTCCTGCCTCTCAGGGGTAGAATCCTGTCATACTAATGCAGCGCGCAAGGCCACATGCTGCGCTAAGCCTTTACCTTCTAATGAGCCCCCAGATCATACGCAGCGCACAAATGAAAAGAGACACCCATCAACTACTCCTGGAAACTCCTACCATGGGTCTATACATTTGGCGTTATTTCCCTGCTAGAGGGATTAAATGTTTCATGGTAGTCACAGTGTGGTTTTACACTTCTGGATATTTCCATGCTGCAATTACCATTAGTGGGGAAATGTTGTACATAGATTCCGACCAAGTAGACTGGACTCACAAGGGGGACAGCAGTGGGTTGATAATTAATGAGGACTTTTCTGCTCAGCAGTCTTGGTTTTCAGGAAGGAGTTTAGCTCAGTGTGGTGTGCCATTATCTGGCACCTTTTTCATTTTTCTAATAGGAAATTTAACAGTTAAATGTTTTTTTGCCATTAGAAAACTTAGTAAGTTGTAGGTTACATACTGATTACAGAACGCAGAGACACATGACTACAGAGCACTACATTTTCGCTGACAGCACTAAAAGCTTGTCATTCAGACAGCTGTCATTGCACACTGCATTGCCAAATGCAGAAATACCGAGTCAAAACAACAAGTATTTTTCAGACTGCGGGCAACGAAGGGCTAATTTTGGTCCTCCTCGAAAGAGGATATGATTCATCGTGAGGCATACCTGCACTCTTTCTGCTATGGCGCATCCTTTTGAAATGCTAATTGTCTCCAACAGATGTCACATGTGGCTCATCAGAATTATCCTGCAAGGATGGGAGCTGCGTACCAAGCTCAGCTTGGTGCAACCAGGTCATTGACTGTGCCGATGCATCCGATGAAAAAAACTGCAGTAGGTCTTCAAGCCTTTGCTTTGCATTGCGGTCAAACTGAAAAATTACCCACAATCCACATATCCGGTTATGGCTCTCTGTTCACCTCCCCATATCTGAGGCACTCTGACCATGCATTTACTGTGTTTTGTGTACAGACCACACTGAGTGTTCTCACTTTTACAAGCTGGGAGTGAAGGAAAACAACTTTATCAGCTGCAACTCCACATCACTGTGCATCCACCCATCCTGGATCTGTGATGGTGCGAATGATTGTGGAGATTATGCTGACGAGACCAATTGCCAGGGTGAGCGGAGACAAAGACGCACGCCTTACCCATGCTTTCAGAAGGCACATCAAGAAAGACAGAGCCGTCAGACATCAGACAGAGCTTAGGAGAAGATAATGACTTCAGTGATTGCTGAGGCCTGACTTTGTTTTTGTTGTATGTTCAAGTTTCCCATGGACAGAAATGCGAAGAGGGCCACTTTGCTTGTCCAAGTGGGAACTGCATTTCTAGTGTTTGGCTGTGTGACGGCCAAAAAGACTGTGAAGATGGAGCAGATGAATTCCAGTGTGGTAAGAGAACATATGTTACTTATCGTGGATGGCCCTATGTAAGGAGGGGGATGAGGAACAATGGTCAGGGCTGTTAAAATCAGAGTGCAGTGTGGGGGCTTATCAGTGTCCGAGACATTTGGGGTTTACACAGGTGTGTGAATATGAAATTACCATTAATGATGAGGAGGCGTAAATTAGGTTGAAATGATGAATTAGTGAACTTGCGTGTAAAAAATACCTTTCTCCCAGCGTTTAAATTCTTTTACCAAGTATTCTTTTAATGACAGATTTGAGCTTTTATGGCATATTGGGGAAAAAAAATTGCAAAGCATATTTGGAAAAATACTCGTTTTCTCCCTCACGATTCCCCAGCTGTATGCCTGCATGGAACATTCAAACAAACAATTTACCGTAACCCAGGCATTGTAACACAAGCCCACTCATTCTGTGTTCAGGTAGCTGTTCAAAACAAGCGTTTGTGCATGTCACGTATCAGAGGCATGTATTATCTTTTGATCAAGTGAATTATTTTGAATTTTCTTTGTGTATTTCTAACACTTTGTCCCTGCTTGTTCATAAATCTAACTCTGACCTTGAAATCAAAGTGATTCTGTCGAGGACACACATCTTTCCACTTCTTTCTTTGAATTATAATATACAGCCCTACCAGTGCAACAAGTAATTAATGAGCTATCAGTCACCAGAGAGGTTACACTGAGTATGGAAATATGGGTTCAGCTGCAAAGTGGTGACATATGAAAGGATTATACATTACAATGCCACTCCTCCACTTCCTTCACCAGAGGCACAACGCTCTTACTTTTCTTTAATGTATGCTAATGTAGGCAGAAGCTGCTTTGACAAAGTAGATATCTCTCCAATTAAACAGGAAAACTATAATTAGGTTATGGTATTGATTAAAGTAATTTCCCCCTCAAATCCAACAGCGTACACATACAGTCGTTCACGTGTGAGTGTGTATGGCAACAAAGCAAAGTGATGTGTGCGCTTCAGTGTAGGTGGTCAGAGCTGGAGTTAAACAGCAGGCATTCTGTGTGTTATTTACCAAGGCCTGGGGTAGAAAAAAGGAGACGCATGGCTGAGTGAGCCATAACAGTGCTGCGGAAAGGCAGAAAATATATTAAAATAACACTGAGGACATTCATAAAAGCATAAAGCTGAGTGGAATCTGATATTATTGCCTTCTTTCATGTCATGAAGTCATGTACCGTACCCTGACTAGTTCAGGATGCATACTGATGTATGCACAAACTAGACTGATGGACCTATGTTGTTGTCCACACCCTGAAAAGATCAGATTTCATGGACACTCGTACTTGCCTGGTTGCATTTCTTGTCTTTGTGTGATATTTTTGCCTTTCAACCTGTCATACCTGAGACCTTTTACAACTGATGATGGTTCAACCTTTGAAAGTGGTTGGTAAGGCACATCTGGTTACCTCTCTCTGTATAGTTAATAAGCATCTGTGTTCACAATTATCCACAAACAATAGAAGGATGCATTACAGTGAAATCCAATTTTCCTGTTTAGTGCTTTTTTGAGTTATCTGATTTCTTTTGTAATTTGTTCATGTGTGTTGTTGGAGTGAAACAAAAAGCATGAACAGCATTTCCATTCATTTATCTAGAAACGCCATTTTAGCCTGAATGAAGTGATAATATTCTGTGCATGTTCCCAAACTGATACGAATAACGCCATAAATCTTTGAAAATTTCTGAATAGCTTTTTCGGGAAAAATTGACAATAATTCCATTCTGCCGGGTTAATTATCATATAAAAAGCCACATCACCAGTAATCTGACTGCAAAAGCAATGTGGTTTGAAGAAAATGTCATTATGTTTCGGAAATTTGAAATTCCACATTTGATTAGAGGTAAGTGTCATTTGTCACTTCACAATGCGTAAGGCGTTCTTCCACCATGCTAAACACTATTGAAAATGAGAGATGAAAGGCTTCCTTTGATACACGTAATGTGCAGTAGACCCGCTATTTTGTTCTACACTTGAAGCAGCTGTTTGTGTTTGAAGTGCAAATGTGGTATCACGCTCGGAAAGTTTGGATAAACATAGTTTCCAGATTCAGCCATTAGATGGTTATTACGTCCTTATCTTACATCCAAGTGTGTCTACGCACGAAACTGGCGTGATGTACAAAGTCTGACAGGAAGGAAAGGAACACAGTATGAGAGACCTCCTCCCTGGCTACCCCCCACCCCTAGTTGGATCCATAATTCCCTGTACTGTGTTCTGACCTGGAGCATCCATAGCCCCCCTCCCTCTCTACATCTTATCAAAGCTTTGGCAGACTTAGCGAGGCCTGACATCTGAGAAAATTAAACCACAGAGCAACTCCCCAAGGAGAGAAGGTGGCTCAGTGACACAAATTCAGAGCAGCTTATGAATACCATGTTATCCTCATTTTTCCCAAAAAGCTTAGCTACAACAATTAGCCAAGTTTTTTTTTTCTTAGTCAGCACTTAGAACAATGATGTTTTTGGCATGTATTTTAACCAAAACTGAATTTTGTACATAGATGCAAAAATGTTTTCCTCTTTCTCGAGACAATTTCTTATTTTCTTAGTTTTATTCTGAGAAAGAAAAGGTAGATGATACTATTTCTTACCATTTTTCTTGTCATTCGTGCCTGCTGCTCGGCTTTAAATGAAAAATAAACAGAACAAAGGGGCAATTAAGACCCAGCCCACTTGTGTTTTCATCCAAAAACGCTCTGCCTTTTCTCCAGATTTTTGGCACAGCTGTTGTTTCCCCCTCGTACTTTGATTTATAGCACTGGTATTCCTCTTTCACTGCCCTTTACAGACTCCTCGTGCTTGTGGAACCAGTTTGCCTGCTCGAAGAATAAGTGCATTGCAAAGCAGTGGCTGTGCGACGGAGAGAACGACTGCGAGGACGGTCTTGACGAGAGCACACAGATCTGCGGTAAGTGCCCCTTCACATGTCGCCAGGAATTCGCTGTTTGCATAAAAGGTCACATCCAGTGTATTACGCCTTATAGCTCGACGCGGTTCCCTAACATAAGTGAAAATGAGGCTGTCTTAATGAGGCAACAAACGAGACCACAGGCATTTCTGATAATTTGAGTGAGCGCTGAGGCAAATAGATTTTTCATCACATTGACCCGAGAGGGAAAGCTATTTCAATGGGCAAAAGAGATGTAAGTGTAATGAATTTTACAATAAAACAAAATGAAACCAGCCGCAATGAAGACAGAAATTGCCGTGAACGTCGGGTGTATAATTTGACTGTAATGGAGTGTCAAAGAAATATTAATGAAACGGTCCAAAGGTTTCTAAAGGCACAATTCTTTCAAAAGTGATATGTTCATTACAGCGTTACGTGCCTAATTGATGTGCTGTATTTACCTTTGTGTGTGTCTGAGCAGATTTTTTTTTCTTCCCCATGTAAAGGGCAGTCCTATGATAAAAAGGAAGTTGTACTGATTTACAGAAACAATCAAACAACTATTATTCATAAAAATGTGTCAAATCTGCCCAAAGAAGTGCTGCACAATGTAAAGTAAACTTTATCTTTGGGCCATAAAGTGAACCATGACCAAAACATTTTTTAACCACTTAATACTTTGATTTGATGGAGTTACTGGCAGATGTTCCTGCATCCTGCAGAAACGGCAAAACGAGCAAACATCTTCACTCACCTTCTCTCTATTTTGAACTTGACCCATTCTTCTCAGCTCCTTGAAAGTAAATTATGTGGTCCTGCTTTCTTCCCAGGGACGGTAACTTGTGCCCCAGGGCTCTTCAGCTGCCCCGGCTCATACGCCTGTGTTCCAAAACGCTGGCTCTGTGATGGGGAAAGAGACTGCCCTGATGGGAGTGATGAGCTTGCAGCAGCTGGATGTGGTAAATTCAACCTCTGTCTTACAAATCAAAACATTGTCTAAAATAATGTTCTCATTATTTGCTTTCTCATTACCGTATGATGCAAGATTTCTTAGGAAATACAGAAAAATTAGGCCACTACAAGAGAAAACATACTTATGGTGTAAAGTAGCAGTTAATTGGATAATTGCAGGCGTTTGCACAAATGTTGCCATCACTAAGTGGTGTAATCTAATCAGCGTTGTTTCTGCTTTGAATCAACTCTACTTAACAGTGGGAAAACAATTGAACACAGTCCAGTGTGTTAGCGTTAGGTGAAACATGACGCTCTTGACATTCTTCATACGACATGGAGAAAGAAATGTTTATCCACTCGTTGCTATTTGGATCCATTTTTCTCTCCCCGTATCAGCACCCAACAACACATGTGAGGACAGCTCGTTTCGCTGCCAGAATAAGGCGTGCATCCCCAAGCGATTCGTCTGCGACCATGATAACGACTGTGGAGATGGATCTGATGAGTCGGTGGAATGTGGCAAGTAGATTTATCTTGCTTCTTTGCTTATAGCATTCACCAGTAGTACATGCTAACATTCAAAGCTGCAGTAGGTGAGTTTCTAAAACAAAAAGCTAATGAAAAAGCACCAGGGCACAGGTATCCACTTCAGAGGGTTTATGATGGCTCTTTATCAAAATAAAGAGAAATGGTTACCGTAACAACAATAAACCTGACTATTTTCCTCAGAACAGCCACATTCAAATGCTCTTTTTGTTATGTTTTCTTTTTCTATATTTATTTGTCTTTCGCTGTAATAGAAATGGAGAATGGAATAGTATCAGGATTAGTTCCAGAAAGCTGGTGAAGATAAAATTATTCCATGTTTGATTGCATATTTCGGACACACTGACCCTGGGATTTTTTTTTGTGCATTTACCCTTTGCTTAGTCCACAGTGAACAGCCTGAGTTTCAGTTTTGATTTATGTTAGCTGATGAAACATGTATTTATTTAGTTTTTTTTAAATATTGGCTGGTGCACCTGTGAGTAGCATCATATTCCCAGATGGCTTAAGTCATTGTTCAGTAATAATCCAGTTAACATAACAATGAAATAATGATAACTCAATATGATATCAACGGCAGTCAGTTAAATCCATACCTGTGTAGCTGCTTTAAATAATTGCCACTAATTCTGTTTCACTGCAATGCGAAGCTAAAAATGCAGTAAAGTCCCAGCTTGAGTTGATGAAAGTGTCTCTCTTTATCCTTTCATCAGTCTATCGCTCCTGTGGATCTGAGGAATTTCGCTGTGGGGATGGCCGCTGTCTTCTCAGCTCTCAGTGGGAGTGTGACGGCTACGCGGACTGTCCCGATCACTCTGACGAACTGCCTCTCAACCTTAAATGTCTTGCTGCAGGTAAGACTGTTTCGTTCGCAGCTAGAATCTCTTCATCAGTGTCTCCTGCTGCACCCATGGTCAGGGAAGCTGGTGGGATCATGTATGGGAAATTAAAATATGTCACAACCAGAAAAAAAAGAAAAAAAAGATGTGTCTTGCTTAATTGTCAGGGCAAAAACAGGAGGAGTCTCGAGGTGTTGTGACAGCCATCTTTTGGTCTTTTCAGGAAGCTTATGCAATGGCTCCTTCTTCATGTGCTCCAATGGCCGCTGCATTTCTGAAGGGAATCTGTGTGATGGGAAGGATGATTGTGGAGACGGGTCAGACGAGAGGAACTGCAATGTGAATGAATGCCTGAACCGCAGAGTCAGCGGATGCACACAGGATTGCCAGGATCTCACCGTAGGCTACAAGGTAAGTCAGAAGTAGACTGGTCCCGGCTTTGGGGCTTTAAGCTGAATTCCCGATAATAATCCACGCGTCCAGCTATAGCCGAAACCAAGTTATAGTAGAGGTACTGTACACATGTTGTTAAAGTTTTAATCAAAACACTTTTCCGACCTGCATTTCTGACCCACAGCTGTATTTTCAATTCAGCAGCAGGTAAAATGTTGCACTCGTAAGTTTAGTGTGCACACAAATGATTAATGACCGCTAATAAATTTAGCTTAACTTCACACATCGTTAAACAGATAAAGATGGGTGGGAGGATATATAAATGTAGTCTCTTGCTTTTTAACCTTGAAAGCTGCAAGAGAGGGGGTTTAAGGATATTCCAGCAACTGTCTGAGCTCCATCACTGCGCCGTGCCTTTATGCTGTTTCTGGCACTGCTGGCATTTAGTTGAATCCAGGTCAAGGCCACCACCGTTTGAGTGTTTCAGTGGCCATTGATGTTGTCAGATTGTGGTATTTTCATGCTTTTATCCTTGGACTTTCCTCTCGAAACACCTTCACAAAATAATGTTTACTGCATGAGAAAAGTGCCTTAAAGCCCAGAAAGCGGCTCTTCCCCGTGACGATGGGGGCAGATCTGGACAGGGAGCATATCAGCGCGGCGCCTCGGCTCGTCCATTTGTGGCCTGAACACAAAGAGCAGAAGACAGGCCCTTGAGGTTATAACTTTTGGATAAAAAAAGAGATTTGCAATTGGCGGAGGGCAGCTAATACGAGCACTCTAAAAAATTTTCAGGGGATTTGGTCAGTCTAGTGCAATTCCGACGCTTAGAAACAGAATATCTGTACTGTGGATTTGATGTCTTCGCATGTGTTGGTACCTGACTTTTATGCTTTCTCTGTTTAAGCAAAAATTTGCAGCTAACAACTGAACTAATCAAAGTTTTTAAACGAATGGCAAAAATTCAAATCCTGAAAAAAAAAGACTGTTTATTGCTGTTTAAGCTGTGACTTTCTTCTTTGTTCTGTGTTTTTCTTGTGTTCCCAATTCTAATGAACAGTGTAAATGCTGGCCTGGTTTCCACCTGAAAGATGATGGGAAGACTTGTGTGGATATAGATGAATGCTCCACCACCCTTCCCTGTAGCCAGCGCTGTATTAACACCTATGGGTCCTACAGATGCCTGTGTGTGGATGGTTACGAAGGCGTGGATCGGAACCCAAACATTTGCAAAGCTTTGTCAGGTCAGCTTGATTTTTCTTTTTTTTTTTTTGTCTCACAAACATCCTTTAATGTTGTGTATCATTCCTTGTAGCCGAGGAGCCCTTTCTCATTATGGCAGACCACCATGAGATCCGCAAACTCAGTGTGGACGGTTCCAATTATACCATCCTGAAACAGGTAAGCAATGCCTTTATCGTTACCTCTGGTCTGTAATTAAACACAAATTGATGGCGATTAGAGTACACTTTTGACTGGCAAAGCAGAAATAGTTGGACAGTTCTTACATAAAAAAAAAAATTTGTGTTTCAATCGCTTTGTATATAAGACAAATCTAATATAAAACACAAATCTGAAAACAAACATGAACATTGATGCAAGAGAAAACACATTTCAACTAAATGTGCGTCAAAATGTGAAAAAAAAATACTGATGCATCAACCTCAATAAAAACTTTTTTTTTTGTTCACATATGTGGATAAACAACAATGTTATAACTGGTTTGCCTTTGACAGAAATGGTGCTGCGTTAGTGGCTATCAGTTGACCAGCTCTTATCATGTGGTCCTCTCAATTTTTTCATTCAATTCTTCATTTTTGAAAACAGATTTTTCTTAAGAGTTTTTGATGCTGAGTCGTGGAAGTTCTCAAGAGGCTTACCGAGTGGTTTCTGTTAAGTCTGGTATTTTTTACATCATTTGATTTGGTGAGTTGTTTACACATGGAAAGCTGTTGGATAAACTTTGGAAAGTCCAAGTAATGCCTGTAGTAAGACCCTAAATCGCAAGGAGTAAAAGAGGAGACTGAGGAGGTAGAACAAATTCAACACTGGGAGAAAGAAAGAGGAACTTCAAAGTCTTTCTTCCCTAGGAACTTTTATTTTCAGCTCAAATCTATTCTAAATCGCTGCAGACTTAAGCACTAGTGAAGGTGTAAATGTTAAATTATTTGCTGGCAAATCCCAGGCCTTACACTGAGAGTATTCTGCCAGGCAGGGTTTTCTTTTTCACCTTTTCACTGAGCAAAACAAGAGTGATATGTGTAAAACCTGAGTTATTTTAAGCGGCGGTTCCTCTGAACAAACCTGAAAACGGTGCGCACAAACAAAGTTTTCAGTGATGTCCCATATTCTTCCTGCAGCTGTTATTGTTTATTGGAGTTTGCATGCATTTGGTTATGTGAGAGAACACAGTTTTCGATGAAAAACCTGCGTCTTCAGCCTTGTTTGTCAAAATCATTTTGTTTTGATGAAACATTGGCAGTTGCTCGCTGTAGATCACCCTGTGGGTGCCGTAACAGTCGTATCAACATCTCTATTGTACGATCTTTGTGGCTGTCTGCAGCCAGCATGAGCTTCAATTATGTTACCAGCAGAACACATCATTACACACCCCGGTCAGAACATCCAGTTGTTCTCTGTATGTATTGCTTTTGCTCTTGGCATAAATTTGTTGTACCACAAATAAAATGTGATAATGTCTTCAGTACACAGAAAATGTGGACAGGTGGTTAATTGGTGTTTAAACAGAGGATTCTTGTTTTTAAAGGGAGATTAATTGGCATCACAATGTAAACTGCCCTTCATCAGACTTTGGGGGAAGGAACTTCATGGAATTTGCAACTGGTTGTTGTCCAAAAGGTATAATGTGCTGCCACCAAAATGGTTTCTATGGAAACAGTCCTTAAAAATTGTCATTGGGGTTAGTGCTTAGATAAAATCAGATTGAACTGACAAGCCAGCTTCTGATTCCACATTGGAGATTTCACATTAACATATCTTGTGTAAAAGGAAATAGTTAAAAACACAAAAAAGGAAAACTTTTTTTTTTTTTTTTTTTTTTAGCTTCGTTTCCAACAGGTCATTGTATTGAAACAACTGGACCCGCTTTAATATGGCCCACAGCAGGATCCAGTAACGCATGAAGAAAGGAACACATCTTTACAACTGCAATTTTCAAATGTGAATAAATGTTATTCTCAAGAGTTTCCTTTAAAAAGCCATAAAATCCTCTCAATGAAGCACAAAGGAAGGATTGGCTGATGCAGTGGAGTGGTGTACCTTCAAATGTTGCTTGTGGAAAATAAGTGCTCGAAACTAACATGTGGTATTGTTCCAGCTTACTTTAGGCAGTCACATATCTTGCTTCATAATATAAATTAAAAAAATGTTTAGGGCTGAAAAATTATCACAATATGGAGACAAATGCATTTTTAAAAGCCTTTTTAACTCATCTCATGGACAGCAGAAGTAATACTTTTTAGACTTAATCATTGATTGCTTTGTCCTACCTGAGCAAACATAGAAAGATATTGTTTTTGGAGAAGGTTACACTCATCTTTATTGTCTACAGGAGAAAAAACAGTAGAGATTGCATTCCTGTTGCAGAAGCGCTGCTAAAAGAGGCATGCAGGTTTCATCTCTGGAACAGATATTTGGAGTGCAGAAAGGCTCCCCCAGGACAATTTGGCGCCTGTCGGTGAGGGTGCCGATGATCTGATTAAGACGTCTCATTTTGCCCGTCAGATTATCTGACATGTTTTTTCAGCACCCACAGTGTGAGACAGCAGGGTGGGGGCACTTTGTTTGGTGTGTGGCTCTTTTTGACTGACGGTGGGGTCCTGTGAGTATGGCGCTGAGGGAAAGTACCTCGCTATTCCGCTTTGATAAGACTTCAACTGGCTCTTCACTCACTCCTCAAATGGCTTATGAAAGCATGGAAACCTATGGGAAAACCACCCAAATCAATACTGCTTCTACAACAAGGGTCAACTCACACAAAAAAAAATGCAGAAGTTTTACTGTCTCATTAACCTTTTCACATTTGTTTATTTATTTATTTTTTATGTTAAGACATTTTAGATTGGTGACAAACCTCAGAGTTTGTGTTCGGTTATTACATATTTATTTAACATTAAGAGTACTATCATTCAATTGCTTTATCTATGTCATAAATACACTGAAAGGAGCAAATGAACACTGGGTAATATTTCTATTTTACAGATCATTTAAGATCACTTTAAAGGGATAATAGTGCATGATATTTAATCACCAGGTTTGTACTGAAATGTTAAATGTTCCATGTTTTTGCCTGACTCATTTTTCCTCAATTAGAGCAAAGTTTTACTTACTTGTGAGTGACTGTCATTCTCAGGGTCTCTACAACATCATCCATCTAGACTTTGACTACAAGAAGGAATTTATCTATTGGGTGGACTCGACCAGGCCGAGTGGACGAAAGATCAACAGAATGCGCCTCAATGGGAGTGACCTGAAGGTATGAAAGAGCGGCGCTACTGTGTACCATGTGGTACCTTCAGCAATTTAACGATGATTTGCAATTTTTACTTTACTCGCTCCATCCATCCATCCATCCATCCATCCATCCACTATCATTACCGCTTATTCCATAATGCGGTCGTGGGGAGAACTGGAGCCTATCCCAGTGGTCAATGGGCGAGAGGCAGGGTACACCCTGGACAGTCCTCCAGTCCATCATAGGGCCTAGTTTTATCTGTTTTTATGTAAATTCTCTCATACGCCAATAGAAGAGTTGCTTGTGTGAAAATGTTGCCTGTTTGCTTGCAAATATAATCAATGGATTTCAGAAAAATGTGACATGTCTGTATAATACAAGGCTGCTTCGGTATGAAATGGCCAGTTTTGTCAAGGTTATGAAATTGTGTTCCAGGCACAAGGGATGCTGGGACATCAGCATAATACTTGCTGGGCCCCCATGCCACATCTCCTTAGTACGTGTGTGCGGCATTAGACTTATTCAGCTCAATTACATCTGCAGTCTCTGCTCGAGACATTGCCACAGCCTAGCAAGAGGACAAACTTAAACATGGTTTCCAGAGCCTCTGTCAGGTTAATTAGGAGTCACTGATACCCACTGTCAGAGGCACAGGTTTGCTGCACGAGGAGGAAAACAATTTATTCATTTGTTTTTCCTGAAACCGAAGTAGCGCTACACTCTTTGTTGGAATTTGTCTCTTACCTTTCTTCATATGTGATAAATTCCATAGAAACACTCTTTTCATCCCATGTCCATCATTAGTCTATTGTTAAGGAAACACGTCTCTCTGGTTGCTATAGTTATAAGTTTCAGGCGCATTTTACCACATCTGGAAGCATTTCTTGTGCAGAGAACTGACAGATGATTGCCGTGTTATGGGAAAACTTTGAAAAAAATGCATTAATCTATATATTATATAATTTATAAAGAAAAAGGCTTTTGATTTTAATGGCTGTATAAATCCACTTTATTGTTTTGTTTATTTAGTTTTTTTAATCAACAAAACAGTCTTTTCTTCCCGTAATACAGCCTCTTTGGTTGTGTAATAAGGGCATTATTCCACCCAGCAGGCACCACGGTGTAATGTTGGTGATTATGTTTGCATTACTTTACCAATGAACTTTTTTTTTCTGGTCAAATCACCCCCATGCACAAATGTTTCCTTCCATAGCTTTGTGCCATCCACCACTGTAGCCATCATATAGCAGTTGGTAAGATATTCAGCAATAAGTTTTATATTGAAAGCCATCACACAAAGCTACTTGACCTTTTAAAGAATTTTAAAGCTAATTTGCTTTTCTTCACACCAGACTAGCCAACTCATACACAGGGCCTTTGTGGAATCATTTGGCTCAGAGCAGGTTACCACAAGAATCCTGAGCCTATAATACTGGAGTGATATCATTTCAAAGAAAAGAATACTGTCACATTGCCCAAAATTTGACACAGTGGTTGTGTAAGAATTTTTTTTTTTATGACGTTCTGCAGATGAGAACATTTTTAATCTGAGGCACTTCCAGATATTTGACTTTTTGGGGGAAAAAAATAAAGAAAACACAATTTGGATGTGCCTCATGTGACAGGATTTTGTATGAAAAACTGAATTAGAATACCATCCCAGTTTGTGGTCTGTGTCTGCAGCGCGTTAGTGATCACCCTCCACCACTTGGTATTGCTTGCAGTCACACAGGAGAATGGTTTTGCAGATATAACCATAGCAACACACAAAGCCCTGATCTCAAATCCCTTTTTCCATAATCACATATATTTCAGTTCAGGATGCTAAGATTGGGTCTAAGATTGTGGGGAAGGAAAAATACTGTATGTATTATTCACAGTGTATATGTATTGATGGTGACTTTGTTCATGTTTATTCTCTTATTTTATTTCTTCACTCACACTTTTTCTCAAATCCCTTTATTTTGTTTAATTTACATACAATTATGAAATGTATTGGTGATTTAAAAAAATTACCATTAACATATATCCACTGGAGTTTACTTCTATGTATCCCAATAGATAGTCCATAGGACAGCAGTGCCCAGCGCATTAGCAGTGGATTGGATAGGAAAGAATCTGTACTGGTGTGATTCAGAAAAGAAAACCCTGGAAGTGTCCAAAGCCAATGGCCTCTATCCTACTATCCTGATCAGTTCTGGCCTGAACAGCCCTACAGATCTAGCCCTGGATCCTCAGACAGGGTAAGTGTATTTGTTTCAATGTAAAGCTGCTCATACTGTATATACTTACTCATACTTATTTCCACATATTTTTGATAACTGACTGGGGTGCAGTGCAGATGTTATGCAGAGCAATTTTATTAATGTTTCCTTATTTATTAGAAACTTCTCGTTCTGTGGAACTGTTAAAAAAAACTTTTTGGGCAGTGAAATAGCTTGTAGGTGTGAGGTACCTAGCAGAGAATAATAACGACAATGTACCCCAATTCTCAATAGTTTGAACACTGTGTAAATTGTAAATCAAAACAGAATGGATTAAGTGGAGAGGACTTGCTGTTAGCTTCATGAAGGTTTAAAGTAGTTTTGATTCATTTGAACATTGGATTTAGATTGGATTTCCATATATCCCACATCGATGAATATTGCAGTTGTACACAGTTATGAGTTATTTTCAATGTTTCCAACTAGGTATGTGTTCTGGGTAGACTGTTGTGAACCTCCTCACATTGGACGAATCGGCATGGATGGCCGTGGGCAAACGGTTATCATTGACACAGAGATCTATAGCCCCACTGCTCTCACTATTGACTACACCAACAAGAGACTCTACTGGGCAGACGACAACCACATCCTTTTCGCCAACATGGATGGCACTCAAAGGCGCAAAGGTGTGTAAAACTGTGTTTTATGGTAAAGTTGCATCAATTAAACTTACTTCACCATGAATTTCTGACACTTACCATGGCAGTGACAGAACCATTGCTTATTCTGATGATGAATACTAAAATACTATGGTCATATTGGTATGTTAAACAATTAAATGTCACTAAATGGTTGATTAATCGTATGAGTGGAACTATTAATGGAAATTTTAAATGATGGTGATTTTGTTTTCTGACATAATTCTGCTGCCGTCCATTTAGTTGCATTCTAAACACGGCATAAGATAGTTTAAGCCAGCATGGATATTTGTCCTTTCCAGTGTCCTATGATCACATCCAAGGAGTCATGGCACTGACATTGTTCGAGGACTTTGTGTATTGGACGGATGGCAAGTCCAAATCCCTGCGACGCGCTCACAAGACTACTGGCGTTCAAGGGGTTGAGCTCCTCAACTCTTGGCAAGCAATAAAATCCATCAAGGTTTACCACTCCCTGCGCCAGCCTGAGGGTAAGTAATCCATCTGGCTCTCATGGTTGCCCTCTCCTCTCATGGCAACCAATAGTTTTGAGAATCTTTTTTTTTTTTTTCAGTTTAGAAAGGAAATGATTTGTGTCATACAGTTTAAAGTCTGTTATGTATGTCTATTGTTTTTCCAGTGCCCAAGCACCAGTGCCAGATCGCAAATGGCGGATGCAGCCACTTATGTCTCCTTTCCCCCGGTGGGGAACACAAATGTGCCTGCCCCACAAATTTTTACTTGGCCGCCGACAATAGAACCTGCCTCTCCAACTGCACTTCCAGTCAGGTCAGGCCTAGTGATCCTCCATCCCTCCATGTGTGGAAGGACTTTCATCCATTCATGTGGATTTTCTTCTGTCATCGCAGTTCCGCTGTGGGACAGATGAGTGTATTCCTTTCTGGTGGAAGTGTGACACGGTAGATGACTGCGGGGATGGTTCAGATGAGCCTCCTGATTGCCGTAAGTGCTCTGTTTAATTGTTTAAAACTGACCCCAGACATGTTTTAAAAAAAATTTTATCCTTGTTGCTGCTTTACCAAGGCTTTTAGTGAACCGCTCAAAGCATAATACTTTCTTTGGAACAGCGGAATTCAAGTGTCAGCCCGGACGTTTTCAGTGTGGAACAGGCCTTTGTGCTCTTCCACCCTTCATCTGCGATGGAGAAAATGACTGTGGTGACAACACAGACGAGGCGAACTGCGGTAAGCAATGCAAAAGGATATTTTGTTACTTTTCTGTAAGGAGTTTTGCAGCTTTCTCTTCATTTAAAATGCGTCTTATTTGTAAGAATCAGAAAGTAATCAGTTGGTCCTGTTAATCAGCTGACGATTCTTATACCATTCTCTATTGAGAAGAAATTCCAGTCCACTAATTAAGCGCCACAAAAGCATTACAAAATAAACAGTTTTTGTTCACTTGTTATAACAATATTTAAGTTTTCTTTCAAATTAGTTTAACATTTTCTTTTACGTAACATCTTTTGCTTCTGAAATGAATTAATTGGTATTATGTTGTTACAGTTAACAAATTGATTACGCAATGCAAGTAAGAGAGAAAAAGCTCAATCTCTTCATGATAAAGCCATGGTTATTAGTTAATCTTCTTTAGGTTTAATTTAATGCTGTTGCAAATATAGACATTCTCATCAATTTGGATTATTCTTACAATTAATTCTGTTGAGAAAAGTCAATTAAACAACAATACAATCTCACCTCAGAGTCTATATTAGTTGGTTGTTGCTGAAATACATTATTCTATCAGTTTACAGCAGGGCTGAGACACTGAGGGTTTGCTTCAGGTTCAGGGTTTTCAAACACCAACATACCAGCATTCGATATGCTGTACGCATTACATGTTTCCCAAAACGAAACAGCTATGTTTTCTTTTGCAAATTGGATTTGGTGAAACTGTCACAAATGTGAGACTCCACAAATAGTGCATGTTCAAATACTTCTGTACATGGGTGGAAAGGGCTAGAAGAGTGTTTCAGCCTGAAGTCATGCAAAATAAATCAAGTTTGAGTTCTATCCAACCTGTTATTGTCCATAGACTATTCAAATTTACTAGTTTCCTCTCAGCAATTCCTGTTAGTTGATTGTGGCTGAATACAAAACAGAACTTGAAATAAATATGAAGCTATTGGTAAATTATAAGATAGTGAATTAAGTTTATCGTGATAGTTAAATGTCACTTCTATATTGCGACACTTCAGAACTTTGGATATGTTGATAAAAGTATGCTTTGACTAAATAATTAAAAAGGAGCTTTCTGTTGAGTCTTCACTGCAATAAATAAAGAGTTCCATTAACTATTGACACTATTTCTATAATGATTCAAATGATCCCCTTTTGCCTGTGTTCTTCTTTTAGAGACATACATCTGTCTTTCGGGCCAGTTCAAGTGCACCAGAAAGCAGAAATGCATCCCGCTTAACCTGCGCTGCAATGGTCAGGATGACTGTGGTGACGGGGAGGATGAAACAGACTGCCGTAAGGCTCGGGATAATTTCTTTCTCTCTCATTGTCTGAAGTCGGAGAGCGTTTAGACTTGGAAGACTTTTAATCAGAAATGAAGACGGGAAACAATTTGAAACGTTTTTTAGTTTCGTGCCACGGAAATACAGATTCAGACTGCGCTTTCTCAGATATCATTCTTGTCAGTGCTCGGGCATCTTGTGATACAGCATTAACATTGCATAGTCCTCATTAGGTATTCTAGAGACTACCTCTGTTGTAGTCTGTTTCTGTGAAAAGGGATTAGATATTGAACCACACAGTGGATAATAACAGCTTTTATTTTTTTATTTTATTTTGTCTCTCTGTCTGGGGTGATGTAACTCTTCCGAATATCACACCCCTCTCAGGTCTTTTGGACCGCTGCATTTGTGTTTTGTATGATTGCAGAAAAGCTGAGAGCGAGGAGGAAGAGAAACCAGAAGAATCAGGACAAAAAAAAAAGAGAGACTTTAATTAAAGCCAGGCTAATTACTGCAGCCCTGCTTAGACTTCCTGCATGATTGAATGGTTTTGAATGCATCTTTGTAATGAACACTGCGCCAGTGAAATTGAAATGCTATTTGAAACAATGTTGAGTTTCATAAGTAGAACTTCCTGATACCTTATTATTATACCGATAATGAGGTAAAGCAGGTGTTTGGGCGGTATTGTTGGCTCTCGTTTTACACTAGCCGTATCTGATGAATCGGCTCTTTATTTGGATAAACATAAACTTTCAAAATGATTAAATATTACCTCTCCTCTCTATGCATTCCCATTCTCTGTGCATATAGCTGAAAGCACCTGCTCCCCAGACCAATTCCAGTGTAAGGCCTCCATGCACTGCATCTCCAAACTGTGGGTTTGTGACGAGGACCCCGACTGTGCAGATGGGTCGGATGAGGCTAATTGTGGTGAGTACATAGAGCCTGCAAAACCCCACCAGTGTAGCTATCTTAAGTGAAATCCAGTTGAATCCGAAGTATTTGTAGGTAATTTTACACAAGAATTCACATTAGGGGTGACTTGGTCCTTCTGCTATTTTCCCACTGATGACTAGGTGAAGGTGCTTTGATGGTCAGCTTTCAGTATTTTAATCCAAACTTGTGAGACATCTTTAGTATTTGACAGAATTTGAGTGGTGGTTCACACAAAAAACTGTGGCAGGTTGCAAAGCACTTTGTGTGAGGTTATCACTTACATGAAATTGACCTAAAACCAGTGTTATTGCAGACATTTAGTAAAAATAAAGAACATTTTCTTTAAAAAAAAAAGACAAATGTTGAGTTTTTCTTAGCCTTACTCATGCTGCATGGATTAAATCCTCTTTTATTAGTAAAAATTTATAAATGGACTTTGTTGCATTTTATGAATAAACATAGTAGCTCCAGACAATTTAGTGTGAGAAATGATTTTGATTTAGAATGACTATATTTCCATCTTTTGCAATCTTCCCTAGTCTGGTATGCTTATAAAATACCAGGGAAATATGAGCTGTGCAGAGGCACTATTAGCACTGACAGGGGAGAATGAATTCAAACCCTTTGCCCTCATGCTCGTACAGCGAGAGGCATTATCTGTACTCTGACAGTTTGGAGGTGATTTTCTGCCCTTGAAATTTGTTGTGTGTGTGTGTGTGTGTGTGAGTTGTTTTTTGTGCTAACCACAGAGGTGTTGGCAGAAATACTCTTTTGTGTGTGCGTGTGTGTTTAAAGTTCATTAGAATGAAGCAGCACCAAGGAGGGAAATGTGCCCTTAACTTGAGCTCAGAAGCCTTGTAAATATGCAGATACACAGATTTTTCTGTGAGTTTGGGAGTCTTATATCTCTTTCGCTCAAATAAAGATTTTCTTTTCCTCTAATTTTTACTGCCAACGTGTGGACTGGAAAATAAGATGTGACTATTTGACATTGTCATTTCCACTCGTTATTTCTGGGTTTGAAGTCAGAATGTACAACTAATTCCTTTTTGTGGACTTCGTGTCAGGGGGATTAGCAAGATGATGCCCGTGTTAACTAAGGAAATGACATTTTTTATGTGAATATGAAAGAAAGAGCAATGCTCAATATGTATGTAACATTAGTACTTTACAGTATGCCATTGGCTCATCAATTTGCATTTATTAATGCTACGTTATTACAAAATTGATACTTAATAACTTAATTTTTGTTAATTATGCTGTCTTATTGTAATCAAGGCATTCACAGAATACATTGGAAACGTTTTTCTCTCATTTTCTAATGCTGACATTTCTTTACTTGTAATGAAATATAAAGTCACATATTTCCATTCCTTGAGCATCCTCTGAGGCCAGGTCATGCCAGATTGTATCACAAGTGACATCCACAGTGTCCTGATATCCACAAACGTTTTCTATACGGTGAGAGAACAAATATTTTCTGATATAATTATTTTTCTTTAGTTGTGTCAGTTCAATTAGGAGAGATGAGTTCAATCTAACAATGTCACATTTACAATGTAGGTTTTTAAGAACCTTTTTTAGCAGTGTATTTGTCACACATTACAAAAACTGTTCCCTTTTTAGAACCACCAGAAACAAAACCATTATTTGATAGAAACTGACTGACCTCACAGCAAAAGAAAGTCTGAGTTGCTTTATTTTGACTCAAGTTTTCTGACCAACCTTTTTAAAAAAATAACCTGGAGACTTTAATTATGTTCTTTTACTTAATTCTACCATATTCCTCTCTTCATATCCTTCAAATACTGTTGATAAATGCTCTTTTTCTCGTGATCTAGTGCATTGTGCGCTCTGGTACACTCAGGTTTCCTCCCTTTGTTTTTTTTTTCTTCGGCTGTCATGAAATCCAGGCAGAATTAACCATCCTTTACTTCTGACATATCTCTTCCCCTTATGAGAACCGTAAACTTGGCCATTTTCCATAATGATTTTTTATAAAAGGGACTTTTTGAAAGAAAAACTCAGTTTGACTTTGAGCAGTTGTTCTAAGTGCTACAACTGCTGTAGAGCAAAAATCAAAGCATCTATTTTTCTTTTTTTAAACGCAAGCTTTGATCATTTGAAGTATTTTGACTAATTATTATAGGCTATTGCTAAGCTTTCAAATGTCTTTTTTCTTTTTGTATTCCTTGATATGTCTTTAAACTGATTTTTTTTTATTGTTGGGGGCATAAGGAACATCAAGCTAACTTTCATACAACCACACACAAACACAATCCACATTTTCCAAAGTTTCACACCATTTAGTTCAGGCTTGTAACACAGATGGTCTTCTACATGTTTATACGTTTTACTTTTTTTGCTTTTGAAGCATTATTCATATTTGAAGCCTCACAAATAAGACCCTAATTGTGACAGGATATGAACTATCTGAGATTCAAACACAGGTGACTACCAGGGGTAAACCTACCCTCACAAACAAACCAGAAGGCCCTGAAACCAGAGCTCCCCTCATAAAAATAATATTTATCTATAAGTTGCTTCTACTTTGATTCCCACCAGCATTAGAACAAACTGTGGTGCAAAGTGGATTGTCCAAATGATAGTCAAAACAGGCTAAAAACAGAGATGTGTCCATTTAATAGACTGATAATTGGTGAAGTCTAGAGCTGAAACTTACTTTTTGTCACAGTCTTAAAGAGACTATAACTTCTGTTCCATCTTATACATTTTCCTTTGCTTCTTTGCTGACAGGGATGCAAATCCAAGTGGGATATGACGTATACTTAAACTAAAACCATTAGAAACACACAACATGTGCAGTGTTCTAATGATCGTTGATCAATGGATTTAAAAATGTTTAGGTCTGTTTAATTCCTGTCACAAATCTGCAGAAAGGGAAGTGTAGTCTAGTCAGGTATTTCATCTTGTGTTGTGTCGGCCTCTCGAGAGCATGCTCTGTTTTGAACTCTGTGTTCGGGGCGCTCGGGGAAACCCCGAGGAAATTAAGATTACATGTTGAAAATGCGAATTCTAGCACTCGCTTAATATTCATGCTCTTTGAAGCAATTTTCATCTTTGTAGGGGCTTTTTTTTCTCCTTCTTCTTTTTTGCTCCTGATGAAATAGATGAAAAGACCTGCGGACCTCACGAATTCCGCTGTGAGAATAACAACTGCATCCCCGACCACTGGAGGTGCGACAGCCAGAACGACTGCGGAGACGGCTCAGATGAGGAGAACTGCAGTACGTACCCGGAAACCTACTTAACTCCTCTATTGGGTTGTTTACACCATGGATACTCTGAACTCACTCCAAATAATTTAATTTCCTTGAGAACACCTGATTGTCCACCATCACAGCCACCTTTTCTTTCCCACCAACAAATATAAGCAGAAATCCAATAATAACTAACAACCTGCCTTATGAAACTCTTCTTTTCACGCTTACCGTTATCATCTGGGCACTTCCTGAGTGTTTTATCCTCTCATGAAATGACCCGGCTAACTCACCTTGTTATATCACACATCCTGTTGTGTATTTAAGTGCAAGTATTTGTGAGTGGAATTATTTGCCTCTGCATTATACAAGTATGTGCATTCCATCTGCGTGCTTTTGCTGAGTATGCACATCTAACATGATTTATTAGCCGCTTGAGTCCCCACACCTATTAATGTCACTTAAAATGCAAATAAAAGCCAGTCAAGTGTTGGACGGCAAGAAACATTAAGCAGGTGGACCAGCAGACAAAGGAGGAGCTGCAAATCAGATTCTGCTGCAATGCCTGATGGGAGTCTCTGTCGAAGCACAGCTCATAACACACACCCCGAGTTAGCTAACAATCCATGATAACAAGGGGAAGCGCCCAGACGGTGGATAGGATCCAGCTGTTTAGCAGCCTCCTAATATTGTCCTCTGGGACAGGCCTCTGCTAAGTGGCAAATCCAAGATGTTTGGCTTTAGAGAAAATATTTTGTGCATTGTACATTTTTATCAGCTTTGCTGCTTCATGCAAGTTTGGTATCACCAGTTTCTCCTAAAGCTTTAACATGTGATTCTGAAGACAGAAAAGTTTTCTGATTGATTTTCCCCGTCCTTGTTTTCTGTGTATTTATTAATTTGGTGTTATCTTTTGTTTATGAAAAAAGAATAATCCATTTGGTTTCCTCTGTGTTCTTTCCTTCCCCTCAGAGCCAGTCACCTGTAACCACAAGGACTTTGCCTGTGCAAATGGAGAGTGTATTTCCTCCCGCTTCCGCTGTGATGGAGATTACGACTGCTTGGATAATTCAGATGAGGTCTGTGTTTTAAAACGGTCATCCTCAGTTTTTACGACCCCAAAAAGTTTGAGATGCCGATGAGGTGAAAAATAAAAGGGCCGTCTTTGCTTTGCTCTGTAGCATCCCCAATAGTTTAAACATAAGTCCGTTAACATCTGGAAACCAAGGACATGCTACTATGTCACATGGGATTTTGTTATATTGAGTAAACTTATGAAGCCCTGTTGTCATAAGAGATGCAGTATTATGTTTATCAATTTCCAAGGCCCTCCTTAATAATACATAATCTGTCTCTCAGGGCAGATGTTGCTCAACTTCCTCTATACACATTCAAGAATTTTTCTGTTCACATTTATCCAGGCTTCAAACCTCACATTTATCCAGACTTATTACGGGAACAAACCGGACACAGACCATGCCCCATTTGAGGCTGCATTGGAGACAACTGGGGTTCCGTGCCATATATTCATTTTATATACATGATCATTATTTCAAAAGTTTTGCGCTAAAGCTGCCCATATTTGAATCTGGATTTTTTTGTTTATGTTACTTTATACTGCTTAGATAAATACATAAACAAATAATCTTTCCATTTTACCCTCCCTGGCATATATTGCAGGTACCAGTGTGATTAGATAAAGCAGGCCACTCTTTACTATATCATCATGTTCATCAGATTTAGTCTGATATTTGAGTCTGTAATACGTACTGTAAAAATAACAGTTCACTGCACCAAAATATAATACTAAACTACTATCTTCATATTACTATGAAGATAATATTAAAAGGAAATAGGCCTACCACTTGCAAATTGCAACGGACATAATCTAAATTATAGCATATGGATAGTATAATTTCATATGGAAATATATCTTACAGCCCAAGATTAAATAAAAGAAGAGTGAATTTAGATGCACATAACTCCACATGCGAAGAAATAATTCTATTGTTGGTATAATTCATCGTGCTTTTCCGAATCTCCTCATCATGGTCCCCATATTTCAAAAGACTGCCAGACAGGAAATATCACCATGATGAATTATTGTCCCTTCAAGTGCATTAGTGCATGAAACACCACATATTCATTTGCTTTTGGAAATCCTAATCCTACATGTCAGCAAAACAAAGACTGGTTGTATTTTTCTCACAGAACTTGAATGAAGCTAAATCATAAAGATTCTAATTAATATTACTTGCTTGATTTATGTGCAAAGAAATGAAAATAGACGCATATATGTGAATCCATATTGTCTTTCATTGTCTTACTTTATTTTTGCAGAGTCCATGAAAAAATATGGCATTAGTTGTGATAAAGTGTGGTGTGCATAATTCAAGGATAAGGACCTGTTCATTATTCTTGTCCATTTATTGCCCTTTTCAATATTTGCACACCATTTTTGCAGCTAATCCCTCTTAATGCAAAGTGCCGCAACCCTAATTAACTCTTTATTATGTTCCTCCCATGTGCAAACTTTCCAGATCAAGAAATATGGGAGAAACAAAAACGGCCTTTCAATCAGCAGTGATTGGTCAAATTCACTGATGAAATTAATTCAGCCTACAAAACCGCTTTAGATGTTAAATACAAATTTTCAGTGTCCACCTGTTAATAAACCTGTCTATGATAAGTTATATTTTGGAACCTGACTTTACTAATAATGGCTTATTTATTTATATTATTCAAGGCACTGCAGTTATTTTTACTGTAAAACTGCATTCAGACCAATTAATTTTCATTTTCTTGATTTATATTGTTCAGTCTGTTTGTTGTGTCCATTCACAGAAAGGTTGTGAGGCGCGCTGTGCAGATGACCAGTTTCAGTGTCACAATAATCTCTGCATCTCAGTGAAGTGGCTCTGTGATGGTCAAGAAGATTGCAAGATGGGGGAAGATGAAAAAAACTGCCAGGGAACAGGTGAAAACGAATTAAATCACGAGTGGTGTTTGTAAAGTTATTCTTAAATGTGTTGTTCTTGCAGTATGTTAAAAAAAAGTGATCTCAGTCAATGTTGCAGAATACAATGCCATTGTAGTAGTGTCGAATTTTATCGATGGAGAAATATGAATCTACCTGGTGTCATAGGGCAGGTTAGATACAGGTATACTTCAGATTTTTCCCTCTTACTGGTAACCTTAGGTGGGTAACCCTATTGTAAAGTAACATAAGAATATGACTTTTTAACACTTCTACATGTCTGTTTTTCTGACACCTCTGAAGTGCTTTGCCCCTGAATCGGGTCCTACACGATATAGGGACCTGTACTTCTGTGCTTCAGACCTTATTGTTGGGAAGCAAAAGACTTTGACTGATGTGTGTTCTTCTCCTCCAGTGGTCCCTTCCTGCTCTGTAAATGAGTATGTGTGTGCCAGTGGAGGCTGTGTGTCGGCCAGCCTGCGGTGTGACGGACATGACAACTGCCTAGATGGCTCGGATGAGGTCAGTGTGGCATGTATGTTTACAAAGACCAGCAGCATAATCACGTCGCCGAACAGGGAAGAGCAGTTTGAGCAGTTGCGACGTGTTTTCGGCGCAAGGTTTCGGTTTGGCGCGATTGCTCCTTGATGATTTATGATGTTTCTGTGTGGACAGATCGGCTGTGTGAAGGAGTGCAGAGAGGATGAGTTTCTGTGTCTGAACAGGGCTCACTGTATCCCTCGGCGCTGGCGCTGCGATGATGTGTTGGACTGCATGGATCATAGCGACGAAGAGAACTGCAACCACGGTAACAATGGGTTTGGTCTTGAATGATAATTTATATTGATTTCTGAAGGTTGAATAGAGGCAATTGGCATGTAGGTCCTCTTTTTTCCTTCTTTATGCTGTTAAAAAAAGAGACAGAAAGAATTCAACAGAGCTTTTGATGTAAAAACAAAGCCTCAGATGAAAAGATACAACATAAATGGGAAAAGGCATGGCAGATGAAGGATTACATGTATATAATGAGAAAAAATGAGTAATGTAAGATGAGATGAAAGATATAAATGAATTAAAACTTGGCATTTGTAAGGCAAAATGATCCACGATGTCTGGATAATTGTGTCAAACCATCTGTCATGATTGTACGGTAGATGATTTGAGCACCGTCTTATGCAAGTTTGAATGCTCTTTTCTACCTGAGTTAGAGTGATAAAAGTCGAGAGGGAATTATCCATGTAATTGCAGGAGCTTTCTTCTGTCGGGCTGATGAATTCATTTGCAACAACACCTTATGCAAACTTCACACATGGGTGTGCGACGGCAAGGATGACTGTGGAGATAACTCTGACGAAGATGCAGACATGTGCGGTAAGGCTTAAACTGTAACTTACAAGGGGATTTTTCTGGAGATAACTAAGGCATGAACTTATAATAGTGAATATTTCATCCTCTTTTGCCAAAGTCGTCTTTTTTCTTTTAATATTTTGCAAAGAAACATCTTTCAGCTTATTTTGTCTTTCGGTCCCCAGCAAAACTTCCCTGCCCCCCCACAAGGCCATTTCGCTGTAGAAACGATCACGTCTGCCTACGCTCAGACCAAGTGTGCAACAAACTGGACGACTGTGGTGACAACTCGGATGAAGAGGAGTGTGGTGAGCAAAGACACTACACTCACACAGCACTGCACAGTGTTTTTATCTTTTTATTTATGCTTTTTTGTTTGTTTTCTTTAATGAAGGCAAAGTTATTCTTTATCTGTCTAACAAGTGCAGGAGGTTAAATACTCCCCTGATGCACTTTCCCTTTATAAGTAGATGTGTATGTATTCTGTTTAAAAATAATGCAGTTGTCCTAGAACCCAGGACAGTAATTATGAAGGGGATGAAAAAATAAATGTGATCCACTTCCTTAACAGTGTGAAAACGACCTTCTAAAAGGATGAATATTTAACCTCTGTTTAAACAGATAAACCTATTCAGACACAGTTTTACTTTGAGGAAATGCACTACTCAGTCACACAGAAGACAAAAAAAAAAATGGTTACAAACAAAATGTCCCCAAATAAACTCATCATAGGTTTGACTAGGAATGCAGTCTAAGAGTAGGGAGGGGGGGGGGGGGTTTAGAGTATAACGGTTCCATATTAAGCCTTTATTCCAACTGGTTTTTATAACAGATGAATTCATTTCAAGCATTACTTGTACAGGCATCATAGGCTGAATGTTCCTGGACTAACTTATTCATTTTATTTGTTCATTTATTCATTTCCCAAAGAAACTTTGTATTGCGCATATAGTACCAAAAATAACATAATTTTTGTTGTAGTTCCAAAGCTAGTCGCCAAGATGAACATGTTGCAATGATAGGAGAAAATTAAAAAGGGACAAAATAATGTAAAAACAGAAAGACTTAAGCCTCACCCCAGAAAATGAACAATATCTCTCATTCCAACAGTTAGTTCCAGATAAAAGGCAAGAGAAATATTAGTCGCTGCAGATACATTTGGGGTGTTCAACATATTTGATGAGTTCTGCTCCAACTTTTTTTTTCTTCTAAAAGTGAAAACAGCTTTTTTATTTTTTCCCATAGATCCAGAGGCATAACTGCCCCTCTCCCTTTTTTTGTAGTGTCCTGACACGTTCCCGCGACACAAGCTGAATGATCACACTGAGAGGACAGGAAAGAGAGGGACAAATAGCGTCTCTTTTCTATCGCTTTCAAGTTCCTTCTGTCATCCATTCATCTTCCTCTCTGATTCCATTGATACCCCCATCCATCTCTTAACTCAGTCCATTACCTCTCACCATTGTATGCTTCTTCCTTCTATCCATCCCCTCACTCTCACAGTAATCCCATCATCCACCTCCCCATCACTTCATTATGCTTCATTCCTTCTCATTGTTATTCTGTCGGAGGGCGTTAAACGTCCATTTTTTTCCTCCACACATACGCCACCGTTTCAGTTCGGGATGTGTAATGGCAAGGTGGTCCACGGAGGTAGTCACGAAATATTTCACGACTATAATATGTTCAAAGAAGGAATGGATAGGGAAGATGCCATTTTTGCTTTGCCATTTGATTGGGATTGTGACAAAAAACAAAAAAAACAAAAACTGTTACCACTTACAAAACAGTAAAAACTGGGTCATTTTGTGTGGAAAAAGTGTACATCATATAAAAAAAGTAGCAACCACAAAGAAGGTAACAGTGCTGTGTGAGTATGATTGTGTTTTACGCGATTATGTGCAACAGTTTTTGTCTTTTTAATTGACACCGTGCGCTCTGAAGCAGAAGTGGTGGCTGGAAGACCTCGGCCTTGTGGGAAGACGGAGTTCACCTGCAGTAATCGGCGGTGCATCCCGATGCAGCTCCAGTGCGACCTCTTCAACGACTGCGGGGATGGCGGCTCAGACGAGCAGGACTGCAAGTCGCGTAAGTTCAAGGAGAGTTAACTTGAGCGAACAGATGAAAGAAAAACCACGCAAGAGCTGCAATGTGCCAAATGTCACCGTGATGTAACGAGGAAGCTCGGCAATATCCTCATTTTAGTGAGAATGTTTTGTTGTTTATGATAATATATGTATGCTCATGTTCGAGGGGTGTTGTGTACTGTATTAATGATTAAGGTGCCCTCTTGTTTGCGGCACATCAAAAGAACAGCCCAGCAGGTGTCTAAGAAGCAGAGGTGTAATCAAAGACTTGTCTTTATTTGTAGTTTCCAGTGGAGATGTATGCGGGAAGAAAACAAACCTGTGCGGGGAGGATGCAATCTGCAACCAGACAAATGTAAATGCTATATGCCAGTGCAAACCCGGCTTTAAGAGGAACCAGAAAACAGGCCAGTGTGAAGGTAAAGTGTGAACATTTTGTCATTGAACAGATATAGAAATGGTACATATAGTGGGTTGTTTGCCAAGTAAAATATATATTATATTGGTAGACAAAAACATGGAAACCTTCAGAAAAAGAGTTTTTGCTAGACAGTGACTAACCATTGCACATTCAGCCAGATTGTATATGAATAAAAGACAACTGTACTATTGAAATGAACCCTGGGATGAAGAGTTCCAACCAAGGCTAAGTATTGTTCAAAATAAAGTGATAATATGGTACTAACGTAGAGAGGTCAAGTCAATGACCTGATGCAAACAACAAATCGAAGGGATCAGTTCATGTGAGGAGAGCCATACACATCTCTGAAAGAGTAAGCTAAACTTTCTCTGCCCTGTTTTTAAGCAGCGGGTGTTCAGATATTGCTGCATACATTTACAATTAGAAGACACTTTAATGCATAACAACTGAGAAGTGAGAAAACATCTTTCAAGGCTCCATGCAGTAAGAAACCTGCCCTGTACAGTAGGTGCTAAATCTATATAAATATAACACTTATTTGCACAACATGTTAATCCCTGTTTTGTAGATTGTGGAAGGTACAGGTTAGATTTGTTTTTTTAGTTCATTTGAGTTCATTCATCTCAATTTAATATATCAATATTTTTTTCCAATTTGTTAACCAAGTTTTGATTGTTAATTCAATTCAATTCTTTTTTTGATTATTAGAAAACCTCATGATGATATGGTAGATGGTTTTTATGCAGTTTTGCAAAATATGGATAATTTATTTTCTAACACCACCATATCAGCAAATAAGCTCTAAAAGTAAATACGTCCATTGGGAGCAGACAAGATCATCATCTCAAATAAAAATCCACTAAAATTATTTCTACCTGATTTATAATAAATGTGTTTTTATGAGGCAGCTAGTTTCACGGCAACAAATGAAAGGAATGGTTTGCATTATGTGGTAAGCTGAGCAGGAGAATATTTTCCAGGTTTTACTTTGTACCTCTGCATATAAAACATTCCATTAACACTAAAAAATGTATATATCCTGGAGTCACTGTGGTCACACTAGCATGCTCATAAGTGAATCTGTCTATCCTTTCTTCCTTTCTTTTTCCAGAGATAAATGAGTGTCTGCAATTTGACACATGTCCTCATTACTGCACAAACACAAAGGGATCTTTTAAATGCACATGTGATCGGAATTTTAAGGAGATCAATAATAACTGCATAGCAAGAGGTATGGTCAAACATTGTTTTGTATTATTTTTTGTTTTTGAAAGCATGTATTGCTAATCTGTAGCCTGTCTAAAATTATATAAATGTTGATTTTCCAGTTCCATTATGTATCTTTTTTGTGATGCAGGACCAGAGGATCGAGTGCTCTTCATAGCAAATGACACTGAAATCCGAAGTTTTGTGCATCCATATAACCAGAGCCTCGGAGTCAAACTGCTCACTCATATTGAAGACAATGCACGTATAATAGGGATGGATGTTCTGTTTCATCACCAAAAGTTTATCTGGGCCACACAGTTCAACCCCGGTGGAATTTTTTACAAGGATTCCCTTGAAAGAAGCCAATCTAAATCAAATACCAGGAACATTGTGAGCAATTCTACACTCTATATATATATAACTGTATGAAAATCTGCCGGTAAATTAAAAGGAATACAAGTGTTTCATAACCTTTCAAAGCTGTGTTTTCCATGACACAAATTTTATGTGAATGTTTGCCCATAAGTTGAACGGAGACCTTGACATTCTGGCGGTTATCTGTTGCAGTGTTCAGATTTCCGTCGCCCCAGAGATATTTCTGCTGACTGGATCACAGGCAACATTTATTGGACGGATCACTCTCGGATGCACTGGTTCAGCTATTACACAGCCCACTGGACTAAATTACGATATTCCATAAATGTTGGCCAACTTAAGGGACCAAATTGCACCCGCTTGATTACAGACATAGCAGGAGAGCCATATGCCATTGCTGTAAACCCAGCCAGAGGGTAAAATATGTACTTAGCTATTCTCTTTTCCTGCTTACACATACAATCTGTACAGGAGTGTGGTTATTAGAAATGTTCCAAGTTCCAATATTTGTTGAACAATACAACAGAGAAGCATTGCAACCAATTTTCCATTAGTTTAATCACACTAAATATGTAAGCATGGTAATAATTGCTATCCAAGTTAGCTTATTCAGAAAACCATATCACCAAACATGAAAAAGCAAGCTCCATTAAAGGCTATTTAGAACAAAAAAAACACCACTCACACACTGTCAACCTCATGACTTCTAGATATACTCATAAGGGAAATAACCGTATACTAATTCATCAATTTGCAAGCGAAGCAGTGAGATCAGTATTTTCCCTAATTTTGATTATTTTTAATTCACATAATGGAATATCCAGCATGTGCGTTCATAAAAAAAAAAGAAAATATATACTTGGCATCATGCTCTGAGAGTAACTGACACAATTAAAACTCATCAGGCCACATATCTGATAATGTATTCATAGATTTATTATGCCGTATAGATGCATACTTACCGTGCATGCAGTATTATTCATTTCCATCTGCGCAGAGCTCAGAGGAACTATTTCTCTCTGTCCCTTTCAGAATGATGTACTGGAGTGTTATAGGTGATCATTCTCATATAGAGGAATCAGCCATGGATGGATCACTGCGCAGAGTACTCTTGGAGAAAAATCTCAACAGGCCCACTGGTACATTTTCACATATTTTCTGTTCATGTCTCTCTTGTGTTATGTTTGTTAATTGAATGTCCTCTCAAATAAAACATTTTTTTTGTAAATATCTTAATATTTAGAATATGCTGAAATTATCACTTTGTCCACTAATGTGCACATCACTTGTAATTAGCAGGTTTTCTCTTTTGCCTTTCTCTGTAACAGATTTTTGGTGGAACCAACAAATTAAGTAAAGCATATTCGGTGCACATAATCCACGACAGCCTCTTAGAACAATTTGTTGATTAGCGTCCATGATTTGGTTAATATGCAACATGTTACTCAGAGCAGGAAGCCTCAGTATCAGATAGCCCAGGTTCTATTTAACTGCTGTGATTAATATGCATATGTTTATGCACAACAGTTGAAAACATGCACGGCCCCTCAACGTTAGGGTAGCAGGACAAAATAACAGAAAGAGAATTCATAAGTAAGGCACACTTTACTGCCACTGGCCTTATGCTGGTATGTCTATAGGGAGACACTTAGAGATGATCTAGTTTTGAAGAGCTGCTTTGGCCTCCTTTAATTCGAGGTGCCTGCGCTCTGTCTTCGTCACAAAGGGAGGAATTCATCATGAGTGTGCAGAAAGGATAAACCCATTTAAATGCTTCAGCCAGGTGCTCAGAGTTCAGGTCGCATATTTAAAGAGAGAGATAAAATGGAATGGAAATACATTTAATAAAATCGGAGCCTCGGCTGAGAGCAAAGGTATTCTTAATGCTTCCGACCACCCAACAGAAACCAATTCTAAAGGGAAATAGTCAAAAGGCAAAAAAAACCCTACGGTTTTCTTTTATCCAGTTTATTGCACAACATAAATTGTAGCTCTCTTCACTTTAACATCTTAAGTGTTGAGGGATTCTTCAATGATTTCTGTTTAATTTGTCTAGCAAATAAATCTCTTACCTTCGTCCTTCCACAGGGCTGGCGATTGATTACTTCAACCAGCGTATTTACTGGGCTGATCCTGAGCTCTCGCACATAGGAAGCATGAGATTGGATGGCTCAGACCCCCTGGTGACAATCAGTGACAGACACGGTAAAACCAAATGGAAAACAAAGTCCAACTTTTTCCTTTTAACTCATAATATTCACAATGCACTTGGTTTTTCCCGACTTCTTATCAAATAATTGCAACTGTATTGCTTGTGTGTCTCCAAAAGGTAGACTTTTTAAACCACGTGTGGTCTTCCTGCCCAGCGCATGTTCCATTTTTCAATCAGGGACAGGACACACTTTATCAGTAATTTAGGTTGCAACTGCGTTCAAATATTTGCTCAAATAGTTTCCGTGTGTTCTTTTTCTCTGCTGCGCCTACAGGAATCTCTCAGCCATACAGAATCGATTTATTTGAGGACTACATCTATGGAACGGGACTAAAACACGAGGTCTTCAAGATTCACAAGTATGGCAAACATTCTGGGGAATTCCTCAATTTGGGAGTAGAGAGGCCCACTAATGTTTTCATCTCCCACCGTTACAAACAGCAAGACGGTGAGCCATTGTGATAATCTGTATTTGTATATGCGCGTATGCATTCTTTAGAGGAAACAGGAGATGGATAATAATCAGGGAGCCCTTACTGGATAATGTATTTTGTTTTACTGTTTTTTCCATTATGTACTGATTTTTTTGTTTACCATTCATTTTAGTTGTTCATTTGGCTACCAAAATGCATGTTTTAGATTGCCTTTAAATAACAAACCATCAAAGAAATGAATGGACATATGAAAAAGAAAGTGCATATTCTTATGATTTTAGGGTTTCATTTATGAATATATCATAAAATAGATTTTTCCTATGGATCTTAAGCTTAACTAAACACACCCTCAATTAAGCAGAAATAAATTCCACATAATTGTGTCTTTCATAACAAGTTTTTTCAAAATACTACCCACTGTAACACAATGTTTTGTTGTCCATCTTAGGTTGTTTTATATCTATTTTTAAGACTCAAGAAAGGCAAGGTGGAACAATGACAAGGATTGAAGTACATTTTGACTATCACCATTAGTTTACCTCAGGGTTCACCAGGAGACATGCAGTCAAAGGGATTTAATCCTGGCATGTTCATAGCTCCTTAATAGACCAACTGTCCATCAAGGGGATATTGTGCTCCATACATCCTCCCACAAGATCATTCTATGAATAGAAAGACTTAAACGGTACATTTATAGTTGATAATACTAAAATCAAAGCCCCCTTTTTCTTTAAAACAATTGCTTTAGTTCTCTTAGATACATTCAGTTTCAAGTGTGAATCAAGAATCCAAGAAGAGAAGAAAAAAGCACATACATTTTTTAAAACACAGCCAGTCACTACTACCATGCCCTTCCTCTCGGTTATGTAGTAAGCCAGCGTCTGTTATTTGTTACATCACCGGTGTTAATGGAGAAAGAGTAGAAGATAGCTCAGTCTCAGTCAGTTTTCTTTTCTTTCAGGGCAGCTCTTTATTCCTCAGAGACTCATTAGGCCGGCCGTGTAGTGTGTAATGTGTCTGTCTGTGGGAACAGGATCCACTCAGCTTTTGCAGAGCTATAACGTTAAAGTTTTATATCCTAACCGAAATCGCCATACCATCAGTGAAAATGAGAGATTGTCTTTCATACCTATACTGTGGTCAGCCGTATACACCGCTACTATAACAGTTAGAAACAGAGGACATATATATATTGTCAATTACCAAAATACAAACGTGTCTTGATTATTTTATGTAATCGAGAAAAACATGGTTCATTTCCTTCTTATTCACCACTCTTTGCCTTATGCTCAAACACCAAAAGCAGTGATTACCGGAAGTGTTCCATGGCTTGACATCACTTGCAGGAAGTTAATTTTCAATGATTCAGGCTACTGAAATTTGTCCATTATTTTGTCTCTGTGCGCTGTAGGCAGCATCAAGAGGAGCACTTAGAAAAGCCACTAATCAATTAGGCAAACGCAAATTGTTAGCACATTCCGTAGTTGTTGATTATTCAGTGTGCTTAAGCCCCGCACCTCTCCTGGCTGCAAGAAAATAACACCCTCCAAAACAGAAATTAAAAACACTTGAAACAAATTGCTTTAATTTGAAAAAGAACAGCCTCACTTTCCCCAAACAAACAAAGTCTTTGTGAATACTGGCCGGGCTTCCAGATTATCTCCTCGGCTCATTTGTCCTTTTGTCTTGTTTTCTCCTCAGCGCCAAACCCGTGCCTGAGGATGTCCTGTGATTTCATGTGTCTGCTCAATCCAACTGGGGCCAGATGTGCCTGTCCAGAGGGGAAGGTAGTGGTCAATGGCACCTGCAGTGACGTCAACACCTCAGGTAGGCAGGCCTTATCTTCCATTATCCCGCTTTAAAGATGGCTGTCGTATTAGCAGTAATATAAATGAGACTCTGATTGCTCTTTGAACACCACAAATTGTTAAATTCCCAACTAAAATTTTAGCTGATATTTATAGCTATTCACAGAAATTTTTTTGTTACATACTGTGAAGCTTTTGCAAATCATGTGGCAGAACAATTGTTCTTAACTTCATGTTCACAGCTCTTTGCTTGTGCTTATCAGGCACTAGCTGCATAAGTGTGTTACGGGTGCTATAACTACTGATCGGCGCCGAATGGTGAATAAAGCGCGATTTGCTTTCATGAAGGTGAACTGTGTCGCCCCCCGTGTGAGAACGGAGGCCGCTGCTTGGCTAATGAGAAGGGGGACTGGAGGTGTTATTGCTGGCCCGACTTTTCGGGGGAGCGCTGTGAGGTCAATCACTGCACAGACTACTGCCTAAACGGAGGCACCTGCATGGGCTCACCACTGGGTAAGTCTTCCCGTAAACACAAGGGTGTCAAAAAGCATCTGACAGGTGATTTTTATTCAAATATTCCTGGTAGTCTCCGCAGGGGCGCAGACATTCAAGCACACCTCATTTGTATGTTTCCACCAACTGTTCATTGGTATTCATGTAAACATATTTTTATGTAATTATGAGGTCATCTTTGCTAAATTCAGCCATCCAAATATGTATGAATAGACAGTTCAGTCTTGCTGTGCAGCACTTTATATTCTGGTGAAAGATGAAAGCTGTCACCTCTCTAGGCAAATAATTTTAAATCCAGCTGCTGTTTTTTCTTTTTTTTCCTCCTGCACATTAAAACATCATACGATAGCACTGTATTTCGTTAAACCTTCATTTGATATTTTTCTCTGCTAAAATTCACAAGATTGCATCTGTTAATTTAGCAGTTTAGTCTTTGGTACATCTGTTGAACAAGCTCCAAATAATCTTCCCAAGTCAGTGTTTCCTCTCATGTTCTTATGAGTGGTGAAAAAATACAAGCAACATTTGTGGAAGTTTATAAAACTATTCCATTGTAAGTATGGGCATCAAATCAGCAAGAATGTTAAAATTATACTTATTATAACAGCAAGTATCAAATATATTCATTTTTATATAAATGAATACACTGATTCAAACAGCTTGTGCTTCTTGAATACTTTTCTGACCCCTTTCATGGCATAAATTGATACAAAGTGAGTGTTTTGTTTTTGTCAACATCTTATGACTCACATTGACACAATAGGAGCCAAGACAACAACTGCTCATTAGCCAAAATGGAGCCTGTCTTTCAAAGCAGCATAGCAATCATGTTACATGGTGTTCGTAATGCGTGGCCTTACTCTAAGCTTTCCCTAAGTCAAAAAATGGGCCACTGGATGAAAAATAATTTTTCTATTTTTGTGTGGTTGTGAGGAACATTAATGTTGCAGTAGCTGTTTTACTTTATCTGTCGTTTTGGTTCTTGTCAATGTTTCCTTGAACTGTGAAGTCTGAAGCAAAGAAATATTAGTCGGAATGAGTGAGGGAAGATGAAAGTCACTGAGATTAAAGAAAAATGGATTTCCGCAAAGTTCTTGCTCGGTGATAAAAATGGACTGAAAGCTAGCTCGCTATCAATTAAAGGCTAGAGTATTTCCAGTTTTATCTATAAATACACAAGGTGTCTTTGAATTCCTGCTGTCAGGCCCTGACTGGATTATCAGCACTTGAATGGAACTTTTGGAACCAAAGCACACACAGACGTTTTTTTTTTCATTTCTTTCTGCGTTTTTATTGCATTAATGGTAACAAACATCTGTCTTCAGTATAAAAAATTACAATCAGAAATACAAATGCACATAATTAGATAACAGCATACATGAACAGTGGATTGTACTAACATCATTTTTCCTCCAGCTCTGATTTGTATATTTAACACACTATATATTTAACATACATCAATGCACACTACTCAGGTGACTACAGAACTTATTTTAAGCCCTGCTGTTGGGCAAAATTCATCCATGCTGTACAACCCTCATCTTCTGGTCACATGTATCTTTTTTTGTTTTTTTTGTTTCATTCCAATCTTATTTCTCTATCAGATTAGTCTACCCCTGGGTCATTTTTTTATCCCCTTGAGGGCAGTCTTGGTTTCATGTGATCATTGGTTGCTGAACCCCATCTTCACAATTATCTTTCTGCAGCGTCAGAGAATGTCCTGATCACCTGTGAGCCCTTATTGAATACCCCAGCATTTAAAACTTGCTTCTGTGGCTCAGATATTCTTATATTCCTGGAATATAACTTGGATGGTAATTAAAAGTGAAGTGGCTTTAAATATCATTCCCTCCCTGACATCTAAGGTTTCAAGCCCTAATGTACCGGGTAATGTCGGGGAAATAGAAGCACATACCTGCACTGAAAACTGGATTTGACATAAAGACAAATAGATTCTATTAAATCTGAGATTGTTTCTAAGATTCTTTAAATAGAATTTGTGTACAGTTATATCAAGTTCTTCGAAATAACTGTCTGAAAATGTAATTATCCTGTTAAGTGTTATAGGATTAAAACAAAAATCATTTTGTCTATGTTGCAATATGGTGTTAAAGCTTAACCTATCTACGTCCTGTCTGCTCGTTTCTGGTTTCTCTGGCTTGGCATTTTGGCTGAAGATATTTACTGAAGGAGATTTTCTGTACTGTTCCACAAGGAGGGAAAGAATCACTTTTCATGCTAATGCTGCCTTCAGTCTTGTATGAGACGTGTGCAAACTTAACCTTCCCTGACAAAATCTGTAAGCTGGACACTCACATTTACAAAACAGACATAATATTAGTGACACCAAATGTGTTGGCTACATTAGCAGCACAAGATGGTGTGGAACATGTTTATTAATATTGAACACACACCATTTTTAGTTTATTGGTAGTAAGTTATAGCTATTTACATATGCATGTAATGATTACATTTCCAGTTAAAGCTAAAAGCAAGAGCACAATAGACAGACATTTTTAGAAAGCTTTGAAACAAAGTATTCCCTGTGCTAAATTATATAAATAACCATTAAATAACTAAAAGGGGAATTTTTCTAAGACATGTCAAGCGTAGAAAATGCAGGCCACATGTATTTAGAGAATGAAATTACAGTTTGTGGGCCTGTGCTTTTGATGATTTTTTAGTTTTTTTTGGTTTATATTCTCTGAATTGCATTTCAGATTTGATTAACCCCCTTTCGCACAAGCAACACGTCACAATGGACAAAGTTGAACAGCTGGTTGCTGAATGTGTTGGCAAAATTGTAAAAAAAAAAATGGAAATGTTCTCTGATAAGCGCACATGGCAGTGAATACTTTTATTTCTTCTGTGAGCCATCATGAATGATCTGCAGTCAACTGCAGCAGGATTAAAAGACAGAAATGATAGACAGAACTGCTACATTGTTATAAGGTAAAAGAGGCAGACGGAAGATGTCACACCGCTTTCAATGATTACAAAATGGGCAACTTGGGTTCAACAGGAAATATTGTTAACATCAAATGTTACTTACTACTACTTTTGGAACATTGAGGCTGTTTGAGTGTCAACAATTTGAGGATTGTAAATGTTTCGGATATTGGATTATCTGATTAAGAAACATTCCACTATGATTGCCAAGTAGTAAAGTGGTTCTTTTGATGTTCCTGTAAGCTAAATAAAACAATGGGAATACTTCAACTCCAGCTGCCAATCAGCTGTAATTTGCCCCAAAATGGATGAATTCATAACAGCGCCGATTATTAAAGCATTAATCTTTTATGGCTTTGCACACAAGTAATGGATTTTGTTTTTAAATTTATGATGTGTATGATGTGAGAGCATAATTTCTATCGAATATGTAACGGTAAATTATTAACGGTGTTGGCTCACGGCGAGAATATTCATGGTTTGAGCACCTCGTCATAGGTGTGAGCCTGAATGCCGCTACAAGATTTGTGATATACTGGTAACATGTCAAAGTTGTTTCCTGACTAGTGTATTGCCATCTATACTAGAAGTCTTTCACAGCCAGAAGACTGAACAAATAGTAGCCACACTGTTTTTTTTTTTAAAGTTATAATCATAAACCTTTCATAACATGGATGTGAAACAGTAAAAATACATTCCTGTTTAAGTATGTCATCCATTATAACGATGGGTTTTTAAATAACTAATGCTTAATTTATTTATTTTTTTCTGTGGTTTTCTCAACATCTGTAACTATTCCAATTGTTTTTTTCTCTCAGGGAAGCCTACATGCCGCTGCCCTGTTGGATTCTCTGGGCCTTTCTGCGAGAAGAGGATTTGTGACAATTACTGTTTAAATGGCGGGACATGTGATGTCACTCAGGGAAATCAGCCAGTGTGCCGCTGTATGGCAGAATACACCGGGGACCGCTGTCTTCACCGTGAGTCCGGCGCCAGCAAATTCAAATGTCTGTTAACCCATTTCAGTCCCTCATATGTGGGAAATTAGCAAGTTGCACTGTTTTGAATCCATTTGTGGCACATAAAAACTAAAAGAAATAATAAAGCATAGAATTGTCCAAATAAAATTTCTCTGTCGGCATAACATCGCTTCAATTTGCAGATAAACAAAATCAAAATGATTCCATCAAACAGACTTAGTGTATTTCTGTATCAGTATGATGCATTTTCCTTGGCAGTGCTTTGGCATAATGGGTTGTGGGAAAACAATTTCTGTCATACATCATTAATATTTTCCCACTGTGGCTTGCCCGAGGGGCGATAAGTTTTCAACTGTGGCTGAGATGTCATTTGATGTGGATAATTAAGTCCCATTAAAGTCTTGTACAACTCTTATCTAACCAGCTTAGGCTGTGTTCCCAGTCAGACGCTCACCTCGCTTTTGTCTTTTCCGAATGCGGAACAGACATCTGCCATCACTACTGCGTGAACTCTAAGGCCTGCACGTTATCCAGCAGCGGCTACGTGGAGTGTGTGTGCCCCGCCAGGTTTGAGGGAAACAAGTGCGAACTGGACAAGTGTCTCCGCTGCCACGGAGCTCCCTGCCTCATTAACGAAGAATCGGGAGATGTGGTTTGCAAGTGAGTGCTTTCTTCTTTTCGTCCCTCAACCCCAGTTGCTGGGTCCTCAGGTTTTGTGTTTCCTGTGCATTTGTAGAAAAAACATTAGCTACACAGTATATTTTCAATCCGGCTCCCAGCTCCTGTGCCCACAGGCCACTGGCTGGCTGAATTAATTTGATTAAATCTGAAAAATGTATTATGGCACACAGCCCGCAGCATTTTAGGTGTTGATAATGTCAGTGAAATAGAGGCCAGTTGGACTCTACTCCTTTACATAAATTATGCATATACTTGACAAAACCACCGTAGACTCTTTCCTGATGTAGAAGTACAGTTTTTTTTGCTTGTAACCTGAACTTATTATTTCTTTCCCCCCCTCCAGCTGCACAAATGGCAGAATAGCGCCAAGCTGTCAGCTGTGTGACGGATATTGCTACAATGGAGGTACCTGTCACCTGGACCCTGACACCAGCCTGCCTTTCTGTCAGTAAGTCACCACTTAATGGGTGAAACAGGGAAAAAACTGATTGTTCTATACTCTCTCTGTTTCCATTCAAATGTGGCTCCTGTGCTTGCTGAAAGACTAGCTTTAAAAGCTGGAGGGAAAATCATCATGGGATATATTTTCCTTGCCTCGAGAACTCGGAAGATAACTGTCTTCCTCTGGAAAGAAATCTTTTAGTTTAAGGAGGGTTTGATGTCCCTGTTTGGAGGCCTTGGATCAGCAGGAAGCTTAGTGCCAATACACCCCACTGTGCTGTTTGACACCTCATTTTGGCTTAAAGTGTTTAGGTGGAGAAAAATTGTTTCATACTCCTTCAAAGCCTGCCATTCTGAGCATATCACATTGCACATATCTCAAAAGAAAAAAAAAAAAGTTGTGTATCAGTGGTTTAACGTGCCGTGAAACTCAAAAACTCGTATCACACATGAGGAAATCAAGAACCACTCACCGGACTGCTTAAAAAATGAATACCTCCTCTAGTACAATCGCATGCTGCGTTGTGTTAAAAAGGAGGAAATTGGAAATCCATTTCAAAAGCCAACTGTCTATTTTTCAAATGCCTATTGTCCACTGTAGTCAAATTGAAATTTGCAGTCACCACTCACATGTTCCAGGGGATAGAATCAATTTCTATGCAAATGATTCCATCTTATTCGATGAGGTTAACAGATCCTGATAATGTGGTTTATTATTTGCTCCAAAGACCAGAAATTATTTCAGATGATGGATATTCCGGTGTCAGGAAATCATAAAGTTTGACCTTAATATGCTGAGTAAATGTATATTTCATCAAACCTTCACAGAAGCACATAAGTCACAGGGCTGAGCTGCTTCAAGTGGAGATATAATTCTGGATTACATTCCTAAAAAATGGGGGAGAAAACGTTGCTTTATATTACAAAACCATCCTCAGAAATGCATGAGAATATTCAGTTATTTCTTTCATAAATCATTTTTTTAAAGGTAACTTTAATGTGTGAGGGGAACATTGTCTTTTCAGCAAAGAGTTTCTGCATGAATCCCAGATAATCTTGGCGATGGAGCTAGAGTTCGTAGAAAAGAGAATAAAATCGAGACCACGTTTTGGTCTTTAAAGATACCACATTTTTGTCTCATCTCACATAGTGAGGGACTAGGTGGTTCCTATGATGTGTGACTGGCAAATCATTTCGAATATAAGTTATGAACATCATTGAAAAAATCTCGATTTATTCTTCTCTGCTTTTCTGGTAACTTTTAGTGACTGAAAGTGACACAAATCTACAGTAGCTATCCTAAGAAACTCTCTTGAAATGACCTGTAATAGATAGTGGGCCATGTTAACAGCCAAGAGTATGTCAGTTTTACCCCTTAATATATATATATATATATATATATATATATATATATATATATATATACACAATTGTGGGATTTAACCTTGTTAACATGACTGTTTTAATTGCTGATATTACACTTTTACTTACATATGAAAAACTCGAAATGTGTGTTCATTTTGTTTCTTCTCTTTACTTTTCATTTTATGTCAGAAAACGGTACAAACACCAGGTCATGCTTATCGTGTATAAATTGCACATTTATAAATTAACTTTTGATGAATCTGTAAACAGGCTTTGGAGCTGTATACGCAGCCAGCTACGTTTTCAATGTCCCTTTCCTGCATTTTGTTTTGTTGCTGGCAATTTAATGCTTACAGTTTCCAAATAACAATGACTACTTAATTTTTTTTCTATTTTCACTTAAAATCGAGTTGAAATAATTTGCAGATCATTGCTTTGTGTTCTTTACATTGTAAGCAGCATCTGAACATTCTTGGAAACGGGGTTTGTCTAAATTATTAAACCAAGAAAGTTATTGACCTTTTTATTGTTTTTTTTTAACAGTCACTTTTTACTTTTTTAAATAAAAATAGTATCATATTTTTTTCTGTTTGTCACAGTCAAACTTGGTTAAAAATTAATCTCATAATTTGCTCATTTCCTTGATGAAGACTCGACACTGATTTTCTCCATCTGATGGTTGAAGCTGCAAAAAGGGTTTACTTGGATCAGTCTCTATTCATCAAGCAACCAACTGTACAACAACATACATTATGTGGGCCCTTTTATCACTCCCAACACGATGTTTTGCAGCTGCACATCAGGGTTCAAGAACCAACGTTGCGATGAGCGGGCCAACCCCTGCGATTACTTCTGTCAGAATGAGGGGATGTGCACATTAACAGCTCTTAACAAACCTCGCTGCAAGTAGGTCCCTTTCACCTCTCCAGCTGTGTTCAGAGCCCGCTCACTCCCTTTGTACACGCACTCACCTCCACTCCATCCGGCCTCATTTCCAACTCAGCCCAGACTCTAGAAGTCGTGCCTCCTTGTAGCAACTTATCATGTAAAAAGTGCTGATTGAAGCAGTTAGTTAGAAAAAGAGGAAAGAGGCCCTGGTTCCATCTTGAATTCCTGAACCGCGTATTCTCCTAAAACAGTGCTCATGCTCTGCAAATCTTTATAAATGTTGCAAACTTATAAATGAGGCTTTTTCACAAGCCTCTGGCAAAAGCCTGTAGCAAGCTGTGCCAAATTGCACATAGCGAGATGAAGTTTAACACCCAACATAGACCCATGTGGCAACTCTGCGACTTAGCTTCAAGGTAGATCTTATAGTTATAGTTGTATTTGTCTTTATTAGATACTAAATCCTTTACTTTATAACATTCCAAATACAGTATCTTAGATTAAGTGTGTGCATTAGGTTAGGCTGAACATATACTGTTCAGTCACAGTCCAAATTTTCACACAGTGTTTTGCAACTAACAATGTTAACATTATTTACTCACTGTAATGTTTCTCTTGAATGTTCAAATGGACCTTCTACCTTCATAAAAAAAAAGTGACAGCCCTTTTTACTGTCTGCATTCACTAGTTATAATAAAATAGGCTTAGATATTGGCTTAGTTCATCACTTTTTTTTTCAAAAATTTAGGCTTACTTGTTTTAGTAATTACAGTTCACTTAATATAAAACCAGCTGGTGTTTTTAGTACGATATACACCAAATAGGTAAGTATGTATGTTAGAATATCAATCTTTTCTTCCAAAGTTATTGTTGCCAATGGTTGTTGCTGCAACTACAAATTCAAGATAACATCCTGTACTTACAGTTCAGGCAACATTTTTGCATCTTAGGTCAGTGCTAGCTAATTGAGCCCTTGTTATGTGGTATGTTGCTGCATGACTTAGCACTTTTATTGCCCCTTACTGCCACCCATCCACCCATCCCATGCAGCGTTCACCCTGCACACATGAACCGAGGACACCTCAAAACACGACGATGTGGGAACATCACATTAGTCCATTTACAACCTGCGCATACTAACTAGCCTAACATATTAGTCAGGGGCATGCAATTGTATTTAATTTGTGAAGAAAAGCATTTAATTGGAAATTAGTGTAAATATATTGTTATCTGGAATAAAAAGAACAATTCAGGGACTTTTTTCCTATTTCTCAAAGGAACTGTAACTCCATGTTCCCCTTCAATTTCTCATTAAAATTCATGCCGCTGTGACTTTTTGTCCTACAAAGGCGCAATTCATTTACTGTATCTATGGGGCTGCATTCTTATTTTTGATCGCCTGATGTTCTGAGTGCATGTAATTTGGAATAATTTCATCACCCTGCTGTACCCACCAGATCACTCATGCTTTACAGACCCATCTGCGTCAGTGGTGTCAAATTAAATATCACCACTTGTAACTCGGGTCATACATCATGGCCATCGGGTTCCATCGGAACACAAATGAGATGAAGAACTGTTGTCCCGCTGTCATTCCGTGATCTATATCTATATTTTGCTTTTCTGTTCTTTTTTATGTAATTCACTAGATATTCACCATTTTCTCACGATATTCACATAGACTCAACATGTACATGGTACCCTTATTCTCTCAGAGGTGTGTTGTTTGTATTGGATCAAAGCACCTCATGGCAAGACTGAATCATACCGTGTTGTAATGTGAGCCACAGTCACGTCATACTGTATTTAAGTATGTAAATGTTGTTTTCTCGGTGTTCTGTCTACAAAGAATAATTAAGAACTTTTTGTGTTTTTGTTAAATTCGTTTGACTTCTCTCAGGTGTTCAGCCAACTGGGCGGGAACACAGTGTGAGAGACCTGCCCCTAAAAGCAGCAGATCAGACAATACTAGTGGAGGTAAGAACCAGGAATTTCAAGAAATCAGTGAATGAAATATTATGTATGTCTATGTTATGTGCTTATCAATGAACGTATTTCGCTTTATTTGTGTTGATTACCGATGCACTCACATTGAAGTGTTTGTATTATCACATATTGACCTAGTTTGGAAGATATTTTACTACATGAATTATTAAACTCCAGCCCCTCTGGCCCCTTTGGATAATTTGAAAACTGAGAACTTTATAGATATGTCTATGAATTGCTCTTAGTTATTTAATAAAAATTTTGAAGAAAGTTCTATCTATTATATAAAATGAAAGAAAATAAATCTCATAGAATGTTCAGTAAAAACATTATTTCTTGTATTCTGTTTTAATACTAAATAGAGTGTTTTTTAGTCTCAGTTGTTGGTCATCTATAAAGTACATGATGTGTGCAGATAATATCCGTTGATAGGAAAAGTCAAATCAAAGGCCAGCTTTTTTTTTCAGCTATAATCTCTAACTGAATCTATTTCTTATTTCCTCACACCACATTTTTTCTTTTCATCCTCTAGGGAGCATCGCTATCATTGTGCCTCTGGTCCTGTTGGTAGTCCTGATTGTGATGGTGGTAGTAGGCGTTTACATCTGTAGACGAAGGCAAAGGTAAGTCCGTGGGAAACAGATAGGAGGCTTCCAAGCAGCATCAGATATTCAAGCAGAAAATAAATTAGAGCCACGAGGATGAATGGAAATGTTTTTTGACTAAAAAATTAGCTCTTTTCATCATCGTTGTAAATCTGTGTTGGAATTCTAACTACCTGTCTATGTCGGATCCCACACGCACACAATGCTGTTTACTGGTGTGAAAATGTGCAGTGCTGTACTAAATATTGACCTCCGTGTTGTGTGGCATTTCACTGACGGCTGGCTCACACTCACACATCTCACATCTCAGGGGAAAACGGGTCCAGAGGCAGCCCATGACAAACGGAGGAATAAATGTGGAGATTGGAAACCCGTCTTACAACATGTATGAGGTGGACCATGACAACCATGCTGATGCAGGCAGCCTGCTGCGGCCCAACTTTACACTGGACCCTCACAAGGTCAGTGCAGACCCCGTCTTATTCTATATTATGTGGCTTAATTTAACGCAATATCTCCATTGTAACAATGCTCGATCTTATTTGAAAAAAATATATATTTCTGTTCATTTGCTGAAAAAGCTATGAAAATTCAAATAGCTTACCATGAGAAATGATATGGCAGGGTATTATTAATGCAATACCATTTGGTGAAAACAACAAAAATGGAATACAATTTGGGAAAAACTCAGTGTGCCTTTGTTAAAATATTAAACATCAGACACTTGACAAGATCATTTTTGTTTTTGTTCTGAATCTATTTTTGACGTTTGCGGCCACCTGTCAAATGTTTTTCCTGGACTCTCAAAGATCCCTAATAAGTACTGCAACGTTCAAATTAAATTGACAAATCTGTTTTCGGCTTGCTAATTATTGGTTTTGATGCAGCTACACCAACCTCCAAATCTTACTTTGTTTCTTGGAATCAAAATAATTAAGTCTACTTTCATGCAATAACTTTTGTTATGATGTAGAACTTGGCGTGCTGTGGTCTGTCTTAGAAAGTTACATGGAGCTCCATAGAAGTTTTGCAAAACCTGGCAAAGGTTGCCATGAGCCGTGAAGACCTTCCATCTGGCTAGTGATTTATTCTCTAATTCAACATCAAATTAAGTGATGTTCTATATATATAACTCACCTGTCAGAGCCTAAAACGAAATGCTGCTTCTCATGCTGCCATCTTTGGCATTTGCTGCTGTGAGTTCTGCCTGACTACTTTCAGAATGTTAATAAGCAACCGTCTTCCACTTTTCTTCTTTTTTATTCTTTATATTAATCTTTATGTTTTTTCATGGCAGCTGTACTGATCTTGAAGTCTAGGCCCATTAACCATACTTCTCTATAACATGACTTTACTGTAAGTATTTGCAGATTAAAAAGAAAATGGTGCTTGTTGTGTTGCAGGGCTGGTGTGTAAAATCCAGCGACCCTCACACCTTGGGCATGAATTCAGTGCCCAAGGAGGTAATCCCTGGACAGGTGAATTTTACCAACTTTACTGAAATTTCAAGATAAAAAAATAGAATATTTATAAAAGCTGTAGATTAGAACAATGGTATTACAGATGCCAGCAAAATGATTTAATATCTCATAAGGTTTTGAATCATTTTGACTGTTAGCAATGGTTAAAAATGCATTAAAACTGCTAATATTATTAGATTTATTACTATTTAATTTTTTCATAATATTAATGTGATTGCACCTACAATTTTTTGTCAGATTGTCTTCTTTTTAATTTATCTTTTTTAGATTAATTGAATGTTAACAGTATGCTACAGTATGCTTTATTCTTTACTAAATCTGAGTCTTTCTTCCTGCTAAGTAAGAAACCACTTACATGCATGTTTCTTTTCTTTTTCCTGGTTGTTAAGATATTTTGATGCTCCAAACGTATCAGCAAACTTTGCTTAAAGCTACACTAATCCCTCTTTTATTTACCGGTAGTCTTTTAAGTTTCTTACCTTAGTGAGACATTTCTTTTCATTTTCAGGGAAAAAAACAGGGCAGCTTCTGCTGGTAGCGTTTTTTTTTGTTGCAGACAGACTAGAAAAAATCTGGTTTTATTTGTTTTATTCCCCTTAGCAAAAAGTAGCATCTACTTAGTAAATAAAAATTAAAAATCCATAGATCCTGGAAGTGATGTGGGCTACAAGGCGCTAAGAAGGGACTGGAAATTAGCTTTCCTCAAAGTGCCAAAACATGATTTTAGAAATAGGCATTTGATACTTTGCTTGAAAGGATCTGAGAATTAAAATATCTTGCAAACAATCCCCTCCTCCCCGAAAAGCTATTTATATATTGAGCCTTAAGATGATCCTTGTTGTAAAGCAGTTTTTTATAGTTACTCTTATTCTTGCCATTGTCATCTTCTTCCATTCCTTTGCAGCCGATGAACTACTCCAACCCAGTGTATGCAAAGATCTATATTGATGGGCAAAACTGCCGGAAGCCAGTCATCAGTATTGACGAGAGGAGAGAGCTACTCCCAAAGAAACTAGAAGGGACAATTCACGAAACCGCCGCATAGCCTAACTTTACACTTTGTACTTCTTTTTTTACCACAGTGTACAATGTATAATACGAAGGAGGAAACGAGATTTTTCTATTTCCTATGAAGCTTTTAGGTTTTACTGGTTTAGCATCAGCATAATGTATTTGTTGGTGTATTGAAGAGGTTTATTTTCCATTTTCGGTTTGCTTTCTAATGTTTGTTAAAGATAAGTTGTACAGTGCTATACTGTATGCTGTGCTGAAGTAAAGCTGCTGATTTGCAAAAACTTACTATCATTAGCCACTCTAGTGCACAGTTCAAATGTTAAAATGTTTTATACCCATAGCTGTTTCTTGCTGGAAAGGAATACAAACATTGGGTTGCTTTGTGAAGGTAATAAAGTGAGATTTGGCTATCTGTCTAAAATGTCCTGAGCAAATATATGTACAAAAGACAAGTTATCCGTTTATTTGTTTGTCTTATTCTTACTTGTACCGCACCGACAACAGAGCTTCACTCGAGCACTAAGGCTTGAAACATTGGAGGTTTATGTTTTTCTTTTCCGCACCTGGTGGATCTAGTCCGGATCTACTGAAGACCACAGTCTAAACTGTGTTTTCACTCAGTACGTAATTCCACAGTGGTTGTGTCTTCTTCATGTCCATGGATTTCAAGCTCCATTTGCCCTGTTTCACCAGAAATACAGTGTTTGAACTAATCCTTTTAGGGAAAGAGATGTTCACTGAATGTTCACCTATGAGATTCCCACACCTTGTACTGTACACTGAGAGGACAGATACTGAAAACCATATTTTTCTAGCGCTCATATGCCAACCGATGGATTGAAGAAGTAGACAAGGAAGAGATTTATCACAACCACACGGTTATCAAGAGTTATTATAAAACACATCTGTTTCTGCAGAAAAAAGGGAGATGATAGATATAAGAAATTTTATAATTTTGTATTTGATTTGTATGTCGTTTGGCTGCTTGTATTTTGAAGAAATGTAATAAATGTAAGTAATTTTTTATATAAAATGTAAACCAATATTGAATAAAGGGGGCTTATTTACAGTCTGTTTGCCATTCTTGGACATACACCCAGACTTGATGAAATGAAATCAGCAAAGTATTCACCGGCTACCACGTGTTGTACAATTTCTTAAAAGCATTCATATGTATGTGGATCAACCCAGGATCAAACTGTCGGCACACTTGGCGAATGACCCGACAAGTCAATCAGCAGGTCTTTTACCTGCTGTGCTGAAGAAAGTGTCTGATGGATTATTGCCCTCCCCGTGTGTACTGGAAGGCCAGCGCTGTTCATTACTTGAGGGTGAGGAGACAGCATTGATGCCACCTGCTGAATGATAATTCACTCCTGTTTTTACCTTACTTACAATGGCTGTCTCTCCACACACACACACACACACACACTTCACCTCCTCCCTCACCATGGCAACCAGCGGAGCAGGAGCGCTCCTGCCCTTTCTCCATCTGTCTGCATCAGCCAGCACAGTCAGGCCACCGCATTTTGACGGTACAGCAGAGTCCGCAGTTACCCAGCCTCCCTAATTGTCGGCCGTAATTAACCTCTGAATCGGTCAGAAATCTGAGCCAACGTGGGACAAAACATTGCACTGAGAAACCAGCCATTGACATAGTGGTGCGGTGAGAGATTCTGCTGTGACCTTAGACGGGTAATCAAACTGAAAGTACCAGATTACCTTAACAGACAGATTTAACAGCCACTTTCTCAAGTTATTTTTTTTTTACTTAGATTTTTAACATTTTTTTTTATTACAGTATGTATTTGTGTATCAGTATCTCAGAGGCTGTGTGGGATTTCCTCAACTAAAAGGTTGTTGCCTCCATCCTTCAGTGTACAAATTGAAGTATCTTCTGTAGGATGCTTACGGAATGATAGGAACGCCAACAAAGAGAAAAAGTGTGATGGATCAAGAAAATATAAATGACAACGTTTTAATGATTAAATATTGAAACAATTATAAGTGACTAAGCATAAAATAACTAATCTAAATTAATTTATGTGTAAGTTCAGTCACATACTGTATTTTTTCTCCTCTCTAACAGCATTTGTTGTATGAGACAATTTGAGATATTCAATCTGAACTGAACATCACAGTCAGAGGTGTCAAAGAATTTGTGAGGTTTTGAGTTTTGAATCTAACTCTGCATTAATAAAAAATAAGCGATAGTTTAACAGTTTGTCTGTTTGAGGCAGCATGTGCCAGTCAGTAAGAGAGAGCAACCTGATCTGCTCAGAACAGTGGGGGAGGGAACACACATGCTACTGGCTCAGAACAAAGCTCAAGATAAAGCAATGACAACTAAATGAAAAAGCAATGGAAAAAAGAATGAGTCATTATTTTTTAACAATTCGATGTGTTAAATACAAAATGTTTTCCTTCAGATTGTTTAAAGGTTTAAGAAATTGATTTGGGCGCTCATGGTTGTGGGTTTCAAAGTTTTCTTCACATTCTTAGTAGGACTGTAACTGGGATTTGGATTTGGTCGGGCAACCACTTAAGAGATTGCGTTGGGTTTGCATGTTCTCCCTGTGTCTGTTTGGATTCTCTCTGGCTACTCCAGCTGTAAAGAAAATGGTGTGTGTAACGTGTAGATGTATTTGATTTACTGCTGATGACAGATTAATTAACACATTAATTCTAAATGATGAATTACAGGCCTTTAAATCATTTATAGTCTTTACAAACTCACCATAGTTTACAGTCACTCACATCAATTAGCAGCCACGTTAAAATGAATCATTCAAACAGTGAATATGATTTATCATTTTGTTACAATACACCATTCCGCTTGGAACAACTGGTTCCTAAAATTCATATGACACATGCTCATCCCAATTAAACATTGTTGCAGACCAAGCATACGCACCCAGATAGAAAGGCCTCTCAGTGGTGTCCCCCAGAAGGCCAATACTGAAAGAAAGATTGCTCTGGAATGAATAAGTAACGTAAATAAAGAGCCCAGGACCTCAAAGGTCCCCAGATCCTTGTCAATTTAAACATCCAGAAAATGTTTCACTAAATTCTAATCTAAAGGAGCCTTCTGCAGTCTTCAACTTGACTCAAGTTTATCAGTTTTGTGTACAGGTACGTGCCCCAAATCGTATGCTGTTGACACTAGGGGGACTTACACATTGTTTCACATGTTTTTAAAGCTGTGACTTCTTCCTACATAATTCCACGATTCTTTGACATTTACTGCTGCGATAACATTAAAACAGTTTCACATTCACGTTTCACATTCATAAAACAGGTTAGAGTGTTTTTAGGATGTTTGCCTCCTCTCAAATGCAAACTTTATCTTAACCCTATAATGCCAAACGTATCATATTTTATACATAAGGTTTCTGAAATGTTTTGCGTCTGACACCTTTTGCATAATTTAGTGGTAAAAACTTTGCTCAAAATCCTATTGTACACAATCAGATATTATATATTATATATCAGATAACGGGGCAAAAGAATACACAATAATAATCTTGACTTATCGCATAGTAATAAATTATTAATATTAAAAATGTATTTTTGTTTTTTGTTTTTAAATATTTTGTTAAAAGGCCAAATAAGGAATTCAAACCAAAAAAAAGTAATATTCTGTTTTGTTTTATTCTTGGATCAGGCCTTAAAGGATTAAAAAATGACAAGCACACCAAAGTGTGACAGCTGGTCATAAAATGAGCAGGAGAAACTACTACCAAGGAAAAAAGTTGTGTGACGATTGTGTAGAAGTTTTTCCCTGAGTTGATGAAGATATCCGACTCATAAGTAATGAGAAATGAGGAAAGCTGCTCTTCATCTCACCTGATCCCCGATGTGTAAAAGAGGAGAAAAACAAGAATTTAAAAACAAGTCCTGAATGTCTGGCACTCCCCCTCCCCTCACCTTGCTCATTGATTTTTTTGTCTCTTTTCCACTTAGCAAGCATCACCATTCTCCTGCATAAACATCAGAAAAACCCAAAGGGCTCATCTCATGGACAGAATCAATAACAACAGGAGTCGTATTCACATTATAAACAACAAGTCCTGCATACTCATGCTACAGCTAGCACTAAGGAAAGCTGCTTATCACTCCGTGTGTGGTAAGTGGACGGGGACTGAAGACAGACACAAACCTTATCAGAAACTAACCATAAACGAGAGAGTGCGTGGAAAGAATGGCATACTGTTGTTTGGTTATTATTAGTTAACATCTGTTGACTATATCGGTGGTCTGACTTTAACTTGCTAATTAAAACATTGTTAAAGGGGAATTAATAATGCATGAATGAAATTCTACACCCAGAAAGAAAATAATGCAGAAAAAACAAGTCTGTCCATCTCATTAGAGCCCACAGCTGCATGAGGTCACACACAAATCGGAGCATCAGCCTTTTAGTCACTAACCTGGTCGATCATGTCAACGATCGACCAGGTTGGATGTATTCTGAACACCAGTGGTCTTGGAAAGAAACTTTTTTTTTTTTTTTCATCTTTGCTGTAGAATGTCTCCAAAGCCGTGTATGAATCCATGTAAGAAAAAAATAAAAATGTAAATGAAACGGGGAAAAAATGTAATTATCAAATGAAATGCAAATATATATGTTTTTTTACGAACTATTTATGTGTGGTTATAGAAATTAAGGTAAAAATATATTTCTCTAATATATTTGACTGTCACTTATGCACAAACTGAAAATTCAAATATAAACACCTCAACGGAAATGAATATGGTAGTAACATTTAATTTAGATATATAAAATCAGTTTTAATTAACTGGATTATGTGAAAATTGAGGATACCCATTTATTTATGACATTTTCAAGGGGTTTTAATGAAGGTATGGCTGTGTGCATTTTGATGTGAACCATTCAATCATCACACCTCATATCTGTCTTGTGAATTCTCACTGTCAAATGAGGATGTAAAACAGTGACAAGGAAACTGAAAACTCAATTTGCATTACAATATTGTGCTGGTAAGCACTTAATTTTCATTCATTAGTAAT